ATTATTTTGGAACAAGGCATGATCAAAAACATCAAAAGCTGTCATTATTATTGGTGGTTTGTTGGCAGCTTAAAATCGTGATTTTTAAATTAGCAACAGTTAAATCATTTGAGGGAATTATTACACGTTCGTTTCGTGGTAAAGGTAATTTCTGTAATTAAAACTGTTTCCAGGGCCCAGGATAACATGGGCGTCGCTACTAAAAGGGAAGGACAAACGCCTTCCCCTTAACTGGGTAAAAAAACAAACGGTGAGGTCAGGAATGCAAGTCAGGAATAATGTTTCCTCCAATAACCTCTCTGACTACAGTGGCGACGCCCATGTAAGTTACTAAGTAAAACCACTTAAATATGCTATAATAGCGATAACGTAATTTGTTTTCTAATGACAGTGATAGTAGAGTTATAGAAAATAGAGGTTATTGGTATTCATTAACATTTTATTTCTATTATCAAGACTGTATTCATACAAACATTAAAAACTAAAAACGTATATGTCAAATTCAATGACAGAAAAAGTTAACTGTTAGTGGAACACAAATTACGTCACACTAATATAGCGTAAATTACAGGGATTCAAATTGAATAATTTGCGATTTTAAAATAATAATTAGGTTTTGTTTGGTTTGAGCGGAAATATTTAAATGAGTTATGTTTATTGATTGAATGTGAATTAGAGAAGGGTTAAGATTTGAAAAATTTTAGTGTGTGATAGCAGACATCAAAACTACAAAAAACAATATCAGTCAACAATTTTCAAATAAAAAAAAGAGAACATGATGAGAAGTCTATTAATTTTTGGTGACCTATTGTCAATACGCACTATATTTTTGTAGAAATCTTATAAAATACAATTTTAATGACTTTAACTACACGATAAAGTTTCTTATATCTTAACTCTTCATCAATAACTTTGAAATTTATCTGGATTAATTACAATGTTTAACGGTTATATATTTCTACAGGGTGTTTCAATCAAAGAATTATTCAAATTAATAAGATTTTTTGAACCATCCTCTAAGCTCCTGTTAGACACCAGTCTGATTTTTGTACCTAACTCTAAAAGTTTTTTTTTAACATTATATAATAATGGTTAAAGAAGTGTTTCTATCGTTTCAGAAACTTATGCTGGAAGTGATATTTTTGTGATTTCAGTACAAATGTTTTGTTTTTTTTTGTTGTATTTCACTGGTGAGAAAAAATGTTTAATATATTTTAGCAATATTTTTATTGGATAACCTTTTATTTTTATTAGATATTTTTGTTTATATGTTTCTAGTTGATAATTAAGTTTCGATTTGGACATGTTGTATGTAAAATGGTTTATTTTTCACTGCTGTAACAATGTGTTCATCAAAATATATATATTTACTAATAGATGAAGAGCTGGATGACGAAATGCTATGGTTGCTTCAGTAGTCATGAAAATATGGGTGCAAAAACTTCTTTGTAAGAGTTTGTATACTCATTTAATTCATACTGTCTAGAAAATATATTAACCCTGTACTTATTTACAGCCAGTATATAGAACATTACAGTATTTACAGTATATGATACCCTAAAGTTTTGCTTTTTTCTACATGTTATTGCTATGCTCCTTTTTAGTGATCACTGATAATTACGGTATTTTATTTGATTACGTTTTTTACCTAAATTGTATTGTTTTTAAACTTTTATAAATATATTTTAGATTAAGTAGATAACATGCATCAAATATATAATCATTTAGTAACCAATTACATAAAAAATACTCTGAAAAACGATATTTAATAAAAACAGTAAAAAAGTATATGTCAAATAATATTGTTAAGTTTGGTTAGAAGTAATTGTCAGTAGAACCAAAATTCCGTCACACTTTTATGGCGTATTAGGAAGCAATTAGGCATTCCAAACAAATGAATTACCAGTGGGCAGGTTTGGTATATCTAAGGGTGGCGACATATGGTGTATTCTATCTACTTTACGTAAAATCATGAATAATGGATTACATTTAAATATTTTATGTCAAACACAATAAAAATAATATTTAAAAAAACCTACCTATACATTTCTTCATAAATTGGCAGGCTTGGCGAGTACTACTTCGAATAAAAATAGCGTCCAAGTTGCAAGACTATGTCGCTACCCCCTTAAATATACAAGAATTTCCCACTGGCACCTATTGTTTGACAGGTCCTTGGAATGCCTAATTATTGTTTAGTTTTGACTTTTGACATTATCTCAGTTAAAGGCCTTCTTTAGAAACATTTTTTATGGATCACTCCATACTTCCCTAGCAAATAAATGAAGAAAGATATGCAGCTGTAGATTAAAGCTTCTACTTTCAAAATTTTTATTATTTTAATTAACTAATAATTTTTTAAAGAAAGTGAAGTAACAAAGTCCGTTTAGATCCGAAAAACTAAATGCAAATTTTTAAATTCACGCACGCATTTTTTCTTTGTCAGCTTTTTCAATTTTTCTTTGTTTTGTTTTCACTTTGGGAATATGATGATATAATTTTCAAAATTTCGCAGAGTAAATTAGGGATTTTTTATTTTCAGAATTTCCAAATTTGCTTTTATTAATTTTTTATTTTGACCTATATCTGTTGATGCATATTGATACTGTACTGAATTAAGCACTATGATGCCTACTTATACTTGTAAAATAAAGACAGTATGAAATAAAATGTAGAATATACTTGCATTAGGTTTTATTATTGTACGTGTTTATATTCAATATATATTGTTTATGAAACAACTCATAGTGTAATAAATTACCTACCGAAATTTAACATAAATCACTATTTCATGATCACTGAAATGGCAGTATTTCAGTCGCCTACTCTTAGGCTGCTAGATTGTGTTCAGAAAGTCGAATAAAATAATTTTTAGATGCCATTTTTTGTGTTTCCTTTCAAACCCTTTTTCAATTCGATGATAAAAAAGAAAACGTACAATAGGGTGCAATTTAAAAACAGAAATATTCACAAAGCATCTTTAATTATTTACCTACCTGCAAAATGTGAATATTTATAGATAGAAACGTCAAGTCAGAGAAAAAGTAGAGTTGAGTGATATCTAAAATTCGAATAATTGAGTTAAATGTTCCATAAATCATTATCAAATTAAATATTAGATAATATTTATGAAATGGATAGAAGAACATGTAAATAATGTCATATTACCGATATTCTTATACATCAGTAACTAAAAAATAACAGTCTGTAATATCGTCCAACTCTATATAAGATTTATAAAAATTTTCCCATGTGCAACTTACTGATACGTTTAGAGATCGTTTGTGAATGCTGGTTCAGTGATGATGTTAATTATGGTTCCACTGACAAAGTGACAGTAGATTTTTTGAGTGCGTTTTGTTCGTTGTGTTTACCTAAATTATATCGTTTTTTCACTTGTATAAATATATTCCTAAAGTAAGTAGATAACATGCATCAAATATACAATCGTTTAGTTACCAATTTACATACCTTTCAACTATTTTTATGACCTGTAAACAATATTTAGAAATAAACTAAAAACAGTAAGAACGTATATGTCAAATTTATTGATGTTTTTGTTAAAAGTTTGGTAAGAATTAAATATGTCAGTGGAACCAAAATGACATCACACTGAACTAGCGCATTAGACGGAAAGGGTTGTAAAAGTAAATAAAGTTTTGAAAGTGCAGAAAGAAAGGTTAATGCCATTGAAGACACTCGTAGAGCAATAATTTGGGACACCCTGTATATAACCGCCGTTACATTCCTCTGTACTCCACCCACAATACCCTACGGATGCAGATGAGTGCCAGTGAATATGTACCTATATTAGAGAGTATATATAGTATACAGGGTGTTTCAAAAAACGTGCCATTGCTTGTGGGACGATTCCTTAGTCAAAAATAAGACAGATACTATCAATATGAAGCTTAAATATAAAAAATATTAATGGTGCTATTTATTAGTCAATTATATCTAATTGATATCAAAAAATGAAAAAGTCAGTGAGGTACGCTCCTGGCGCGCGCCCTTGGTAATCCTGATAAAAAAATGATTTGCTAAAATATGCGCTTTACAACCAAAATTTCATTCAAATGATTATAATATAAAGCCGTTTTAGAAATATGAAAAACCGAAAAAAAAGAAATAAACTGTAAATCTTTGAAATAAAGCATCTGCGGACCCATGTTAATAGGAATTATTTGTCTTATTTTTGAATAAGGAATCGTCCCACGCGCGATGAAACATGTTTTTTGAAGCACCCTATATACAGGTGACCCGTTGCTAGATTGGGTAGAACACTGCAAAACAAGTTGGATTTGCGCAGTAAAAAATTTTCGTAACTGCATCCGTTTTCAAGATACACTGTATTAAAAAAAAATTATACACATGTTTTACAATTATGTCGAAATTACTAGCAACATGCACTGTAATGAAATTTTGTACGAATATGTTTTGGATGCTGACACATCGCATGTAGGCATTTTTTATATCTGCCTCTCATAGAGGACGCTAGTTACACGGTTCTGTCTTTTTTTGAAACACCCTGTATAGATCAAGATTTTTTTCAGTGTAATATCTCCATAACTTTTTCTAGGCAAATAAATTTTTATTTTACATAATTGGACTATAATTTCAAATAATAAATTCTGTTCTAGATATCCTTTTGATTCCATGCAAGGTACCTAGTCCTTGTTTAGAACTTAGCCCTACAATTAGTACTGTAATACCGCCATCTCTCGTTGAAATTGACGGTGAAGAGAATATTGAACCGGAATTCTGAATAGTAAAAGATAAAAGTAAATTCTTCCTGCTCAAAATTAGTGACAGTTGACAGTGACATTTGATACATAACCTCAAAAATAATTATTTAGTAAACAAAATATTTAGTTTATAGAACAAAGTTCATATAAATATTATTATTTATATGAAAGGAAAGAAGTTTAATCTTTAAGAATAAGTTAAAGCCGTATTTTAAAATTATTAAGAGTTAATCCTGTCACTAAAAAAAATCGCTCATGGAATCTGAAGACGAATTTTTGCATACCTATTTTACTCACATTTCTCAATTGTGTTATGAAAAAGCTAAAGAGCATGTGGTAAGTATACTTTAACATGGATGAACAAATAAAATTTTTATTTTTTTAGGAAAAAGAGAAAGAACCAAAAGGTGCCACCACACCATGGAGTACTTTTCTCAACTATCTGCAACAACTGGCTCTAGCTGAAAAGAGCTATATGGAAATTGGTTTTTTACAAAATAAGCATAAAAGTTTTCTTCGCAAAGATGTAAGTTACTTGCTAGTTATATTGTAATCAGTATAGGGTTGCCAACCATACTTTATAATAACTTATCCTACTTTATTTTCGATAAATATACCTTTGCATAAAAATAAAGTATGCGAAAATACTTTATTTCCAATCATTATGGGTACTATTTATGGTTACATATGAGTTAAAACAAAATGTACTTATTATGAAAACGATTAATAATTACTAAACAAAATGTTAGATGTGACAGATATTAGAGATGTCACGACGAAATTGTATGAAAATTGTCCATTGTTTTTGTTTATAATATAAGAATCCATTTTAAAGAAAATATTTACTCTCTGTTCTCACCACTCCACCAGCTTTCATTGAGATAGTTTTTCCTGTAATGAATCTGAAGTGACAAAAAAGTCAATGAATTTAAATTAAAGTTTCAATTGCAAAACAAGCTTTGAAACTTTCAAAGATAAACAATTGTTAGCATATGCCAGAAACACACAAAAATGTTTTTAAGGTAACAAAAACATAAATTTGAAAAATACTTTTTCTTCCAAATACTTTATTTTTTCCTATTCAGACAATTTTGTAAGTTTTTTATGTTAAAAAAGTTGGCAACCCTAAATCACTAAGTTGCTATAGTTTCGAAGAATGTTTCCACTAAAATATTGTTCCCTATTATATTTTAGAATTCTTTAAGGTCTGTGTATGAAACAATGAAAAATGACCTAAAAAAATTAGAAGAAAACTACAAACAATGCACTGCTGATAATAGAATATACAAAGGAAGTAAAAATATTGTACAATATGTAAATGCAAGAATTAATTTAATAGACTTGTATCCTTTATTAAAAACAAACATTGATATTATATAATAATGACATAATGATATGTAGTCTATAATAGTATTAATAATAACACATGAAAAAAACTAAATAATATATAATTACAAAGAATAAGAATTGAAACATAGCCAAAAAATACTTTTTAATCTCACACCTAAAAATCTGATGTGTCTAACACATGACTTTCCTATCTATTATAGACTTGTTCCGGGTATTTTGTACAACCTATTGTATCACCCCTGTAAATGTTTAGAGGATGAACTAAATACATACATTTCCCACACACATCCTCAAATTTTTCCATTATTACAGTCCGTTTTAGAGAAATATATAGAACAAAAATTATAGAAAATGATATTTAATGAAAATAGCCATTCTTAGTGTCTTTTTGACAACTTAAGAATCAGTTGTCAAATAGGACTGTGACATTGTTTTAGGGTTACTACTAACGTTGTTAATGTTACTTTTAATCAACTGTAGTGGGTTTAGAAACCTTGCACAGTGTGTCTGGGCTTCATACTTATAATAGGGTGCAGATGCACCGTTCCAGGTTTCTAAACGCATTCCAGAAGACATCACGTGGGATAGGGCTATTGTTGAAGACTATGTATTATATTATGGACTTTTCTATAAAAGTACATAAAGATATTCCTAAACGATTTTAGCCAGATTTTTGTGTTATACCAACAATTTTAGTCATATAAACTTAATTACAAAACAAAACTCATCCCAAAATACATTTCCTTATAAATGATTTTTTTTTAATATGCATGATGTACCTATTTATTCATCTGTTGATTTAGGTAATTTACATTTGTACAACTCACTGTCACTACCTGGCTGAAAAGAGATGTATAAAAGACCAACAGTAAGGTTTTTTTTTTACATACAGTTTGTTAATAAATGTAAGCCTATTTTCCTTTATTCACTGACAGATACGAAAAAGTGTACAATATGGGGCTCAATAAACAGATAAGATACAATGAAATTTTAACTCAAATTGAGTCTGTAATAGAAAAAAATAGTGAAGGATTTACGGATATATGTTTAACACCTGCTAAGGCTGTATTTAGTTTGGAATGTGAGATTTTGGAACAATTATTTAAGGCATTGACACTATTGCAAAAATTGGAATTTTTACCTCCACTGGCGTTAATCCATGGCGCTCATACTAGATTGGCAGCTTGGGAGAGCAAAATGCAGTCCAGAGAGGTAATTAACCAATTGACTGTTAAATTTATATTATAATTAGTGTCTAAATTTGTTTTAGATTTGGAAACTAGGCATATTTAAAAATAGTCCATTGCCGGCTTTGTTTCAGTGGTTTCAAAAATTGAAAGGAGCTGTCTTAAGTAAATTTAGTCTATATTTTCATGATATTTTAGCACAGCAAACCACCCCAAGTGATATGAGACAATTGTGTGCCAAATTACACCATGATCACTACCAAAAGTAAATGAATATTTTTTTTTGTTTCCCTAACTATTAATTGGCATTTGTTATTGTAGAATAATAAATTTTCAAAAAAAATATGATGCTGCCTACGTTTTGATGATATCTGATCAAAAATTACAGTGTGATTCAATGTCTGATGGAGTCATAGTATCATACCCACCAGTAAGTTCCCTCAAGTTTTTTTTTCTGTAAAACAAAAACAGCTCTGAGAGTTTCACTTTCTTACAGCGACAATTTGTGAGTTGTGTTTTGGAATAAAATAATTCATAGCATTGCGAGGGTATATTTAAGATTTATAAACTAAATAATATGGTGTAGATGTGCTTTATGTGTAAAAGACCTTTTGAAATGGCTTCTTCAAGATCATATGTAAGTACAAGAGGAAATAAAACCCAACTAATTTCATCTTCATCAGCCTCAAAATATGAAGAGAAAAGGAGAATTAGTTAACATAAATTATATGGCATTATTTTAAAATCATATCTTTATTATACATAATTCTTCTTATTTTTAAGTGTTAGTTTGGATTTATTTCAGAGCCGTACGTAGTTGTAACGAATGTGACTAGTATCTTTGTTGATCATATGGTCTACTTTTTTGTGGATCACTCTTTTATTGTATGTTTCTTTAAGTCAAGAAACGAAATGTGCAGCTAAAAATAGGTCAATAATAACTTGACTTATTATTTATTGATCTCCCCTTTGTTTCTTTTTTAAAAACAAAATCCATTTGTACTAAATGTTCACCTTTCAACACATTGACTCGATGACTTTCCATTTAGGTGTGTCTGATGATGAAGTAATCACTTCGAAACCGGTCGCCAATAAATTGACTTTGTGAGATATAAAGGACCTTTCCTTACAACCTTCATACTTAAACCCAACCACTCGCATATGACTACCCTCGCCCCTAGTAATAATTATCATCCAGAAGTTATAAATGTTATGTGTGTTTCTGCAGTCTCTGTTGAGTGGCCTTTTCTAAACCCATGTTGCGTTGCTGACACTCTCGATTGGTTTAAGAATTGTTCAATTCTTTTCAGTTAATTTGATAAAGTTGCTGATCAAAGAAATTGGTCTATATTTTTCAACGTTTTGTGTGTCTCCTTTTTTATGTAGTGGTACAACTAAATTGCTTTGATGTATCGGGAAAATCACCATTACATACTGAAAGTTTATTATGGTAATGGTGTTAGGATTACATTCGTTCATTTTTTAAAGCATACATGAAGATTTCATCATATCCACAAGGCTTTTTACCTTGAATGTCTTTAATAATAACCTATTTATTATATCGTTGGCTTATAAGCAAAACAGGCTAAGTCAGATTTGATGAAAAATCCATTAGTCACTTAATATATTTTTCCTGAACAAAATAATGCTATTATGGATTTTATGAATACGAAAATTATTTAAAAATAAGGTTATAATTCTTAGAGGACAGAGAGGATTTTACCTGTAAATAATGCATTTCAATATACAAGGTATACAGAAAAAAATTAGTGAGCTAGAACAAATTTTAAAAAAGAATAAAGTAGATATATGTTGTTTTTCAGAACATTGGCTAAACGGTAATGAAATTGATATGTTAGAGCTTTGTGATTATTCTTTGATAACTAAGTATTGTAGGACACAATACCAAAGGGGTGGAGTCTCTATTTATGCAAAAAGTAGTATGTTAATAGAACCTGTATACTGCAATTTTGCTTTTGAGAAAGTTATCGAAACAAATGTTTTTAAATTAATCTTTAAAAATGAGGACATTTTTGTCATATCTCTCTATAGACCACCCAAATCAGATTTCAAATTGTTTACTGATAGGTTATATGACCTTTTGTGTTCTTACTATAACCCCTCTAGATATTATGCTGTAAGGGTGATATGAATGTAGACTTACTTATTAATAGTAAAGAAACAAAATTACTTATGAATATTTTTAGGAAATTTGGCCTGTGCAAGATTGTCACAAAACCAACATGGGTCGCCAGTATTAGCTCAACTTTTTACAAATATTGAATATAAAAATAGTTTCCTGTCAGACCATTCACTACAACTCTGTGAATTCAACTTGCAAATAACAAATCAGGTAGAAACTACACAATATTTTGTTAGGGATTTAAGTGACAGTAACAAACTTATCTTTAAAAATATAATTATTAACGAATCATGGGAAGACATGTATAACTCATTTGAGTTCAATAACAAATTCTATTCGACTTTTTTGTACCATTTCAACAATGCTTTTACATTTAAAAAAAGTTGAACCTAAACGACACAAAAATAATTTTTATAACGTGGAACTAAGTGCACTGCATGAGATGCTGTGTGAATTACATAGTATATACATAACTAGTAATAATACTATTAGGGATAGATATAAAAAACTCAAAATAATTTATGATAATAAAGTCAAATCAGCAAAACTTTCCTTTAATAATAAAAGGGCGATTAATGCAAAAAATTTAACCAAAGAATGTTGAAGAATTGTAAATGAGGCAAAAGGAAAATCAGTAAAAAAATTACCCATCGAGATGCTAAATTGTCAAGGCAATAAAATTTCTGGTGTACAAAATATATGTAATGCTTTTAATAATCAGTATACTGATGTAGACTATCTTTTACCAAATTATAGTGAAGCAAGGCTTCAAGATTTTTCTATTTTTAACTCCAACTACTCCAAAGGAAATAACAGAAATGATACAGAAAACAACTTGTAAACAATCTGCCGGTATAGACGAAATAATATTGTCTTTTATTGCTGAAGATATTAGTGTACCTATGTTCTACATTATAAACGAGCCTTTTTTTATGTGGTGACTATCCTAGCATATTAAAAAAATCAAAATCCATTCCTATATATAAAAATAAAGGGTCTGTAAATGACATGGCAAATTATATGAACATCTGCATTCAAAGTCAACTGGCTAAAGTATTTGAAACGGCCTACAATAACAGGTTCATTAAATTTCTAGAATATAATAGACTTTTGAGTAAATTTCAACATGGTTTTCGCAGAAATAAGTCAACATTTAGTGCTATAGGGGAGTTATGCGATTTTGTTTACACATCTTTAAATAACAAGGAATTAAATATTACCTTATACTTCGACCTCTCACGAGCCTTTGACTCAATTGACCATCGACTGCTAGTAGATAAATTGTACCAAACAGGTATAAGGGGCCCGCCAAATAAGTGGATACAGTCATATTTAAACAACCGTGAACAAGTTGTAACCATCGGATGTGATAACGGGAGTATCGCAGAGCTCAATATTGGGTCCTGTTTTATTTTTAGTTTTTAATAATGACTTAGCTCTATCATGTACAAGTCAAAGTACCAAAATTATATATGCAGATGACACAACTTTTGGAACATCAGCAAAAAATGCATCTGAACTTCAATATATTGCCAATAGTGCTGCACATGAATTTTATAGTTATTGTATTTCACACAGCTTAAATGTTAATGTAAAAAAATCTGAAATCATGACCTGTCTACCAAAAAATATAAAAAACGACTTCAGCTATCTCGTTAAACTGAATCATCAATAATTGATACAAACAAGTTCGAGCAAATTCTTAGGTATAATTCTGGACAGCAAGTTAACGTGGGAGAACCATGTAGATCATGTACTAAATAAACTAAGTAGTGTATGTGTTCTAATGAGGCAGTTAAAATGCACTGTAAATCCCGAAGTTTTAAAATTAACATATTTTGGTTTGGCTGAATCAATTATCGCATACGGTCTAATTTTTTGGGGCTGCTCAGCTCATCTGGAACGAGTCTTCTGTGTACAAAAAAAAAGTTATAAGATACATGGCTGGGGTTTTAAGAACAACTAGCTGCATACAACTTTTTCATGACTTTAAAATCCTAACATTTCCATCTTTGTATATATACTTAATATAAAAAAACAGGAATCCCAACTATCAGATTATACACTCACACAATTATAACATACAAATATCTACAGCAGTCTTTCTCTAGACTCTTAGTTGGACAGAATTCCGAAATCTACAGAGGTGTTGCATGTTTTAATAGATATACTCACAAACTAAGTTGAACGAAATTTGCAAAGATTGAAATCAAATAAAACAACATGATTTAATTGAAAGGTCAAAAAACTATTTTTTGTATCACTATCAACAAATTACATATGGCAACATGATTTAAATGTTAGTTTGAAAACTCTCAGAACTGAGGCATAATATAAATATTAAAATCCAAATTTATTTTTAGCGTGTTTCGCGAGAAATGGATTTCATCTTCAAAATGATAACAGAAACATCTAGTGATTTGTCAACGGTTGATAAAATAATTTACAAATTTTTTTCTCAGGTATGAAATATAATGGTAAAAGTACTGTACTTTTTAAGAAATATTTCTTTAATAGTTTGTATAAGTTGAAAGAATTCTTTTTTATATTTTGATTAATACACTATTAATGATTATTTTATAATTGATTTTTATGTCTGCACGGTCAAATTTTATATTTTTTTACTATTTTTAGGATCAGTGTACGTACATTCTTACTACAGTGGAACCAACCATATACCTTATTGTTTTATTTGAAAATAAGAAATCTGAAAAAGATGCCTACATATCCAACTTTATGTTAGAACTATGCCACAACTTAAGATGTACAAAATTATTCACCAGTTTAAAAAGTACTACTAAATAAATAAGAAGAAACCAAGTAGTTTGGAGTGAGTCAACTCAAAATGAAACAAAAGGAAATGTAAATTGTGCAATATATTTTTGTTTATAAAATAAATAAAAAAATGAAAATCCCTAATACAAATTGAAAAATACATAATATTACCAAATATTGAACTGAACATTCGAGTTTTGCAATATTTAAGAAAGTAGTCCATTATTTTGACAATAAACACTAAACTCTATCTTATGATCAATTTTTATATAAGTCTCTAATCCAGGAATTAGATATTTTAAGTGCGTTTTATTTCTAAAAATCTTATCTAAACTCGAAAGTAAAATGTTCAAACTGTTAAATGTTCTGTAGGCTTCTAATGCTTCCTTGAATTCCAAAAATGTAGCACCATCTAAATTTTTTTTAACCTGAAACAAAACATTAAACACATTCAAGCAACTGGTCCAAAAATAGAAAGTTGTAAATATGATGAATAATCAAATAAAATAAAGAAGAAAAATAATAAAATCTTATAACCATGTATCACAAAATAATAGGTGCGACAGTTTCCCTCCGGAAAACACCTACTCCTTTGGCTTATTATACAGGGTGGGCCACGCCTCGGTATGTAGAGCCAAAACTATTTGATTTTTTAAAATTGGGTTCACAGTGCGATGTATATCAGATAAGGAAACAATTTCAATTATACCGGGTTCTCCAAGAAAATGGTACATATCAAAGTTAGGTTTTTTTTTAATGGGCCACCCTGTATTTTATTTTCTATTTGAATTTCCCTTGCACAGAGGAAAAAGGATCAGGGTCACAAAAACTAAAAAAAAGTTTTGGCTCTACAGACCGAGGCATTACCGGTGGCCCACCCTGTATATTAGCAAAAGAATTAGTTGTTTTTTTTTAAGGTAAAAAGTCGCTCGTATTATTTTGTGACACATGGATTTGAATTTTATTTGTTTTTCTTCTTTAATTTTCCTCTTGAATTATTTTAAGAATGGGGATCCGTACAACCTCTCAGATTTTATTTTTATTAATATTTTTGAAACGTTTACATATCAACTAATCGTCTCGGAATATACAGGGTGTTATAGAATGTTGTGAAGAAAATTTAATGGCAGATTCTACATCTAAAAATATGAAAAAAAAGTTCATATAAACAAGGGTCTAGAAATGCTGTGAAAAACAAGTGGCGTACAGTTTTTCTCGCTAGACATAAAGACTTGCCGGCACGAACGCCACTGACGTAAGTGATTTAGAAATAGTATATTATGCAACGATCATGTAATGATGGTTATTAATACACGAGCATTAACCGGGATACGAAACGAGCCAAAGGCGAATAAAAATAAAATCTGAGAGGTTGTATGGATCCCCATTCTTAAAATAATTCAAGAGGAAAATTAAAGAAGAAAAACAAATAAAATTCAAATCCATGGTGTCACAAAATAATACGAGCGACTTTTTACCTTAAAAAAAAAAACAACTAATTCTTTTGCTAAAGGCGAGTTTCGTATGGTTTATGCGAGTGTTTTAATAACCATTACATGAGAGTTGCATACGCTATTTTTTCTACACCCGATAAATAATCAAGACCTATAAATATTATATTTATATTGGTATTGAACACAATAACAGTAATTACTCGTATTTCTATAAAAAATTCTACAAAATTGTAATTAATGGTATTACTTCAGGTATTGGTATTTCCCTAGATTTTTGCGGTAAAATATTTTGTACTGTATTTTCTGCTTTCTCCGATATGTGTGGAGGAGTCTTCTATATCGCTAATATCAGACATTTTAATATTATAATTATCGAAGTTTAGCTACCTACGAAAATTTAATACGTTTTGACAACTAAAATAATTACATAGGAACCTAGGACAAACGTCAAACAGCATGCTTGATTGAAAAATTGTAGGTTTCTATTGATTAAAAATCTGTATCATAATGGGTATCATTATGAAACGGATTATGGGCATATAAGTGCATTATTATAATACGGGTGTAGAAAAACAATTTTTTATACAACTGGTATGAAAAGTAGCCTATTTCTCATAGTTTACTTAATTTCAAAACCATGTATTGCTCATACTGTGAGAAATATATTTTCTCACGTCACTTTGCACACACCACATACATTTATAAGTAGAATCAACAAAAATATACAAAAACTTAGTTGGCTGCTGTTCACTGTTGTCACAACTGTCAGATGATTATGGTTTTTTAAATTTTTAAGGTTGTTTTCATTTGTACTTTGATAAAAATTGAAATTTCCGTTAAATATTATTTTAATAAGACATATCCCTATTTATAATAAATAATTGGATATTGACGATTTTGACAATACTCCGCCAGATATATTGGAAAAAGCTGAAAAAGTAACGTTAGATTTGTTGCCGGTAATTTCAAGAAAAAAGTACGAATTGGCATACGAAAAATTTATGGAATGGAGAATACAAAAAATTGTACGAATTTTACCATTAACTATAATTTTAAATAAAATATTTAACTTTAAGAAATGGGATACTTAGTTTTGCTAACCATAAAAATAAATATTACATTACTTGTATTTTTAAAATTTATGCAGTTAAAGAAAAAGTATAGTGTGCAACAAATGAAGAAAGTACTTTTCTCACTTGTTGCACAATATACTATTGTACTTGTAAATGTGACCTTTTATGATACATTTGCGCGTATACCAAAACTCATTTCAATATCTCGAAGGGTTATCGATAAATGTAAGATAAGCTATTAAAGACGGAAAAGTTTAAACACCCCGTATCATAAAAACAGTATTTCCAGACCCATGTATATATGAACACTTTTTCATATTTTAGATGTAGAATCTGCCATTAAATTTTCTTCACAACATTCTGTAACACTGTATATTTTTTTGTAGTTTCATATTTAAAAAATACGTGTATATTTTGTTGTAGTTTCATATTTAAAAAATACGTGTATATTTTGTTGTAATTTCATATAAAAAAATAATGTGACGTCTCTAATCACGGTTTTTTGTGTATCACCGGCATTAAATGCTAAAGTTATTAACCTCGTGTTCTGCGTATGCTTTGCTACTGTTTCGCAGCGCCACCTTAGGAACAACAAAGCATTAGAACCCAACAGTGAATGGTCGAGTGGGAAATCCTGCCTATACATTAGAATTAATATTTAATTCGTTAAATAAAACTCCTGTCACTAGCGGGATTCGAACTTTAGGCCTCCTTTATTTTCAAAGTCGTAACTCTTACCACTGAGACAACTCATCCCCACTAATCACTGTTATCGGCAATACAGCAAATACGTTTGTTGGGTGGGTGAAATGTTCCTTATGTTAAAAACTGAAATGCGATACCACAAAAAAGTTGGAAACTATATTTTAAAACAAAATATTGTTTTATAGTTAAATTGAATAAAAAATTAAACAAAACTTTCGGTTTAAAATGTTAGTGTTCCTGTAATATGTTAACTGATTTCTGATATATTGTCAGTTCTGTGTGAAAATTCATGAGGTGTATTACACAATTCTGCTTCAGAATTGTCGTTTTTTTTGTGTCATCGGCATCAACTGCTGCGATTATTAGCCTTGTGTTATGTGCAGGCTTTGTTACTGTTTCCCATTGCCACTTTAGGAATAGCACTGTTAATATTAGAACTCGACAGTAAATGGTTGCGTGGTTAAATAAAATTCCTGCCACTAGCAGGATTCGATCCTGAGACCCTTCGATCTCGAGGTAATGACTTTAACCAGTGAGCCAACCCACTCCCTAATTGAACCCTTTCTCGTTTGAATCTGACAGGTTAAAACAATAAAACCGATAATTCGGAAGCAGAAAAAATGATTAAAATGCACCTATTATCACCTTTGGTATTGTCAAACGTAAGTAATGCACATTTTTTTATTTATCAAAAGCATACTATAATTTTTGGACTAATTCGTCCATAGCCTTTTGGGAAACCATTAAAGATATTTTGACCTCTCAAAATCAAATCACACATAACAGCAAGTGTCTATAGACATCTCCTCCATGGAACAGAATGAAAGGACTCCGTTTGCACAAGAGTATAATTTGATATAAACAAATTATTCATTTATTATTCTTATTTAATTTTAATTATATTTCTTCTTTGGATTTAAATTTAATTTCCCAAGTAAAATTTAATTATGACTGTGTAAATATGTCGTTAAAAATGTTTAAAAACGCGAAGGTGCGTTAAATGCAGTCATCGTGCATTATTTTATTTTCTCTCCACCTAATATTAGCAAAAAAAATAGTCGCAATTTACTTTTTTTTGTATTTTTTTTTTTTTTGCAAAGTTGTATTGATCCCTATTGTTTTGCTGTCCCTTTTTAGTCATATCATAGGTTTTAGTATGTGTAAGAAATTATCTTCAAACTCAATAAACTTTTATTTTAAAAATATTGATTTACCAAAGCCACCTAGATATTCATCTCAATAAAAACCATAAAAAATGCAATAAATCATTAATGTGATAAGTACCATAATTATATATTCTGTAGATGTAGAAGATGATAGTGGAACTATTGCGGGTTGCTTTGAATTTGGTACAACTGTCAGTTTTATCTTTTTACTACCGTTCTGAAGTTCGGGTTTGTTCCTTTTGTGAATCGTAACATCCCCAGTGGGGAATAAATTTTCTGATGAACTTGCCGTTTCTAGTGTAGAATTTTGTAAAGAATAATCGAAACGTGTTGCCGGTTTAAACTAAAAATAAAGCTTAGTATTAATATTCAGTGTAATATCATTATAAACATGGTTAAAAAAACTTACCTTAACATCAGCTGCATTAAAGAAAAGTTTTAACTCTCGCAATAATTCTCCAAAATTCTTGACCACTTTAATGTGATTTCTAATCCACAGTGACATCTGACTTTTCAATGACAAACCATTAAATCGATTATCAAGTAGAAGTATCGCTCCGTAATCATCTTTATGACGAATCACTCTTCCTATGGCTTGATTTACAGCTCTAGAGGCTTCTAAGCTATACCATTCTTGACCTCTTAGGAACTAGAAGCGCATAATAAATTAACCAACACAGAAAGGAAAGATAGGGCTGCAGCCAAAACCCTTGCCGCGCCTTATTAACAAACATATTTATGATTATTTATTAAATATCCATTCTTTTCCACAAGAAATTCTTCCAAAAATAAGGGATAAAAATGTGTACAAAACATAATTTTATAAATAATCTACTCAAAATTAGAAAAATATTATATGTAACACGTTACGAAATGCTGTTTTATGTAACTCGTTCATAAAATAAGACATTTCGCAACTGGTTTCATAAATAGTTATTTAATAATTAGTTGTTCTCAAAATATTTGTACGATTCTCAACTTAGAATATTGCCTTTGCGGGAATTTTTTTATTCAGTTTTTTTACCCCTAGTCCTTTTATTTACCCTGGGCAAGTAATGAAAAAAAAAAGTCATAATAACCTAATTTATGATGAATGAGGTAAAAATAGTGAATAAAAAAAGCCAACAAAATGTTAGTTGAACACCATACAAACATTTTCTGCGCAATAAAATCTCTTTAAGTCTAATTTTTAAACTATTAATAAAAGGCACTTTTCTCAAAGTTGGAAAATCCTTTTTTCCATATCAACTTATTTGCTGAAACAAAAAAATGTTCACACTATCATCTTAGGTTCACAAAAGCTGCGTTTAAGCTTTATCACAAATTTCATTAAATACCAAGTACCCCTACACCGAAAATCCTACACCGAAAATGGTAAAATTGGAAGACAGAAAATGCTTGTAGACTTGTTTTTTATTATTCTTGACGACTACAAGCAAATATTTCATGACTGTTAAAAAAAGCGAAAATCGATCGATACGAAACTTTACTTTAAATTTTAAAGATCACATGATCGCCTCTACCGCTTGGACGTAGTACAACTTGTTCGCCCTTTCCCAACACCCAACTACAAAGATCGGGCAAAAAACGACGTCCTATTTCACAATGGAAAGAATTAAGGAAATCATAAAACTTTTTAGATAGGTATGAAAATTGTTATTCTTTAGAAAAATTGCCTTTAAATTGTTATAAGTTATAACTGTAAACAATTACATTTCATTACATGATTACTTTTATAACAATTACTTTCATTTATAACAAATTACTATTATTTTTTATTAGGTAATTACATTGAATTAGTTTTCCAACTAGGCTAAAATTACCAATTACTTTTAAAAACGAATGTAATTGTGATTAGGTCACCTTGATGGAATACTATAAAAAATAAGAGTGTACAAAATATAAAGTTAAGGTATCGTTAAGTACTAATATACTCGTTTCAATTATATAAAATAAAATTTGAAATTAATAATAATAATAGCAAGAATTCACTTCACGATTTAAAAAAATAACTAAAATAAGAAATATATACATTAAAATATAAAAAAATTAAAATAAAGTAAAAATGTGATAAAAGATGCCCACAATTATAAATTTTTAAATACCTCTTTATTTTCTGCATTACACCTATCCAAGTATTGCCTCTTTAGAATAATTTTAGGGTCTTTGAGTGGTGGAAATGGCAATCCAGTTATTATAACAGTTCTACCATTTGCATCGACGAAATCTAGACCTTCAGATACTTTTCCTCTACACACTCCCATAAAAATTGCTCCTTTACAATCAGGATTTTTTATTTTTGAATAGTAATCGCTCATGGCGGTATTGAAGGAGTTTTTGTCTCTGGGCTCCACATAAATAGCCTTGAAATTAAAATATTTATAATTTAAAAAAAAAGTACTATACCACAGTACCGAAAGTTGGCAAACTGACGTCATCTGTCAATAAATGTAGGGGAACTTTCAAGTGGAATAGAGAAAGGGTAACAATTGTTTAGTGGTGCTTATATATTTTTTAGTACATGATGAATTCAGTTTGTTTTAAAACTTGTTTCAACAATTTTTAGGCCATACTATAATTTTCGTCTCTTTCTGTAGTAACGTTTTTGTCTACCATACTTAAATTTCTTGATATTTTTGGCAAATTATTATCGTTTTGTAATTCAGCTTCGATTATTGTTACGTTTGAATTTAGTTTTGTAAATAAAATGAATATATTTCTCGACAAATTGCATATTTTATATGATCTTCCAAGACTAAATCCAGTCTAATTCAGTTGCTTCTCAAATTTAGTTACATTTCAAGTTTATCATCTTTTCTAAATGGGCGCTCTTCCTAACCGACGCCTACCATACCCTACCTCCTATCGACGTTCTACGTCCCGCCGCCCTACATCCCTATCTTTCTACGTCCCAGCGTTATTCGTCCCGACGTGGGAACTTACAGTGCTATAACTGACTTTCTCTTTTCTTTTCATAATGATCTGTGAGACAATAAACTTTTATGGATATGTCAAAGTACAATAGATCTCCGACAATCAGATCTTACATATGTTCACATGGTTGCCAAACATAAGACGATTTCCATTTTGTACAAACTACATATGACATGATTTTAATGACATCAGTTTGCAAACTTTCTGGACTGAGGTACAGTGGTTAAATATACGGAATACTCAACAAAAAATGTTTCTAAAATAGGCCTTGGAAAATGTACAAGTCTTCTTCTTTTTAAGTATCAGTTAAAACATGATTTGTATCTCTTTGTCCATCATGACCTACTTTAGAAACATTTTTGTGGATCACTCTTTACTATACAGTATGTTACCAGTTTATAGTTCTGTTTAAAAAAAATGTCTATATATTAAATATGTATAATACCTTTATATTGTTTATACTGCCCCAAATTCCGCTTTGTTGCCAGGTTTGTTGACATTTTAACATAATAGGGTAAGAAGGAAAGAATATTAACAATCCATCCGGTACCATTTTCGTAATATTTAGTATCGACATGCCCAAAGAGTTTATGTATTTTGGATTATCTCTAAAAATAAATAATTCAAAACATATTCTGCTTTTTTTTGCATATATTTCAAAAATCAACTAAAATTACTTACCGATTTTGAAAATTACTATTTAGAGGTTCAGAGTCGGGTCCGGCTGGTATAATTCTCACGCAAATTTGATCGCTTCCAATTATATGGGGATTTTCTAGTCTAACACCTACATTTATTTCCAGTTCTGATATTAACGGTTTTAATGGAGCTAAAGTACCACTAGTTAGTATAAGACATTTTATACCCTGATTCAACAATAATTTCATTCTAAAAAAAAAATAAAGGATGAAAAACAAGCTTCAAATTTTAATCTTTAAATAGAAATTACCCAAACCCAGGGCTAAAACACCAATAATTAATTATTTTCCCTCCTGCCCTAGAAGTAACCATTTTTGATAACCAATTATCTGCCCTTTTTTTCTTTACTTCTTCTTCTTGAATATGAACCTAAAATATATATTTTTTTAAAAATTAATAATTAAATTAAAGAGAACAAAATCACCTTATAACATTTTTTTACTTTTTCCATATAGTCTTTAGATAGACTAGAAAATACAACAGTAAAAATATCTTCAAATAATTTTAAACTATTGCCTTTACGAACAAACAGACCATCGCTGGCTGTAGCCAAAAACTGGACAATGTTAGAAATTAACTTTACAATCGAATAAAAGTTTTCAGGACGGATCTAAAAATCAATCATAAATCTAAATTAGCAATACAAAATATTATATTTATTAAACATACTCCTGCACTCTCAAGTAGATTAAAAATATAAGTGCCATCTAGAGTAAGGCCTGCAGATTTTCCCTTTAAGTCGATTTTATCTATTTCCTTTTCCAAGTTTAAAAAAACTTCCTTTAAAATACATAAATCTTCAGTATCGAAATCTTTGGGAGAATCATCAAATCCAAGATTTTCCTCGGACATCATTTTCATAGTAGTTGTTACTTCTTCTATAGCTAATGCTATGTCTGAAGATTTTATTTGAAGAGAAGCCGACTCTTCGCAAATTCTTTCAACATTATGAGCCTCATCTAAGATTACCACTGAATTTAATAGGCTAATATCTAGATAAAAATAGTTCACATTAAAATTTGATGCATATAATATGACATTTGAATACTTACTTAAAGATTTTCTTAAAGATGGGTCCAACAGATAGTTATATGGCATAAAAATAATGTCAGATTGTTCTTTTAGTTCTTTGGACATATAATAAGGACAGAAACCGCATCCCTTTCCTAACGTTACAATATCTTCAATATCCATAATGTTGACATTTGTAACACGGGGATTAATTTTGAATGATTCTACCTTGTTGAAAAACTTACAAGATCTTGTTTTTCTCTTTAATTCGCACATCGTCATCTTAAACAAAATAAAATCTTATTTTTATAAATCAATATACATATAATAACTAAGATAGTTGAATTTATCGCCAACCATCAATGTATTACCATAGCGATTTGCGCTTCTCTTGATCAGTTCATAATCTCAGTCTAGTTCGATAAAGAATCACTTTGTTGACTTGGTGCATAAATAACTATTATTCTAAATCTCAATACGTTTTTAGATGGATACTTAAGAATTCGAAAAAATGTTGCTAATATTTTTACAAAATTTTACCAGTATTTCATCATTTAGAACAGCCAATAATCGATATCAAATATGATTTTGTCAAAATAAGTGCATTATGAGAGTATGTTTACCCCCGTGATTCAAATTAATTTTCCCGCGCCGTTTTCAGCTGATTTGGTTTAATTAGGCATGATACACTACAATTTATTTTTTAGTAATGGAAATTTGAACGAAAAAGTAAAGTTCAACTTTGTGACATTCGGAAATTCATATTTTAGAGTTCCATTGAATTAAATAGTAATAGAAGCCTACTTAAGCATATGAGTAATCAAATCGTGCACAAAACATTGCTGTTCATGGGGACCACATTTACCCTGTGGAACGGGTGGACAGAATAGCTCCACCTGAGAAATTATCATCTGGGAGGTAGAAACCCACCAAATGGTCACTTCTAAAAATTGTGGTAACAATGCTGTTGTAGCAGTTTTCTGGATCTACAGTGAGCTTTCGAAACTATAGATAGGGAGAGGTTGACTCATAATTTAACAAGAATGGCTTAGAGGGGCATGTATTTAAGTGGTTTACAATTAATAATAATATTAATGCCAGGAACAATATTAGACAGAAAAAAATACATATAAAATTGTATGGTATTAGTCAGAAGCCAGGATAATCTGTACTAGTTTGATGACCTACAAAGTGCACACTGGGGTGACTTAAAAATGAATATAGTGGTGCATTTGCTAAGAAATATGGGGAAACCCAGCAAAACCCATATTATCATTGAAAACTAGTATAGATTTCTGTTGATTTCACAAAGTATTTACAAATAATAATTACATCATCTAAGTTGTAAGGCTCAATATAAAACAAAATTTGTTTGACCTTATTTTTGAAAGCTGATAGGCTCTTAGTATTTTTTAAAAGAGTATTACAGAGACGTCTTGACAGCGTGAACCTCCCCAAAAAATAATTCCATAGCACAGGAATAGATCATAATAATAATAATAATAATAATGATAATAATACTCCCTTACGAGTGAATTTTAACCCCAAAAGCTGAGCTTGTGCGGGGAAAGGGACGGCTATTATTATTATTTGCCGTGGCGCTCCGGGGTGACTTAAAGATGATTGATGGTGCCATTTGACTTACAGGTGAGGAAAACCTCACCCACCATCATCGAGACGGTAATGTATGGCCATTTTTTTTATAATCTGCATGTCATATCAACAGAAATTGAATTTCTATTAATACGGCACACATCAAATCCTATACCGAACCATGCAATTTAATTAAAAATCCACATGGTCTGGGATTCGAAGCCCAGCAGTCTCTGACTTACCACTTTGAAACCCATGCTGCGTACTTGTGATAACATTATTTCTAAAAATGGCAACAGTCTGTTACACATAGCAATTTCAAAAACTTTGGAAAAACAAGACAAAAGACTAATTGGTCTACTATTTTCTTCTAGGGAAGGATCTCCTTTTTTATGAATAGGTATTACAATAGCTGATGTATTTTAACATCATATTACTGATGTTATCATCACCTGTTGAGTGTTTATTTTTCAAATGGTTGATTATATTCTTTGGTTCTTCTGGCGTTACATTCGATATGTATAATGATCTTGGATAGTCATCCACATAATTTAAATTACCATTACTGGACACACCCCTTAATAAATTTGTAACTACTGAGACAAAGAAATCATTAAAATAATTAGCAACTGTTGTTTGGTGAAGAGAGTATCTGGCCCTCAATACTGATGATACCTTCAGAAAAATTATTTTTTGTTGTAGCTTTGCCCAATTCAAAGTTTACAATATTCCAAGCAGTTTTCATTTTATTGTCTGTTAAGTTTTTTTATTGTAAAAATTTATTTTTTCATTCTGTATTAGATTTGTATAGGTTTTAAATTCGTTCAGTTGATATTTAGAGATTTGATTTAATAAGTACATTTCCGATAAAAGATTAAGAGCATTTTTAGCTTTATTAGTTTTTTGTGACCTCCACTTGGGTTTTATTGTTTTGCACATATTCAACTTTTTTAATGGGAAAGCCTCATTATAGTGTCCACATAGATTATTAATGAAGATATTATACATATCATTTGCAGAACGAGATTAATAATCTGAAAGACACGTTTCACATGCTAATAGTGAGTTAAACTTAGCATAGTTTCTTTTGCTAAAAATATTTTTGCCAATATCGGTCATTGTCTATGTTTGAGCTCTTTTTTGCTTGTAAAAAAACTACGTACTTGTAGGCATCACTATTATAAACAAAAAATCTTAGTTCCATATCTTGTGCAAATTAATAACAACGACACAATTAATGTTTTTTTTAATGTTTCACAAAATGTCTCTATTCAAAGCTCAGGAGATGCTACTTTTACATCTTAACTGTTGCCAATTCTCACAAAAAGTTTACCATTTCATTATTTTAGTATCAAAAGTATACCAATTCATTTCTAATAATTTTCCTTGTCCTAACAATATTTTCTAGTATTATAACTATTGACATTGTTTTTCCCACGCAGCACCCCTACTCACTCCCTTTCCCGTAAAACTGATAAAATTATTGTAAAAAATGGCAATTTTTATTTAAAAAAAATATTTGTGTCCTTATTCATTTATATGGAACTTAGATTTTTTGTTTACGATAGCAATATCTACAAGAACCTACGCTTGGTTTTTCTGTAATCAAAAAGAGCTCAAAGTAGACATTTACCTATTGTTTAATAACCAACAATGGTTACTCTTCCTCCACAGTAATTAATAATTATGGTGTGTCACTAGAACAATCTGAATTAGTGTTTGACTACAATGATTTTTACAATGTATTGACAAATTCTATGCAGTTATTCACTGAGACTAGTGGCATCGGTCATAGATCAAAAATTTGATGTTTTTTCAAAGGCAATTCATACTCTAGAAAAACATAGAAATTGCATAACAAGAAAATGTGAAAGGTTCGACAACTCACTGAAATGTTGCATAACGTTTTGCTGGATTGTAGAGAAGAATTGGGTTGAAGTTTATAAGTTTCTAAAGTCTCATGTAAATTTTTATTATGATTTTGATATTAAATTTATTTTTTTTTGTTGCAGTACTATTTTAAGGCAATAAACTTTGTTTACAATGAAAATGTCAAGTAATAAATGTCATACTGTGGAAGTGGCTAAAGTAGCAACCCAAAAAAATTTCAATTTTACAGCCAACTCCAATTTTGATTATTCTCGATAGCTTGTTAAAAGTATTGCCTTATTTGATCCTCGAAAACACTGGAGATCATTTTCCCAGAATTAAAATATTTAACAAGTTAAATAAAATTGGCACACAAAAAAACAACAATCTTTATTAAATTTTTATTAATATAAATGAAAAGGAAACTGAATTTTTTTTAACAAACGTCAAAAAAAGAAATATTTTTTTTATGTATGTTCAACAATAATTCTTTACCACATCCAATTTATATGATTCTTTTTTTGTTAGAAAGGGGATATTTGTGGTCAAGATCTATTAATAGCATTCATAAGAAAATCATCAAACTCTTCATTTTTTTTATTTATTTTCAGCTATAATATAATAAAATTCCCATAAAACTATTGGGATTCCTAGTATTTATCAAAAAATACCTACAATTATGTATTTATCTAAAAATTTCCCAAACTATGGAAAGTGTAATAGCAGCTTACGAAGGAGATTTAAAGAATTATAAAAATGTATGTGATCAGTCAGTATTTTCTAAATTATTGGACAATATACAGGGTGTTAGTATATTCAAGTGAAAACACTCTACAACAGAGTGTTGAATTTTGAAATAGAAACATGAACCCTTAAAGGGCTTAGTTTACTTACTTAAAAGATTTAAATCAACATTTAAAATTTATCATACATCAAAAACCTCTTTAAATATTTTTTTCCAGTTTGATCTACCAAGATCTTGTCAAATACATGAACTATTAAAAATTTGACAAGTGCCTACTAGATTTGAATTTAGAAATATTGAGTTGCTACAAATTATCGAAGTACATGCATACTTTTGTTCGGAAGCAAATTTCTACACTATTCATTTTAGCTCCATAAAAGTTTATTACTTACTTCTTTAAATAAATTAAGAGAAATACAGAAAATGTTTGTTCCAGTGGCATATAAAATAGTGGGGAAAAGTTGCCACTAACCCTGATACCTTGCCACTGGTTAAATTTTTCAAAAGCTAGTTTATGTCAAAATACTATTTTCTTAAAGAGCATAATGGTCACAAATTTGAAAAAAAAAAAATATTTAAGTTGTTTTTTGATTTATGGCAAATTTTTGAGTTTGATCTCAAACTTTGACCTGCAGGTGTATTGGTAACTAAGCCCTTTAAGGATTCATGATCCTATATCAAAATTCATAAATTAACGAGAGCTCTCTGGGGTAGAGTGTGGTACCTATATAGTTACTATAAAAACTATAGTTTATGATGAACTGTGGAAAGAATTATTATTATTATTAGGACTAAAACATCAGAGATCCAAACGATATTAAACCAGCCATCATCAGTGATCCAAACAATCTTAAACCATCACCTACATATAAACAGTATGTTAACCAAAAGCATCAATCAACTCGCCAGTCTGCCTGCAGTGACTGGACATATAGTTACACCTCTATCAGTAGTGGGAGCAAGTATGCTCTATTTCTGTCTACTCAATAGCATTGTTTTTCTGTACCATTCACCTGGAGTCAATATTGAAAAGTTAACGTATTTTATAAAGAAATAATGTACCTTAAAAGTCCTGTTATCTTCTTTTTCAACTTCTGGATGAATACACATCTGATCCCTTGAACCCAAAACAACTGCCTTCATATGACTGTATGCCGTTTTTTTCATTTCTTGCATACATTGGGTAAGTTGACTATGTGTACGGGATGCGTATATAATTCTAGGTAATCCCGATAAACTTCTTGCATTTAAGGACTTTCCTGCCACATCTTCTATTTGTTCATTAACTTGCTTTAAAAACAGAGCCTCCTCAGACTGTAGTGCTCTTTGGGCCTGTATTTGGGCTTTTTTTAATTGCATCCATGCAAGTGTTGAACATAACAATGACAAAGTTTTTCCTGTACCAGTGGGTGATTCTAAAACACCGTGAGTATCGTTTTGTAAGCAATCAAGAACTTTTTCCATATAATCCTTTTGAATTGTATAAGGTTCATATGGAAAATTAATGGGAACCCCTCTCAATGTCACAGTTGTCATGATTATTTTGTAAATCTAATAAAATTTTTAAATAAATGTTTTCACTCCATTTTTAACAAGTACAAGTTTATTATAGGAATAGGCTAGATAGGAGCATGCAAGCAAGACTGAAGTTAGTGCTGTTTACAGATCTACTGTCAAATTTCAAAACGAATCCTACACGAAATGACCCGAAATAGAATTACGTTGCCACATTCTACAAAAAGAATAGAAACTACGTTAAAAACAAACGTATTTTGTTAATATTCTAATAACTTAAACCCTAAATAAACTATTCGATAAAGTTAACGCATATGTCATTAATAATTATTAATAAAATTGTAATAAGTATTTAATTTTTTTTTTTATTTTAAATATATACCACCAAAACATCTAAAACACCAAATATTTTATTGACATGAATATGGCAATCCTGCACAAATATCGACATTCGGGTCTCCGAGGGTTAAATCTCTATAAATATTAGTTTTGGATTAGATTTCGCGCCAATTTTTTTTTATGCCATTTTTATAATTTTATTTTACTCGTAGAAAAATTATTCAACCTATTATAGCCATAGAAAAATAAAAAGATTATAGCTCTAAGGGTCGATTCCACCGTTGTGTTAAACGGAGATTAAAATGACATTGTTAATGTAAAAATGTCATTTTAAACTTCGTTTAACACAACGGTGGAGTGGAATCGGTCCTAGTGTCCTAACCACAGATCATACATACTTCCTAACCCCCTATAATTACCTAGTACAATTTTCATCAGTGTTTTTGTACTTTGAGCCCGTTTTAAATAAAAAGACGGCATCGCGAAACGGCAGCAACCTCCCCACCCAAACCTCCTCGAAAATCGGTGGAAATTAAAATTCTAAAACTAGGTATTTTAAAATCCAAAATTTTGTTTTCGCATTTATAGGTGTCCCAACACATGACTTCACCACAAATCTAGGATAAATATCCTGATTAGTAAAAAATAAATTTTGTACCTACGTTGTAATGTCTTTGGTACCTACTGTCATAGGTAACCTACTGTTTATCAAATATTTTCAATAGGGTTCATTTTAGGACATCATGCCGTGTTGCCGTTTGGGTGGAAATTTCCGCACTGGGTGAAAATTTTAACTCTGGTGGGAATTTTGGGTGGATACAATATTTTTGGGGAATTTGCTCACAATGATTTTTTAGCAAATTAATCTTGGATTTGGATTTCTTTTTTTTAGTAAATAGATAATATTTATCTATTACATTAGGTCATTGATGTGTTAATCAAGACCTGACACACGATATATTATGTCATGTTTTATGTTTTGAGATATATGTTTTATTTTTAAACATATAATGACGTTTTTGTGGTGTTTTGATTTGCTAGTAGTATTTAATGATTGGATTCGTTTTATTAACTAATTTTTAATGGCTTATAATGGTAATAAAAACAGAGCACTTGATTATAGTAAGGCCAAGAGAAAATCTCAAAGTCCATGTCAAAGCAAAATTAAGCGACCGTTTTCCTTCTGAAAACAACTACTCCTTTTGCTAATACCGCAACAGGCACTGCATTAAATCAAAAGAGCAGAGATTGAACAAAATTTTGAACACTCTAGTCTTGTTATTATTCTGCCTTGTTCTAGTTCTAGAGGTTATGCAGCGAGCTGTGATTTTTCTTCCTAAGTACTCGTCGAGTACCTACACTTTTTTAACCAGTTTTATTATATAAGAGTAAAGGTATATAATGCATCAAGCATACTTAATTAGGTTGAAGTTAAGATTGTCTATTTCTTGCTGATGGGTCCTCATAAGGACGAAACCGGCCCAATTATGATGTTCTCCTTCGGAAGCAAAATCAAAGCTATAGTGTTGAAAATTATTTTATCTCGGCAATTTTCCTTTTGATATAATTCAATGCCTGTTGCGGTATTAGCTAAGGAAGTAGTCGTTTTCAGGAAGAAAACGGTCGAAAACTTTGCTGTGAAACGGACTTTGAGATTTTCTTTGCCTTTGTTTCTCAGATCAGCGTCGAGTGGGCATGGAGGAAGGATTATTACGAGTGTGTACTTAACCACTAGATCAGCTAATATGTTGAAATGTCTTTTCAATTTTGTTAACTAATGCTGCGTTTGAAAAGTACCTCGTTTTGCTTTTTTATCTTGATTTTGTTTTTTTAATATATTCAAGCTCCGTTAGCTTCATTTATCAGGGTTACCAGGTTTTTGAAAGAGATGACGGACAGACAGAGGATTTTAGGGGAAATAGGGGGAAGTAAAAACAACTCAGTCTATTTTTACTCTTTTAATCAAAATTACTTATTTTGCAAGAAATCCTTACCTAATATTGGTAAAGATTCACTGAGGTGATTTTACAAATAATAAGGTGAAAATGTAAAGTTAGAAAATCGAGAAATCGCAAATCGAAATCCAAAGTCAGAAAACATTTTCACCTTATTATTTGAAACATCTCGTCTATCTTTACCAAAAAATAGGTTCTGATTTTTTACAAAATAAGTAATTTTGATTAAAAAAATTAAAATAGACAGTTATTTTTATTTCCCCCTATTTCCCCTAAAATTTCCTGTTTGTCCGTCATCTCTTTCAAAAACCTGGTAACCCTGCCATTTATATGGTTGCTCGATGTCACATGACTAAAAAAGTACCCGCTTTGCTCGAGGAGGTACATTTTAAACGTAGCATAAAACGCTTTTCCGGAATATCGTTATATAGAAAACATTTTTTTAGTGAGGGTGGAAAAAAGTGGGTAGTTTTTAAAACCGTGGGTGGATAAAGGGGGAATATTGGGATTAAGTGATGGGAAATTTTACTCTTTCGATTCGGCAACACTGGCATCATGTCAAACAACGCAAAATATACGTAGATTATTTCCACAATTTTCTTCTCAACTTATAAATAACAGAAATATACCAAAAGGATCATAACGGACTCTTTATATAGAAGTAATCCAGTGTCCAAAATCTAATTGGCTTTCCAGAGGACTCTGAAAACCCTATCACACAGCTTATGTTATAGAACAGGGAGATTTACCTAACTTGAAGCCACTTCAAATCCTACACTTCCTTGAGAAAATAGGATTGGAAGGGTCGTTATAGGCATTGAGACATGTCCTTAGTGCATTGGCGACAGAAGGAGGCACAATAGATCTTTTAGGTCGCAGTGTATTAACACCTATGATTAACACCCCATTCTCAACATAACATATCACACAGCTTTCTTTATTAGTAGGTAAGCTGTGGCCATATGTTGTAAAACCCATCAAAGTCGGCCAGGAAGTGTTTAGACTGTATCTTGCTAACACATCATCACACACATATACATGCCTACATCTTTAACATGTTTTTGGATGCCTATAGGGCCCCAAAAAATAAAAATTTGGTGTTATAGGTATGTCAAATTCAAATTTTGGAAGAAATTTTGGTTCAAATAAAAAAAACCCTTAAGAAAAAAAAATAATTATTTATGAAGATTCATTTTTTTAATAACAAATAGTGGCTACAAGCTGCTAGTGTTGCAGAGATCAATATTAAAGATGGAATCACAATGTATTTTCTTCGATCTTTCCTTTTTTTCACTCTCAACACCTACAAAAAAAACCATTATTTTTTCTCTTTGGTTTTAAATGTTCATTTGTTTAAAAGATACCACACAATTGTGGGAGAAATTTCCCTCTAAGGACTACACTATTTTTTTACTCTTACAAATTATTACAAACCTGCTGTTCAAATAATTCAATTCGATCTTCCAATGAGGCAAGTACATTTTGTAGGGATAATAAAGATGGTGTTAATTTTATATTACAAATATCAACGTCTTCCCTCTTCAGTACATAAGTGAGATTTGCCATTTGTTTTTGAAGATGAAAAGACATCTGGTGAAGGACAAGAAGTGTGTATGATTTATCTACCACAAGAGAATTTTTTTTTCTACAAAAAATTTAATCAAATCCAATTAATTTGTATTTTAATTTAAAACACATTTCTTACTCGGACGGTATTTGGAGATTGTTAATGACCTTTAATAATTGTTTTCTCCTCTCTTCATCTCCAATGCCGATTAGTTTCAAATCTTGGTCATTTAGTATTTTTAAAGTGAATGAGTCGATTCCACTTTTTTTAAAAACATTGTTATATTCTTCAAAACCAGAAGAACGTAAAATAGCTTCTAAGAGATCCATTAATATTATAAAACTAGTTTTAGTAGATTTTTGTCTGAATATTTTTATTTACTTTGCTGTTTTCAAATTATATATAAAACTATATCATGAAAGGATAGATTACTTCCAGTTACCATGCATTTTGAAAATAACCGCAAAAACGTGTGACGTCAGCGTAGAACCTAAAAACGTTTACGTTGTCAGTTTAGAATTAAGTTTTTTTCTATGTTGGGTAAAGTGACCATCCGTCCCGATTTAGGCGGGACAGTCCCGATTTAAAAGCACTAATTTCGCTTTAATGTGTCCCGATTTTGTCCTGCTTTTGCCCGACGAAAAAAATAAATATATATTTCATGTAAGCCGTATAACTACAATTTTTTTAGAACAATGCACTCCATTAGAGATTTCCTTTTTTTTATTCTGCTCTTGAACTGCAAATAGAAATCGTCGAAAAAATTACTCGAAAATCCATAAACATCAAATTTAAAAATTTAAAGCATTTTCAATACACTTTTAGCATTGGACGGATTATTTATTAAATAAATAGTTACTCTTAACAATAAGTGCAATGATTTAACACTTTTTTTTAATTTCTATAAGAACTTTCAAGCAATATTTTGTTTATTACATATTGAAATTTAAAAGTCTTAATTATACATCAAAATTTTTTATTTTCCTAACCACTTAATAAGCTTTATTTTTAATTAAAATCAACAGAAACATTCTGTATACATAGACAACGGTATAAAACAATAATAAATGAAATGCTAGGTTGTGCAGTGGCGTCACGAATCGATAGACAATTTGGTAAACTAGGCCATAACTAAGCTATCCTGTTTGTGCATAGAGTGCTTGGTATCTGTCAGGTTCTGCTTCTTCTGGCACCAAAATGTATGACGTACTTCAAAGGACAGTAGGCATAGTAGACGTTATGTTTACTGAGTAAATGTCTGTTAGTAAAATAAAAAGAAGAAGAGGACAATCCTTAAAGAGAGAAAGACATGTAGTTTGAGTGAGTGTAGGTGAGATAAATATATTGACATCGATCCAATTTGATGTAAAATGATATATATTTTCCATCTCTTTTACTCTGTTAGAAAATTATGAGGAAAATATAAAAACATCATTTATCAATGGCGTAGTTATTCAGTGTCAATGGGGTAAACGATATGATGTAAATTTTAAAGGTAAGATTATCGTTCAAGGACTGTTTTGGTGAAATTCCATTTATAAATGAATACACAAGTGGCTAAAGGGCCGTTGTTAATTTTTTTAATAGATGTGTTCGCATAAATGAAGAGCCTATGTAATTAAAATTTATTCTAAAATTAGGCATTCCAAACAAAATGGCTGCCGAAGGGAAGGGTTTGGTATATCTAAGCGGTTGCGACATGGACCCAGTACATTGATGAAGGGGTGACTGAGGCTAGGGGGAAATAGTAGTCAGCTTAAGTTACCATGAAAATTTCATTTTTAAAAATACCGCTTATACAGTTTTTTTAAATTAGCAGGCTTGTCGATTATTATTTCGAATAAAAATATTGTCCAAGATGGAAGGCTATGTCGCAACCCCCTTAGATATTCTAGCCCTGTCCTCTTCCGGCAGGTTGGTGAAATGCCTAATCAGGAATAAATGTTTTATAGATGATGAACTGTCCAAATTAGGCATTCATCCAAACAAATTGGCTTTAGGTTGGAAGGATTTTTATATCTAAGAGGTTGCAACACATAACACAAAAAATTACAGAGGTATGATACTAAGCCGATGAAATCTCCTCGAGTTCGCGCATGACGTATTGCGGTGTAGAATATGGCTCTCTGGTTTAACATGAGCAGGTAAAAATTTATTTTTGCGCGCTGTTTTCGATCAGCTGATACCTCAAATTCATAAAAGTTACGCCTCTACACCACAAAATACGTCACCGTGACGTAGTATATGAATCGGCGTAATATCATACCTTCTTTTTATAGTACCTATGGTTATTGCAACATACAATGTATTCTATTTAGTCCACTAGAGATTGGACTTCCTAGACTTCAAACTCAGTCTGTTTCAATATAAGTCATTGTTCAAAATTTACTTCTTGTAATCGTATATACAAGGGGTTGCAGGAATACCTGGCACAAATCAGAATGGAAGAAGACTATACAGTCAAACCTTATAACCTAATAAAGATTTCTGTGAAAATATTTAAAAAAAAACACTTATACATTTTTCATAACTCTACAGGCTCTGCGGCTACTATTTCCTTCGAGCTTATATATATTTCATAGAGTCTGCATTCAATAGAGTTTGTTTGGATTCAGCGGGAAAATAGTGCGGATACTATAACCATAGCGTCGCATTATTTTTACAGCGTTTGTAATTATTAATATAAATAATAAATTTGGCGTTTGGTTTTATAGACTTGCATTAATGTATCTAGTAATAGTAAATACTTATTATTTAAAACAAATAAAGAAATCATCGATTTTTATTTTCCTTTATTCAGAAGAATAGTATAAGCCTGTAATAATTAGGTACAGGAATGTTATGTGTATTGAACATATCAATTTTTTAAATACGAACATCAGGATGTGCATACAGGAAAAGGGAAGGTTGAAATAATAGGCACTAAAAAATTTATAAAAATCTGGGACCTTGGGTTTTAGAACATTCCGTCGCGAAAATCACCGATGAAAATCACCTATGAAGTTCATCGCAATGAGTTCGCGAAGTTCGCCGTATTTAAAAATGAACTTTCAAAGCCGTCCGAGTGACAATAACTCTCTGATAGGTTAGGTTTTCTCTTCTCCTTCTCTTACAAAAACAAAATGTTGAATTTCAAGTTATCGTTTCAAAGGCCAACTATGCCAATATACCGGGTCATTCTATATAGGCGGAACACTTGATTTATGGCTTAACTATGACTTGTACGATAATTTGACTTAGATAAAAGTTTTTGCAATATTGTTCCATCCATACAATTTGTATAAATGGAACGATATTTTCAGAAGTGGTGTAGCTCAGTGCTACACTTTCGATGCAAAGGAAAAGACCTAAAATGTACAAAAACTTTTATCTAAGTCAAATTATCGTACAAGTCATAGTTAAGCCATAAATCAAGTGTTCCGTCCATATAGAATGACCCGTTCCGCCCATATAGAATTACCCTGTATAGGAAGTCCCATTAACGTCTTGGATTCGGATCGAAAACTTCGGAGGACGTCCTAGTGTTCACGGTATAATCGAAAGTCCAGTGGGCGTCCGATTTTACGTCCCGGGCACCTATTTTCAAACCGTGTGAGTACTCATTTCTCTCAAGATTCTCATCAGAAATGTCATACGTCAATGTGGAAACGCTGTTTTTAAAGGCCTCGAGGATTAAAATTCTTAGGAGGATATTAATTATCTATAATTATTAACAATCAGTGAGTTTACACTGGCCCTTAGGACCCTAAAAATACTGTTTTACGTTGACGTATGACATTTCTCTCGAGAGAAATGAATTCTCTCGACTTTGAAAATAGCACCCCCGGACGAACCGGAGCAACAATAGGGACCAAATCACGACGTCCCGTGCTATCTGTGTTACCACTGTTCAAATTTGTATTACTATAGTTATAGAAAATACAAAAATAATAAAATCACTTATGAACTGCAAAAATAAGCTCAATATTAACTAAAACAAAATGACAGTTCTGACAATTTCGTAAAATTTGACATGCCAAGTAGATAGAAACAGACGATTAGTATAATGTATGCTAAAAGACTATTTCGAATAGAAATAGTGTCCAAGAATATGGAAGGCTATGTCGCAACTTCCTTAAAAATATGAGCCTTATCCACCGGCAGCTATTATTTGACAGAGGTCATTGACATATGCCTATTAAGTAACTTCAAACTTAAATATTTCGAAAGTATTTTTTTTGTTACATCGATCCTTTTACCTTGTGTCTTTAAATAGGGACCTTAGATTTACAAAAGTGGTCCTCTTCTGGAATATGGCTACTCAAAGTGGTTGCTTTAGGTGATATTTTGCTACATTTTCCTCTTTATCTTTCTCAAAAAAAATACTTGTTTGCTTATAGACATTTATTTTCCCATTATTTTTGATATACCCAATGAAATAGAATTATTGACTTGAAATAAATCTAAGTACAACTCTTAAGAGTCGCCATTTTGATTACACTCTTCCATCACTCTTTGCACTTGGCACCGTTAAGTGCATATCTGTCGTGTCAATCGCAAACTAGTGTTTATGTTGTATCTACTTCATTCTACCTCGATGGATAATATACCCAATGTAAATTAAATTCATTTAAAAACATTTTGAAAATATATCACCGCCTGGTCCTAGCTTGTTACGCCACTGGTAAAGTACGGTGAGGCAGAAAATTTCGAGACAGAGGGCGAAATCGAAAGAGAAAAGAGAAGAGGTGTTCGGTGTTGGTGTTCGATGTTGTTCGTTCGTGATATAGACGCCATAAGTGAATTTGTGTTTTAATATCTGATTTACATTCATTGCTATGGAAATAAGTGAGTAAATTTGGTGTTTGATTATTACCAAAGGATACCTATTCATTTAAATAGACACTGAAGGTTCTTATGAAAATTTTGAAATGTTTCCCCCCCGGATATAGAAGTAATATTTCAGTAGTTACCCCAAGCTGTTTGACCCGTAAACAATGTTCGAATCGTTCTAATCCAAGCTGTTGTTTTTTCTCAAATTTTTCTTGTTCAATAAAATCTGCTACTTAATATTTGCTTACTTATTTATATTATTTGTTTCTATTGTTGTTGTTTTATTGGTGTTTGGAGGTGAGTAATTCGAGTTGGCCGGTAATCAGGGCCTAGCCTGTAGGTGTAAATAATTAGAAATATTCCGATTTTATATAAAAGAATCTATTCGTTTTACTTAAGTAATTGTAATTTTAAACAATTAAAAATTTATGAAAAATTTTTGTCTAGTGGTTTCTATGTTTACACACATACACTTTTTCAAGGGCATTATCCTATCGTTGGGTAACATCTTTTTGCCACATTTCCTGCATATTCTTTGTAGGAGTTTCTCCAAGGGGCAATTAAGATTTTGAAATGGCTAATTATAACTCGATTCAGTTTGATATATCAGTGTTTTTTACAGTTTTTTTTTTACAAATATCCTCGACGTTGCCAACGTGAATTTTTTTTCGCCAACTTCAGGTAATTTGGTGGGAGTGTCCTCTTAAAATTATTTACTTCTAAAACATTCCTTTTTTATATAATATACAAATATAGGGTATGAAGTGATTTCAGTAAATATCTAGTTTAACCCCTTTGCGATTTATATATTTTTTTGTGAAACAGGTACATGTAAAATAACATTCTAACGTCGGCAAGGAAAATCTTTCGAATTGAATCTATTTTTTTTTTTCAATTTTAATGAATTTGTAATAAAAAAAATTGTTGAGAAAAATAATTATAATCAAAATATTCTTTCTGTAAAATAATTATTTAATAATAAATCTTTATTAGTCCTTTTTGAAAGTAACATACTACCACAAATCATGTACCATGTACTATACTGTTTTTAAACTAGGAGGAGCGAATTAAAAAGAGACGCATTTACACAGGGAAAAGTAACCAGATTCGTTACTAAGAGCGTGTTCCGAAATTAAGTTGTGTTCAAAATTTATGTAATAGTTGTTATTATCGGCCCTAGTCGGCAAACAGCCAATCAGGGATTAAGGAACAAATAAATGTCATAGGAGTCGATTTTTTGATTGGTTCCAGAAAATGGTCGTAAATGTGTGTCTAAAACGAATTGTCACTGTCAAATGAAATTTAATATGGTTGTTGATTTGTTGACATTATCAGAAATATGTTTTTCTTGCTTTTGAAATCGACTTTTTGAGGATTGTAATTTTTTTAAATGGATATTGAATATTTATGAAAATTGTTAAAATAATATCAAGATGCAGGTTAGTATAAAACATAGAAATATGTTCCCTTTACATTTTTAATGATTTATTTGTTATAGGTATAAACTTAAGTAAAAGGTAATCAGTGAATGGCAACTGGATCACACATTGTCTGGAATTTATCCTATGAGTAATATGGAGATTGTAACTAATTTGGTGTTAACCTATAGTTAAATACGTTAAATAACACTACATATCAACATTATATCATTACTAAATTTTAACTTAATATTGTAGGTCCTTTTAATTCAAGTTGTAATATTTACCTATATTTTTTAATTTAAAGTGAAATATTCATGCATACCTATACCTATGTATTAATGTTAAGTATATATTTTTAAAATATTTATTGTGGCTCATTTTACAAAATTAAGATTATCTCTAATGTAGTAGATGGGGTTTTAAATGTAAATTAACAATTTTGTAAATGGTTTTATTGTCTAATAAATAAAATTTAGTTGAAAATTTAGTTACTTTTTAATTAGTTTGGTAAGAAATTTTTACTTTAAAAAAATCAGTAATAAAGTTGTTAGTTTTTTTTTCTGGAATACTTCAGAATTCATCTCTTCATGATAATCTCCTGTCTTTTTGCTTTCAAAACCAATAATGTATTTTCTACAAAATCTTCAAAATCAGCATGTAAAATAATAAGTCGTTTTCCCTTTCTTGTAGGGCTTTTCAGGAACTGCTTCCTTTAATAGTACTCGGTGGAGAAGGATCCATAATCATAGAAATTCAATAAAACTGCTTACTGAATTTTTAAAAGAACTATTATTTACAAAATAAAGTAAAAAACTAGGTAATAATGATGAGATATAAAATGTCAAAATTGTCAACATTATCAATTATTATTAGCTGATGTTTATGCTAAAAAGTGATGTGTGAAACTGACTGCAATCTGTCCAATCAGAAGTCTAGAGAATTGCCAACTTAATTTTAAATCGCGCCTCCTAGTTTAAAAACAGAGTATAGGGGCCGTGCGTGAAATATAGAGGCAGCACTACTGCCGAACTTAGCCCTCTCTAGTGTTTAATTTTAGAATTAAATGGGGTAAACATTGCAAGTAAATAATAAAGGGTATTTTTTTAAATATTAAATATAGTTAAAAATAGATACCGGCCCGTACCAAACAATCGTGTACATGGTCAAAATGACGTAAAATGTGAAACATTATTAAAATCTGGACATGCATATACATTTTAAGCAAAAAGATTTAAATGGCTAAGTGACAATAAATTGTAAAGTTGTACCTTAAACAAGTGTATCCAATGTTAAAATATCGGTATTTAGTAACACTGAATTTAAAAGTATTACAATAACATTTAAATAATGTAAATTAATAAAAAAGATTGATAATAATAATTATAAATCTTTTTAGCTTTATGTTAATCGAAATGTCATTCATCCACTGACATTTATGAGATGTTCAATGATACATATTATAGATTGCTCACCCATCTATAAAAAAATTATGAAAAGCGGGTTGCAATGTGCCTTTCCTAGTGCTCACTAAATAGAGCCGTTCTAGCCCAAATGTGTTTTAAAATAAAATTTCAGCATTTTATTTTAGATATATAAAATAATTAAAGTTTTACTTCAAGACATGTCATTATGTATTTGGAAAGTTGAGTTTTCATGTAGTTAAATAATATTAAGAGATCTAAACAATTTTTATAACAGATAGATATAAATAATTTTAGACTACTATTTCAGAAACAATTCTACATAAAATACATAATTGCAATATGTAATACAATTTTGAAAAGGTAATGTAAAAAATTTTGATATGAGGTATAAACAACTTTGGGAAGAGTTGTAATTGGACTCTTATCTATTATTCTGAATAATGTTTAATGGTAATGTCACTAAAAAAATTTACGAAAATCACTAGATTTTTAATATTTTAAAGTTTGTTACAATCTCTTTTGACAGTAATTGCAATGTATTATTTATGATGTTTATTTTAATAATAAATGAGAAATAGTTAATAAATTGTAAAGAGGGCCGTGATATTTTTGTCAAATTGGACATTCTTATTTCATATTCTACATTAGTTTTAATCAACAGAATAAACCATTATCTGTAAAATGATATTTATATAAAATGTTCATTTAAATATGTAAAAATCTTAATGACAAGAAAACACTAAAGATTCTAATTTCTAAACCGGTTCTGTAAATGATTTCTTTACAACTAAGTGCTCAAAATTGATACAAGCTAGATAAAAAGAAAACTTTGCCTAGTGAAATACGCTTTTCGTCGTCTGATTTACATATGGATAAGCAATCTTTGTAATTATGTATATTATTGGGTGTGAGGCATAATTGTGCTCTGTGAAAATTTATAAAATTTCGTTACTATCGAATGAAATCCAGGTTTCCAAAGTGATGTGTTTGTACATCCACGGATGCAACAAGTTTTTTCGATATGGATATTACGAAAATAATTCGACTTCATTTTATTAATAATTATTAAACAATAAATGCCGTATAAAACATTAATAAATACCCCCCATAAAGTTCACATTTTTGTCACCAGTTAGCGTTAAAGTCATGACGCACGGTCCCTATATAAGAGTTTGTTTTTGTTTTTTCCTTTTTTAGTTGTTGTCCTTCACATAAGCCGGTGGAAGTTTTTAATTTTGCATTATTTAATATACTACTTGTTAGATCAATATTCTACAACTAACAAACTGTCATGTATATATTTTCTTATATTTGTTACACATGCTTTACCTTCAGGCCCGGATTAGTGATATAACACTAAAAATAGGTTGCAACCAAGGTAGGCATTTTCCATGTAAATAGTAACAAGTGCGTTTGATCTTGACAGTAGTGTGCTAAGTGCCTTGTTTTAAAATTAAAATTTCGACTCAGTAAAGTAAGAAACTACTAAATAGTGATTTAAAAAATGGCGGGCTTTAAAAATTTATGTAATTTGAAGTCACATTTTCATAGAAATATTTTATTCTCAGTAATACATAATATATAAACATGTTTACATAGTCGTCAGTACACATAAATGGTAAAATACACCACATTTTACATACATTAACATACAGCATAATCCTATAAAATTTAAAATAAAATAGGATTTTAAAAGATCATGGTTGGTAATAGTAATAAAAAATATATAAAAAAATACAATATTAAAAATATTAGGTGACATGTTTCACTCTTACAAAATAATCGTTAGTGTTATATAGACACATGTCCATTAATATCTTTTTAATTTGATGTTCAAACTTTTTTCTTGGTAGATTACGGATGTGGGGCGGAAGTGCATTATAGAATAAAATGCCTATTGTTTGAGACTTGTTTATTCTAGTTCTCATTTGGATTAGCTGATTTTTCTCTCTGGTATCATATGTATGATTGTCTGAGTGACGTGAAGTTTCCCAAATTATTTTTTATGGCTAGCAAGTTTTCAAATACTAATTGCGAAAACAGGGTCATTATGCTAAGTTGCTTAAATAGTGGTCGGCATGGTTCATAATAATTTAACTGCAGAATAGAGTGAACTGCTGATTTTTGCAAGATAAAAAGTCTTTGTAGTGAAGTGATTTCCCAAGTTAGGATCAATCCCATATGTTAAATATGGACTGGAATAAGCCATAGTAAGTAGTTATTACTCCTTCTGTATTAACTATATTTGATATTCTGCGTAGAGCAAATGTGAATTTTGCCAACTTGTTGCATAAGTTATTTATTTGATAGTTCCATGTCAGTTGTGTGTCAAAATATATAATGAGAAATTAAGTGTTCATTGTTTCACTAGTAGTTTGGTTCAACCTGAAGACAGATGTTTCAGTGTTATTGTGATTTAAAAATAATTCGTAGCTATCAAACCATTGTTTAGCTTCAGTCATAATCTTAGAGTTTTTGATAACTATGTCAGATGTGTTATTGCAGTGATATGAGACATTGGTATCATCTGCATACATGGTAGTAATTCAGCATTTTTTGAATTCATGTATGATGGAAGATCATTGGTATATATTGAAAATAATAGAGGCCCTAGTACGGATCCTTGTGGAACACCTCTTTTCATTAATAAAGGTTTATTAAGTTTATTTCTGTAATACACGCTTTGTTGTATGTTGTGCAAATAAAAAGCAACTCTTAGGCTAATAACCATAGCAGTTGATGCTGATGACAAAAAAAAAAAAAGCAACCGTCTTAGGCATTCCAATGACCTGTCTAACAATAGCTGCCGGTGAGAAAGGTTTATATATCTAAGTGGGTTATGACACTCCTGCCAATTTATGACAAATGTATAATCCGTTTTTTTTTTTTTTAATATTTTTATGCATTTGGCATAAAATATTTAAATTTAATCCATTATTCATGATTTCACGTATTGTAGATAGAATATATCGTATGTCGCAATCCCTTAAATATACCAACCCTTCCCACCGGAATTCATAATTTTACACACATAAATATCAATTTTGGATACAACACTATTCTTAGGATTTTTTTTTACACGTTTATTATAGTTTGTTTTTCTGCCAAAGATAAATGGACTAAATCAAGGTTTGGAGACAAAATATTTGCAGACCTGATGCTTGGCATAACAATATCCATTTTAATAAAAAAAATAGCATGAACAGCAATACACAATTGCCTAGTTAGTCATTTGGGACTATGCGGACTTATATGTCAAATAACCAATCAGTAGCTAGTGTTTAGGTAAGGAAAATTCAAATCGTTCTAGTTTAAAAGTGATAGAAAGATTACTGTAGGTTTTATGCAATACACCCAGTGCTTCATATTGGATTGTAGTGCTATATTACCATTGGATAGGTAAATCACCATCATTACTATATTCTACCAATGGCAAAACAAATTCATGGGAGTATTTTTTTCCCCTTTTGCATATGCCTGTTTTTCTGAAGTTGGGAGCATTTAGTCAAAAGGTTGACTACGTGCCTGGCCTTTTTTAATATCTTTGATATATTTTATTTCATATATTGAATATTAGACTTATTGTACCTTTCATGATGTATTTAAGCTATTTTATGTAATTTATGTATACTAATGGATCTTTCTGTAATGTACAGGGTTTTTGTAAATGTGGAAATATTTTAGGGGGTGGTTGCTGAAGTTATTTTATAAAAAAAAGTACATAAAAACGTAGGCAGTGACGCCCCATTTTTTTTTATTAAAAAAGTTGTGTCATCTCACGAGCGCCACTGGTGCAAGTAGAAACATTTGGAACACCTCAAAAAATGCGCATTTATCCCTCCAAAGCATTTAAAAAATTCGAGTCAATATCTTTAAGAGCAAACCAGATCTCATGAAAGCAAAAATGTTTATTATTATGTGTCTTGAGAATATTGAGAGCTTTAAATTTGTGCAACGATATGGCAGCACTCTATAGAGACTTTTAAGAAAAAAAGGTGGGAAATCATTTCATTTAAAAATACTATATATTTATTAACACAAAAAGCAGCAAATTTTCATAGATTTAATACATAGAAATGTCTTTTTGGAGTTTCTTTTAAACATTTTCAAAATAAATACTTTTCCAAGGTTTACAAAAAATTCAAGGCTTCTCCACCCTAAGTTTTGTAATTTTTGTTATTTCCTGAAAATTTCACAAAAATCGGACTAAAAATAAAGGCTCTAAAAACTCTTTGAAAATAATAAAAATAAATAAAAAATTAGAATTTAAACACTGTATCTCGGAAGCGAAGCCTATTTCGACCTAACTCTTATGAGAACTTTTTTTAACAAAATAACTTAACAACCACCCTCTAAAATATTTCGCAGTTATTTACAAACACTATATAATAATTATTTATAGAAGCAAATTAATTATATTTGTTGGCTCCTAAATTGGTGACTTGGATTTGTACATTACCTATGACAACTTCAGTGGTGTATACTTGATTTAAAATACATTTTAAAAATTTTATTATTCCTAAATTTCCAAAATTTTATTATTCCTACATTTATAGATTTTTGTGTTTTCCAAAATATTTAATGATTTTAATATGTAATCCAATTATTTCAAATATTTATATATTTTACAGATTTCTGAGACGAACAAATTATGAACTCAACTTTAAAACCAGTATTGCCCACATCTTCGCAAAACGCCAGTTCTGCGACTGCGACCAAACCAATGCATCCACAAGGTACACCAATCTCATATGGACAACCTTCTGGCACAATATCCCAGAATCCATTCCCAAACACCAATATGGCCCACAACCATCCTGCCACCCAACAAAAACATTTTTCTTTAAATGTCCCAGGGGGAGGATCTCATTTTAGCATGGGAACTATTCCTGCTAGCAACCACCCCGTTGCTATTAGCCAACCGTCTACTGGACAAAATTACAACCCTCCAAAGAATGCATACAGTGGGTTTCAGCATGGTGTTGGACTTACTACACAAAATGTAAGTTCTATAATTTTTATTTATTTTTTACTTAATTTTTTTATTTTATCTATTACCAGTAGTTTTTTACATTTCTTATAGCAAAATACATTACCCCCTGTCAGTCAAACCTTGCCTGCTACTACAACAACAACAACATCGTCCTCTGCAGCATCTCAAAGTCCACCTGTTACACAAAACCTGTCAAATTCCAATTCTAACAACTCTTCATCTGTAAAGGAACCTACTGTAGACAAGGATAAAGCACAACCAAACGGAACATCTGAAGTAGAACCTCCTGCACCTGTTCAACCCGAAAAACCAGAAGTCCAAAGTAACCATGTAACAGCGCAGGCTCCAACTAGTGGACCACCAGCCCCACAACAACAAGAAAAGCCAGTAAGTACCAAACATACTGTTAAAAAGATTGTGATTAACTCTTCAATTCATCTTAGGCATCTCAAACACCATCTCTACAACAGCCTTCAGAAAAACCTAAACCTACCATGCCTCCACAAGAAAAGAAACCAATACAAGGACCTAAACCTGTCCCAGAAACCAAAACTGTCCCAGAAACAAAACCTGTTCCAGAAACTAAACCTGTCCCAGAAACTAAACCTGTTTCAGAAACTAAACCTATTTCAGAAACTAAACCTGTTCCAGGAACTAAACCCATTCAAGAATCACCTAAAGTTCCCCATGAACCTGTTCCAGTCCAAAAAATATCCCAACCTCCTTCAGTCCCAACACCTCTAACAGTATCTTCGGCACATGTGCCAGCTCCCGAACCCACCAAGGCACCAGTTCCTGAACCCACCAAGGTACCAGTTCCTTCCAGCGAACCAGCTGTGACAGAACCTATTAAGAATGATTCTGAGACCATAAAAGATGCGCCAGAGACTGATCCGTTGGCATTTGATGGTTCCGGTGCGGTACCTGAAGAAAAATCTACACAAAATCAAGATGTGGCGGTTCCTATTATCCAGTCTGAAGATGCTAAGGAAGAGAGCGAAGGCGATGAAAAAAGTTCGGCAGAGGAACAGTCTAGCGAAGAGGTAAGTTAATGACAACAAAAAGTAATATTGATGAGAAAATATGTACTTGTTTACCGTTAAGTGTCGATGTTTAAATCATTGCAAGTATTTTCTCATTGTTCAAAGTTTTATTTTTTGGTTCATATTTATGATAGTTACAATTTGTTTTAGTGCGAATCTGAAAAAGGACAAAAAGATGAAGAATTGGTGTTAAAAACTCCAGTCCGAAAAGCAAAAGTTGCTAAAGCAGAGCCCAAATCTACAATTCAAAAATCTCCAACCAGCGCCAAAACCAAGAGGCAGAGGATGAGAACTCAACACTATCAGAGTCCACTTCCGGAAATCGAAATTATTACGAAAATCACTGCTGCACCTACGAGAAATAGAAACACTGATGACAAGCTCATTTACTTTTACAAGAACGAGTTTCTAGCTGTCAGAAATGCAGAGGGAGGATTCTATTTATGCCAAGCTGTGCAGAATATCTATAAATCTTCGTCGAAAATTAAGATACGTTGGTTGTCTCAGGACAAAAGTGAAAAAAGCGCGGAAATCTACACTCCAGATTTCTATGACACAACAGATTTCGATTGCATTCTAACTAGTTTAGATTTGACCAGAGTTGGAAAGGGTAGATACAAATTGAAACCAGCTGAGAAATTAAGGACAGATAGTATTTTAAAGAGGTGTTTAGCTGTAGAAAAGGGTGAAATTTCACAACCTTCGGTGTCAGCAGAACACCCAGATGGATGTAAGTAAATTATTTTTTTGTATGTAATAATTTTAAACCAATGGAAACTATTTTTTAGTGGATTTGTCGCTGTACAAGGATGAGGAACAATTAAAAAAGAAAAGTAAACAAGGTACAAAGCGCAAGGGCAGACCGCAGTCCCAGTCTCCCAAAAAGGAAACGCCGACTAAACAGTCGCCTGAAGCTCCTAAGGTAAGGAAAGTGGAGACCAAGCCGACAAAACAGAGTACACCTGCCAAGAAGCCGATCGTTAAGAAAGTAGTTCCGCCACCGGAACCCAAAAAAGCGGCGCCGATGACTAGTAGAGCGGCTAGAGGAAAGAGAAAAGCTATTGCAAAAACCAGTCCGGTCGTTGATCAGAAGAAAGCTAAAGTTTTGGCTAAAATTGGAAGGAAAGCTGGCATTCCAGCTAGCAGTACCAAGGCCCAGCCCCAGCCCCAAACATCTAAAAGTAAGTAAATCAATAAGATAATACCTGCCTTTCTTTACTCTTTCGCTTACTATAAAACTTTTGTGGCTATGCAATAAGAACAGAGCTACCCAGATTCACGGGTGTGAAGTTATCCACATCCACAAATGTACACTGAGAAAAATACAGCTCCATTGTAATAGTCATATAACTTGGTTCAAATGATATGTAGACGTTTTTCATTTGCAGATTTCAATACTTAACAACCATACCCACAATTAACTTTTGCTCCGTCTGAGGGGGTGCAATTGGGGGTGAAATTTACAAAAAAAACCATAGAAGCCAAATGGCATTGTATCCGTTTCAGCTTGGGATATGTTATGTAGTTTGCTAATTTCTTCATCACTGATACCATGCTGAAATTTGTCGAGCCGTCTGAGGGGTGCAATTGAGGGTGAAATTAAAAAAAAAGCCACAAATGGCTTTGTACACCTTTTTGCTTGGGATATGTTATGTAGTTTGCTCTATTCTTCATCCCTGATACCATGCTGGAGCTTGTCGAGCCGTCTGAGGGGGTGCACTTCCAATTGGGGATGAAGAAAAGAGCAAACTACATAACATATCCCAAGCAGAAAGGTATACAAAGCCATTTGTGGCTTTTATGATTTTTTTTAAATTTCACCCTTGATTGCACCCCCTCAGATGGCTCGACAAACTCCAGCATGGTATCAGGGATGAAGAAAGTAGCAAAATACATAACATATCCCAAGCTGAAAGGTATACAAAGCCATTTGTGGCTTTTATGATTTTTTTTAAATTTCACCCTTGATTGCACCCCCTCAGATGGCTCGACAAACTCCAGCATGGTATCAGGGATGAAGAAAGTAGCAAACTACATAACATATCCCAAGCTGAAAGGTATACAAAGCCATTTGTGGCTTTTATGATTTTTTTTTAAATTTCACCCTTGATTGCACCCCCTTAGACGGATTAAAAGTTAATTGCGGGTATGGTTGTTATGTATTGAAACCTCCCCAATTGAAATCTGCAAATAAAAAGCTTCTACATGTCATTTGAACCAAGTTATAGGATTATTACAATGGAGCTGTGTTATTCTCAGTGTACATTTGTAGATGTGGATAACTTCACACCCGTCCCAGATTCAACAAAAATCAGACACACAGTCCTCTGTGAACTAGGCCATTTTCATTATCTATAGAAGTTTGAATGCAGTCATGTAGAAATTAGTCTCAAGTTTCTAGAAATTTGTCAACTCTTTCTAGAAGTGTGTCACAACTTTCTAGAAGTGTTCCACTGCTTTCTACAAATTTGTCGCAACTCTAGAAATTTGTCACTTTTGTATAATTTTTTTTTAAATTTGTTAAAGCATTCTCATTTAATATAAGAGATTGTCGGTAAACAATGATTAAAAAAAATACAGCATTATTTCGAAAATGCAACTTTTTGGTTTCTTAAAAATTATCTTCAAAAACAAAAAAGATAGAATAACTGCTTCATGTTGCAAATATATTTGTACAAATGTTTTCCCATTTCTTTATATTCTATAGTTTTCAAGATCCCATACATGTAGACCCAATTTGGGCTACACTGTATATGTTATGGCATTGCTGCCTAGTAGTAATGAAGGGTATTCATGTAGGGTCCAACTGCAAAGGAGTCATTTTTAGTAATGATTGGCTGCCTGATTTATTATAGTGATTACAACTGATTATTGGATATTATAACCAATAATAGTAATCATGTGAAAAGGGTATATTTTAAAAAAATTAACCCTAGATACTAGTTTTTATATGCGGTCTGTTTTGCTGCTTAAATTTTAAGAAAAACAAACTTAGAAGTAATCTAATTATGGGCTTATCTAAGATAAAAGTTATTTTGATATTATTTTTGATAATTGTTCGATAAGTGTGTAGCGCAATATTTTTCCTGGGAACCTAAGTCACATGAGAACATTTTTCAAATAAAAATCCCGCTAATTTCCCCCTATATTAACTCATTTTTTTATGTTCGACAGGTGCAAAAGTGTCAAAACCAGCTCCCTCATCTTCAAAAGTAACAAAACCAGCGCCGGCTCCGAAATTGCCGCCAAGAAAGGCCAAGAGATTCGGGAGGAAGTGAATTAAATAATATTAAATATTGATTTTTTTTTTCAGATTTATTTTGTGTATATTTTTTTATTTTTGAAATCATCTTTTTTTATGGATTTATTAACCTTTTAAATAACAAGTAGATGCATATCGTAAGGTTTTTCAAAAATTTATGATATGCGTTTTCAAAGGAAATTTGAATCGTGGACCTCTTTATTTGGTACTAAAGAGTATTGAAAGAATAATTAGTATTTCAAGAAAAGGCCTTATAATCTTCCTAAAAAAAATTATAGTTCAAATTTTCGATGTTATTTGTGAATCGTATAAATAGGTCCACGTTTTAAAATGTTAGAATGTTTATAGTTACATTTACTTATATAACGGCCATTTCACAAAAGGAAATCTACTTTACATTTATTTTTTTAATTGTATTTATTAGATTTCCATTTATATATATATTTTTTTTTGTTGTATTTGTATTTCTATTTTTACAAACGTTGCAATGATTCAAAACAAAATACAGTAGAGACTTAATTGATATTTGTAAAACAAACCATAAACCAATGCAGGGTTCAATAATATTTATAATTGAAATATAAATTTATGCAGAGCGCGAGCTCTTTTGAATTTTTGGAAGTACATTCAAAACAATTTTAAAAAATTCAGTTTAACACGAACATATTCGAAACTATCTACCATACTGTATTTTTTTATGTCCGATAGTGCCTTGAGATATTGGACTTTTTCTTTTTCACAGGACTTTTTGATATTAATTAAAATATATTTTTGTGCCCTGCATTTATGTATATGTAGTAATGCTAAACCCCAAATTTATTTTGAAGTATTTTAGTAATTGTTTAAAACAATTTTTTCATCATTTTACTGATGTCTGATCAATCGAGTTTCTACTGCAATTTTGACATAAATTTAAAGATTAAATTATCATTTTTTATTATATTTATACATGAAATTGACAATTTCACTGATAAATCGATCATGTAAACATATTGGTGTCCTTAATTTATTGATCAATATATTTCTTACAATTTAAAAACTATATGGCGTCTTTATTACCTTTTCAGGTGCAATTAATAAATATTACTCTTTTATTATTTGTAAATAGACTTTTGAGATGCTCCCAATTATTATTACAATATTTTGATAACTCCTTATTGTGCAATGTTTCTAATGAGTTTTTAACAATATCTGTATCCCAAAGTGATCAAATTAACATCAGAAATTAGCTAAAAGTAACATTAATTACTTCAGCATTGATTATAAAACAATACCACTGATGTATTTGATATAAAGGCTCAACTTTCGTTTAGCCGAAATCTGTTATGCAAAAACTGTTGCTATAATAACAATTTTGATGGCTATGAGTAAACAAAAACCCTAATCTGATGGTGAAGAAATGCGTAGTTGCCAAGTTGTAGATGTTTAAGGTTTTTGTTTAATTTCATTTAACTGAAATAAAAATGTTGCCATGGAAACGCTTGTCATGCTAAGGACTAAACAAAAATCCAAATCCGGCAGTGAGGAAATGCGTAGTTGCCAAGTTATAGATTATTTAATATTCACTTTAGTTTAGCTGAAATCAGTTATGAAGAAACTGTTGCCATGGAAACGCTTATTATGCTAACGACTAAAGAAAAACCCAGATCTCGTGGTGAGGAAATGCGTAGTTGCCAAGTAGTGGTCAGTAGGTGGGTGGAACGAGCGTAGCGTGATCTTATGATGTAGGTGAAAAAAGCTCGCCCGGCCGACGTTTCGAAATTCGCGCGCGCGAATTTCGAAACGTCGGCCGTGCGTGTTCGCTTTCCTCTGTAGTAGATAAGAGGTGGGTGGGAGGAGCGTAGCGTGATCTTACTATGTAGGTGGAAAAAGGGCGCGCCCGGCCGACGTTTCGAAATTCGCGCGCGCGATTTTCGAAACGTCGGCCGGTCGAGTTCGCTTCGCTCGCTTTCCTCTGTAGTAGTTAAGAGGAGGGTGGGTGGAGCGTAGCGTGATCTTACGATGTAGATGGAAAAAGGGCGCGCCCCGGCCGACGTTTCGAAATTCGCGCGCGCGATTTTCGAAACGTCGGCCGTTCGCTTTCCTCTGTAGTAGTTAAGAGGTGGGTGGGAGGAGCGTAGCGTGATCTTACGATGTAGGTGGAAAAAGGGCGCGCCTGGCCGACGTTTCGAAATTCGCGCGCGCGATCTTATAGAGAAACTGTTGCCATGGAAACGTTTGTCATGCTAATGACTAAACAAATTCCGTAGTGAGAAAATGCCTAGTTGCCAAGTTATAGATGGTTTCATTTTCACTTTAGTTTAGATTAGGATATTGTGTTAATTAATCTAAATATAAGGGACAACTGCGCATTTCCTCGCCACTAGATTTTGGTTTTTGTTTAGTCGACATCTCCATAACCGATTTCACCTAAAGTGAAAATTAAATGACCTGTAACTTGCCAACTATGCATTTTCTTACCACAGGATTTGGGTTTTTGTTTAGTCATTACCATGACAAGTGTCTCTATGGCAAGAGTTTCTCCGTAACTGATTACAGCTAAGTTAAATCATCTGTAATTTGGCAACCACGCATTTCCTCACCACGCGATTTGGTTTTTTGTTTAGACGTTACTATGTCAAGCGTTCCCATGGCAACAGTTTCACCATAACTGATTTCGTCTAAACTAAAGTGAACATTAAATGATCTATAACTTTGCAACTATGCATTTCCTCACCACGAGATTTGGGTTTTTGTTTACTGGTTACCATGGCAACAATTTTTACGTAACTGATTTCGGCTAAACGAAAGTTGACCCGATATAAATGTCAAAAAGTTACTAAAAAGGCAATTTCTAGTCAATTTCTGATTCACGTGGGATGCAGGTACTGCAGAAGAGTGTATATTAATTTTGAATATTAGTTTAAGTTCAATAAAAAATAATTTGTCCCTAAAATAAATATTTTATTCCATTAGATGTTTGAAATTGAAAGAATTAATTAAATTTCAAATTACGTAAGGCCATTTACATTAAACAAATTTTAATGCGAAGCAATTCTGTAAAAGTTTGTCACAATTTTCTAAACATTTTTAGAAATTTGTCGCAATTCTTTAGAAATTTGTCACAATTTTCTATTATATTTGCGTCCGTCAAATATACTCCCTCATTTACATTATACGAATTCCGATGCAGTTAATATAAATTTTCACAATTTTATAAAAAATAATTTACAGTACATTTTGCAAATTTTTAAAAATGGTATAAATTGAGGTCATTTATTTTACATTAAAATATCTACTCACGAACTTACAATTTGATCATTCTAAAAAACCATCAGTAGATAATGAAATTAGGCAACCATTTCAATCCGATGAACACAACACTCTTATTAATTGTATCCAGTGAAATTGTCAGTATGAAATTATCCCATGTTTGAGGGACTGAATACGGAATATTTGTTTGAAACGTTTTGAAAGTCCCTTCAAGCATTTCGCACTAGTATTATTAATTTTCTTTCGATGAGTACTCATTTTTTTTGTATGTACATTAAAAATATAAGTAAGGCAAAATGTAAAGTCTACATATAAATAATAATAGATTCAATCTATCAACAAACATTGTTTTCAACACTACTGCTACTATGATCTAGGTACCAGAAGGCAATTTGCTTTGTAAACATTTTTTAAAGGTAATTGGAACTAGACTAATTTTTTTTATTTGTTAAATCGCGTCAATACCAGTCTATTTTTAAGTATATTTTCTATTATGAAACGTGATACAATGCAAGCTTGAAACCTCGCACATAACGTCGAAAAATTAACAGACATGATGTTGGATGATAAAGTGTTGGCAGAAAGAATGAAAGCTTCATTGTTGAAATTTGGTTAACATATTATTTATTTAAAAAGAAAAATAAGGAATTAGACCTTGACAGAAGCCAATGAAAACATAATAGTATGTAGTTGCGTACTGTGAACTGTACTAGGAATTGCTTTACAGAGAGGCAACTTAAAGTTGCATTTTTTAAAAATGATTACACCAATTTCAATGTAAAATTTGACGTCTAGTATTTATTTTTTTCAAAAATGCTGCCTCAGTTTCATCAAGAAAACTATTATACACATGCGAGTAATACAAACATAGCTAAAATGTTGTGAGGAACATAAATTTCATAAAGAAGACATTACTTCTCAATAGAATTTCGAAATTGTTGTTTTTACAATTAAACCTTATACATGTTTACAAGGGATGTTACAGTTTCAGGTTGTCCCACAAAAGAATATAGAGCACATGAAAATATCCCACATATCCATGACCTTTTTCAAATTACGATTACAATTTAGTTTTAAAAATTACAATTCTCATATGAGAAATGTGGTTTATATTTTAAATTTTCCAGTCCATTTGGTACCTTGATAATGTCTAGACAAAAAAAACAAGAGTATAATGACCAAAATATCTATTTCTTTTTCATGAAGAAATGTTGGCACATGGCGAGATTTGTTTTCTTTGTTTTTTTTTTATGTTAAATACGAAGTAGTTCTTGTACGTGTTGTGCTTTAAGAAACAAGGAAGTTAGGAGTAAGATCATGTCGAATGAATGTCGTGTAGTCTTGTGAAATTTTGATCTGAAACGTTAGATTCTGGAAATATTATTTATAATATTATAAATGGTTTTTGAATAAAAACTAAAAACATTATTTTGTGATTTTTTTTTCGCTATTAGTTAAACTGGAGATAATATATTACTTTCGGTCAGTATGAAGCAGAATCAAAAATAGCATATCTTTAAATAAGCAATAAATTTTTGAAAATTAATTTGGCAGTAAATATGAGCATTTATTAAATCAGAATCGGTCAGTTATAATTCTTGAAATTAGTAGTTCTATAAGTACTTATGCTGTAGAAAATATAAAATTATTATTGTCATGTATTGATTGATACCAAAAAGAAATTTGGTAAAGGCTGTCACTCAATGAAATGAGGAACCTGTAAACACAGACCTTCATGTTGTAACACATCTCTCTAACCAATTTAAATAATACAAGGACTGCGATAGATGTAATTTATTTAATAATAAATATCCCAACCAATTTCACAATCCACAGTTGGCAAAATTGAGAATAAATTCAGGGAAACGGATCTTGTAAAAGCTCCCTAAAGGTAGCGTCGGTTATGATTCTCGCGTAATTGCAATAAGGCTGTTTCCTGCCCTCTATGTGGAGAAGCATATGAATTGAAGGACTGTAATTCTAGCGTCAAAAAATGCTCCAATTGTACGAAACTAACCAACAAGAATGTTGACATTAATCATGCGGTTTGGGAAAAAGAAAAATGTACAGATGTATAAAAAATTTAAATATGAATTATTTGTCACAATTTAGCAATCAAATATTTCGCATACTCCCCCCGTACATGTTCCACAGGTAAAACCACATACTAAAATGAGACCAAAAAGTTTATCTATATTTTATCAGAATACCAGAGGATTAAAAACAAAAACTAAACTGATATTTAATGCGATAGCTCAAAGCGGATGGTAGTGTTTTTATGCTGAAACTTGGCTTGGCTCGTCAGTCAATAATTCAGAATTATTTTCAGCTAATTTTTGTATATACAGGGTCGATCGGATTTTTTTTGCAAAACTCTGACTAGAGATGGCGGTGTAGTAATTGGAGTACGTGATATTATTACTGAAAAAGTAAATTTAAATTAATATTCTTTTCCTACATTTCTATATGTTGATATAGTTCTAGTAAAAATAACCATGTCATCTCATTTGTTTTTAATAACTATATTCCACCACAAACGCCCCATACTGAATTTGAACATTTTTTTGAAGCTTTGTGTTCCTTAAATTTATTATATAACAGTTTCTTGTTAGTTATTGGTGATTATAATATCAGCAAATATGCGGAGGAATATCTTAGTAACGGCAAAAGTAACAAACAAATTACAATAATCAATAACTTCTCTCAACTTTTTAATTGATCTCAGTCTAACTTTATCTTTAATAATAATAATAATAGGCTATTAGATCTAGTCTTCTTTAATGATTAATGTCTAGTAGAAAAATCGCTTGATCCATTTGTAGTGGAAGATAAACATCTTGTTACTTGGAAGTAAAAACTAACCGTAAAAACAACCTGGAATCGTCCTTTGAAAACTGTTATAATTTCAAAAAAACCAATTTTCCACTAATGTACAATTTAATTTCCAGTATTGACTGGACATTTTTAGGAGCCTTTAATAATATAGAAGACGCTTGTACATACTTTTATGGAAAATTATATATTCTTGATATATTTTCCCAAATATTCCTGCAAGCATCAAAACAAATATCCAGCATGGTATAATAAAGAAATAATCAATCAGTTACGCGTCAAAACTAATATGTGGAAAAATGCAAACCAGAAAATGATAAGCCTTTGAAGACTTCAAACGCATAAGAGCTGCTTTCAAATTAAAAATAGATATGATATGGCCGAATAGATATTTCAAAGACCTTTCAAATATATTGCTACACCCACATTTATATTTAATAAATCTGATGTTTCCAACAGATGATTTTACGGTCTAGTTATAACAGGCTTCTTCCGGTTGTTTTGTACAACCTATTGTATCACCCCTGTAAATGTTTAGAACATAAAATAAATACATACATTTTCCACAAACACATCTTACTCGAGACATTTTTTTAATCAAAGTGTACAATCTCCAGTTCTGAAGAATTTAAGGTAAAGTTTGTTTTTAATATAATTTTTTTTCTGACGAATTCGAATATAGTATCAGTTTGTAGCAAAAAGTACAATAACTTATGCTGTTTAGTTTCAAAACATAAAAACTCTACTAAATAAATCTAATAAAGATACTAAATTTTCTAGAATTATTTCCAAAGTGTAAAATCTCTAAATAAAATTCTGATGTCTAACACATGACTTTCCTGTCTGGTTATTACAGGCCTTTTCCGGTTATTTTATACAACATATTGTATCACCCCCGTAAATATTCATTGCCAACGATAATGAAAAATTAAAATTTGATAATTTTCCTCAAATTTTTCCATTACGGTCTATTTTAGAGAAATATATAGAATAAAAATTATAGAGAATGATATCGCAAACAACTTTTATTTAAACAATTTTCTTAAAAATTAAATTTTTGCAATTTTTGTCAAATTTCTCGAATACGGACCATTTCAGGAAAATTATGTAAATGACAAATTATAGAGAATAACATAACAAGCAACTTTTATTAGAATTTTCTTTTCAAAGCGTATATAAGCGAATATATTCTATAAAGTAAAAAAACGACATTCTAAGTACCCTCAGATGTTCCGACTATGCCCAAAATTGAATAAGTTCACCACAGGATGGATTAAAGCTTAAATTTGGTGTTTTTCTCTTATTCAGTTTTTATACTTTTCCTCAAGTTTTTCCATTACGGTCAATTTTAGAGAAATCATATATGAAATAAAAATTGTAGAGAATGATCACAAACAACTTTTATTTGAACAATTTTCTTAAAAGTTAGAATTTTGCACTTTTTCTCAAATATTTCGAATACGGTCCATTTTAGAGAAATTATGCATAGTGCAAGAATTATAGAGAATCACATCACTAAACTTTTATTTCAACAATTTTCGTAAAAATATGAAGTTCTTACTTTTTGTCACTTTTCTAGAATACGGACCATTTTAGGAAAATTTTGTATGGGACTAAAATTATAGAGAATACTGTTTCAAGCAACTTTTATTTAAAGAATTTTCTCCTCCAAGCGTAAATAACAGATATAATAATACTCTCCTTAATTCACCCCCTTACGAGTGAATTTTAACCCCAGAAGCTGTGCGTGGAAAGGGACGGGTATTATTATTTGCCGTGGCGACTTAAAGATGATTAATAGTGCCATTTGACTTACAGGTGAGGAAAACCCGGAAAACCTTACCCACCATCATCGAGACGCTAATGCATGGCGATTATATAATCTGCATGTCATATCAACAGAAATTGAATATTAATACAGCACACATCAAATCCTATACCGAACCATGCAATTTTAATTAAAAATCCACATGGTCTGGTCTGGGATTCGAAGCCCGGCAGTCTCGGACCATAAACTTGCCTATAAATGAATATAAGCGCGTTAGACTGCTACACCACCGACCCGATTAAGTTATCTCCTCCTTTTCTCTGCTTTGTACTAGTTATCATCTATTTGTAACTTAACCCTCTAATTCGTGTTGGAACAAATCATATATGAAATAAAATTCATAGAGAATGATATTGCAAACAACTTCTATTTGAACAATTTTCTTAATTAGAATTTTGCACTTTTTGTTAAAATTGTCGAATACGCAACTTTTAATAAAAAATGTTCTTCTCCAAGCTTAAATAACATATTCCATAAAGTAGACTATGCCCAAAATTTAATTAGTTCACAGGATGGATTAAAGCTTAAATTTTTGTTTTTCTCTTATTCCGTTTTTGAGTTTGCTTCAAAATTTGTATTTTTCTCAAATATGGTATATTTTAGAGAAATTATGTATAGGCAAAGAATTATAGAGAATGACATCACAAACAACTTTTATTTGAACAATTTTCGTAAAAATATGAAGTTTTTACTTTTTGTCAATTTTCTAGAATACGGACCATTTTATGAAAATTTTGTATGAGACTAAAATTATAGAGAATACTATTTTAAGCAACTTCTATTTAAAAAATGTTCTCCTTTAAGCGCATATAACAGATATATTCCATAAAAACGACCCCCCCAGATATTCAGACTATTCCCAAAACCTAATCAGCTCACTGCAGGCCGGAATAAAGCTTAAGTTTAAAATTTGATGTTTTTCTCTGAATCCGTTCATGAGTTATCGAGTGTACAGACACACACACATACATCATCGCGAAAATCGTCAAAACGGATTCAGGGGACCCCAAAACGTAAAAATCCATCAAAAATTCGATGAATAAAAAATCATGATTCTTATACTTTCCTTATCTGTTTACAGATAGGAAAGTAAATCAATCAAAATTGTTACTAAAAGGGAGATTTTTACAAGGGATTAATAAAAGAATATGTTCAATCAAAATCTTTATTGTTAAAACTTATAATTAACTTTGGGCCACCTTTAATACTAATCGATTACAGTCCACGATTTTTCAACGTTTTTCTTTAGTATTCAATACAAGTTTTCCATATAAAAATGTAATATTTGTAGGATAAAATTTCTATAAAACACAAAATCTTGAATTTTATTTAAAAGCACGTCCCACTCTCATGTAACTTTGATTTTAAATAAAAACTCTAAAATTTTTGATTCTATAAGAATTTTTACTTGTAAACAAGATATATATGTTTTAATTTGAAATGTCAAAATACCAGAATTTTACAATTAAAAAGTTAAGAGAGCGTTAGTTAGTCTTTCCGAACTCTTACAAGTCCTCTCTTGCCAATCGCCCTGTATAAGATATATATCTTATAACTATAATATAACTTTTACTTTAATAAAATCGTTACGTATTTGTACAATTTTTACGTCATTATGAAAATATTCTATTTTTTTTATTTATTAATAATAAAATATTTTATTATAATATCTGTACAAACCGATTGCACAAGTTTTTATTTTTGAGATCAAAAAATTAAATTAATGCAAATAATTAGTACAGCATTAGCACAATAGGTTTTTCTTAACAGAACAGCAAAGCATTTTTAATTAGAGAGCTGATATGGTTCCAATCAATTTGTACTAAGTTTCAACATGGCCTATTTAAATTAATCCAAATATTAACGGCTAAATAAAAAATCTTATAGTTTTCATGCTAGTATCATGATTACAAATAAGAAATTTTCATTTTTTTTTAATTTCATATTGATTGAGTACAGACTCCTAAAAAGTAAAATTTGTTCAAATAAAAGTTATTTAAATATAAAACTGAACATTCCCTAATGACAATCTGATCAAATTTTACTTTTGACTCAAAAGAATCTGTATTTAATCATTAATTTTAAATTAACAGTAATTTTTATAAGCAACCATCCAAATTTTATGGACTCTTATAATAACATGCTTTTTATACAATTTTTCATTTACTATGGTATGATAAAAAAATCTATTTACTTAATAGTTAATAATATTTAATAGTAATTACAATACATCGAGATTAAAATAATTATTATCTTTTTTGTTCGAAACAGTTTTCTAATAATTACTACATGTTATTAAGGAATGTACTTATTTTAATCAGTGGTTTCATGTCTTGAAAATTAGATAAATTAAATTATTGGTTATTAATTATTATATTATCAAATAATTAATTTTCCTTTCACTTAAAAATCATTTAGTAGTAAATAGAATTTCAGTCGGAAATGTTAATTTGTTGATACCTTAACTATATTTTTTTTTAAATGTCATGATATTTCTTATTTGGAATACTAGTCTATAAACTCAATTTCATAATTTTGAATTAAAAAGAAATAATTATTTTCTCCCAACCAATATCAATAGTAATCAATACATAATGACAAAAAAAATGATGATAATGTAGATAGAGCTTAAAATACACCTAATTATACACTAAATCAATTTTTCTGTTCATCTATATGGCCAACAAGGGTTGGTCTCGTTAAAAAAAGTATATTCGTGAAATTTTAGTGATGATACAAAACACTCTCTCCACGAATGAATTTGATTGTGTAAATATTACACAATAGTTTATACAATATTAAATTAAATTTCATAAAATAAATTCATTATCTTTGAGATTGAGCTAATAAAACTATGTTTAATAAAAATGTATATATAATTCATATAAAGGTCATAAATATATAAACTGAACAATCCCCTCAAAAAGTAATGTGGATATATAATCTTAAATTAGTTAAAAGATAAACTTTAGTCTATTTCTCAGACCAAATAAACATAAAAAGATGAAAAAATTGTACTCAAAATGCTCCTTTCCAATAAAAAAAAACACCATGATTTCAAAAGTCTTCTCAAGTAGTCCCGCTAAGCTATACATATACATAATATAAAAAACAAAATGAAAATAAACATTCAGTTAAACCAGTGGAAATTAAATGAAATATGAAAAGCGAGATGATTGAGAAAGACTTCGAAATCAGCTTATACATAAAACATTTACAGTTCAAATGTACAAATCATCTTTAAATGTTACATCAACTCAATAGAAATACAAGGCCATTACCATTTTCTGAATGATTACAAAATGTCCCTGGGCTATGCTTTACAAAAAACTTTATCTAAATACACTTTTCCAGCTTTTTTACTTGCTTACATTACCTAAATTGACACTCATAACAACCTACTACATAGCCCTGGGACATCTGCATATTTTCTAGTTATACATACACAACTGGTTTCAAATGTAAATGACAACAGCCCATAAAAATATTTCTACACATCCTAAAAAACTCTGGGCAAAAGGGCATACTTAACTCTGTTACGATACCTGTCCCAGGCGGCACCGTATTTCAGTTTGCAGTGAGCATTGTCCCTGAAGGTGCGTTGGACGAGTATCAAAACTGAGATAAGAACCGACAGCAATGGTAGAGTGCATAGTACAAATGGCACCCATGACAGGTGGATGATGATGTCGCCAACGTAATTCGGATGTCTGACATGGCCCCAGAAGCCTGATGCCAATAGTTTTTTGCCCTGGGTGGTCGGGATTGTCTCTAGATCTAAGGGATATTGCCATAATTCATAATTGGGAAACAACTTTCGGGTTATACAGGGTGATGAAAATTTAAAGACAAACTATGGGAATTTTGTTAACCAATATAGGTATAAAGTTGGTTAAATGAATTGAAGACGTGCCTTTCTAAGACGAATTTATAGTTTTTTTTTTCAAAATTAAAATATCAGGACCAATTACATAAATTAAAATTGTCGATATTCCTTTTATTTAATTATCACCTTGGCTTTTTTATAATACAGGCCTGTACTTTTTATCTCAATTTTATAATCTTCATTTATTTATCTATTCTCAACCATGTATCAGACTTGGAAGGACAAGCTAAGATACTTCTGGGTAAGTATAACCAGAAAAGAAATATCTTACCGATTCAAAGGATACCTTTAATATTGTAAACGCCAAATCTAAAGAACCAGCGCAAATGCTCAAGTTCGTTTACTTAAAAATCGCCACGCCCATTCACAATTTGAACCTTGCTTACGGTCAGTAGCGTAACGACTAGATCATTGTTTGTTTCTTGTTTCTGTGTTTTGGGTTAAAGTGACTGGTTTTATTTTTGATAATGTCTTCTATTGTGGGTGAAAAAAAGCGCAGATCTGTTATTAACGGACAAAGTCGTGAAGTAATATACAATGTTTTTAAATATTTTGTAACAGAATTTTATATAAATACCGAACGGAAAGCGGTATAACAGCCTTAACCTAAAGTTGGCTTACTTAAAAATAATGATTTTTTAATTGACTATAGAATTATGTACTAATAATAACACTAAGCAATATGTATGAACAAGTATCATTCACTATTTTCCATTTATTTTATATCTTAAAATATACGCGCCCCTGGTTTACAACTTTCTACGTAAGCTACCAATTCTATTCATCGGTAGGCGTGTTCGTGGCATTATAAATGCGCGTCCTTGGTTCTTTAGATTTGGCGTTTACTATACTAGACTAGTAGAAGGATGAAACTTCCATTTACATTCTGACTGAATGTGCATCACTATACTTAGGAACTTACCTACCTTGCAACCACTTCAAATCCTACAATCAACAGAAGGGGGCAGAGTAGCAGTGTATTACCACCCCAAACATGTATCACGCTAATTTTTTTATTACGGTTTGATAATAAAGTGTAGGTAATTTAGGAGGTTATGTAAGTAGAGCCCATTACCTTAAGAGTTCACGAATTTTTTCATAACAAATTTTCAATAAGACGGTTGGAACCAAGTGGACAGAGAGAATGGCCTCCACGGTCTCCAGATTTGAACTCAATAGAGTATTTTTATAAAGATTATCAAAGAGAATGTATACCATATTGTAATTCTCGATAATATTCCATGCAGAATTGAGACAAATAATCTTAATATTACACCTGTAGTACTTTAAAATTAAAACCACCAAACCATCTTTCTCTCTCCATCGATCTTCCTCTTGATCCCACCTGAACTCTCACCTCGTCTGCTCGGAGTTCTTCATTACATTCACTATTATTAAATGACAATGATTGGCTGCTTTTAAAATGGCCCAGTTACACAAACCAAAAGAACGTTTATTATTTATATTCAAAGGGGGACCTTTTTTGATCAAATATTATTCCTTTCAACACTATTTTGAATTTCTAAAAACTTATTTAGGACTTGTTATCGTTGACTTCAAAAATTAACAGATACTAATTTTAGTTAAAATCTGTAGACTTTTAAAAATAAATGATTTTTTAAAACTGCTCAACCTGTATATAACCGACCATAAGTTATAACTGGTTTTGAGCTAGAAAGGAACCTTTTCTGCATACAAAATTTGAACCTTTTTTCTAATGATGTTTTAAAGCTATAGTGCCAACAGACGGAATGGTGAAACATGTTTTATGTGAACTATCTACCCTGAAACGTGAAGATTTGAAACAATCTCGGATGGTGACTTTTCACGATTACAATAGAGGGTAGTAAAAAGTTGAGGGAGGTGATTTAAAAACCCAATGTCATGATTTAATAAATACTCTATTTCATGAAATTTTCAATATTGAAAATATTGATGATAAAGTGCAGTTTCTCACAGAATAAGTTATTCTCTTGTTTGATAAACATGCGCCATTAAAAACTATATGTATTACTAAACCTTATGCACCCTGGTTAACTTATCCAATCAAATTACTAATTAAGGAAAGAAATTTTGCTTCAAGTAAATTTAAGCAAACAAGATTACACACTGATTGGGATAGGTATAAGGAATTAAGAAATTTTACTTTTTCCTCTATACGTCGTGAAAAAAGAGCCTATTTTGACAATCCAAGGATTTATGGAAGGGTCTAAATAAACTTCAGTCCAGAAAGCAAGAAATAACCCTACCTATTTCGCTGCAGAAACTTGAAGAAATAAATAAGTACTGTTGTTTTGTTTTTGTTGATAATGAAGTAGATGATGACTTATTAGAATATTATAATAATTCAACACTGCCTAATGTGCATGGAAACAAACTAGCATTTGATTTTATAACTGTCAGAGAATTTAATAAACTACTCCATAATAGCAAATTTAATGCTATGAGTTTTGATGCTGTGTCAATCTCCATGCGGAAGTACTGTAGTCCACATATTGATAATTACATTATGTACCTTCTAAACTGTTGTATTCAAAGAAACTACTTTCCAACATCTTGGAAAATTGCAACAATTAGACCATTTTGTAAAGTTGCACAACCTCAACATTTTTTTAATTTAAGGTCTATTAGTATTCTGACTGCGATGTCCAAAATTCTTGAAAAGGCTATCTCTAAAAGAATTTCCCTTTATATTGATGAAAACAAAATACTTCCGGATTGGCAGGTTTTCTGAAGTGGCTACAATACATCTGTTACACTTTGTCAAGTTACTGATGATATTGTAAGAAATATAGACACAAGACATCATATTTTTCTAACCGTAGTCAAAAAGTTCTTTTAAATAATGAATGTTTTTCATTACAAAACGTAAAGTCTGGTGTGCCACAGGGCTCAATATTAGGACCAATGCTTTTTATTTTATATACCAGTGATATCTTAACATCTGTTTGAACCTGTAAAATACAAGCATATGCCGATGACACCCAACTTTATTACAACATTGATAGTAATAATTATCAAGTTGTTGAATAAGCCTTAAATAAAGATCTTGGTCTTATTCATAAATTGTAAATTAAACATAATCTTAAGCTCAATAAAAATAAATGTCATTTAATCCCTATTTAGAAACAAAAAACGGAATTACCTTAGTCAAAGTTTTTCCATAAAAATTGATTAACTAACTTTACCTATAGGGGTTCCATAAAGAATCTAGGCATTCTGTTTGACTCTGATCTCAATTTCCACTTGCATGTAAACAACCTTTTAAAAAAATCATTTTTGACTTTAAAAAAGTTATATTCTTGGAAGGTGAAAGAAATGTTATCAGAGTCCTTAGTTTTGTCTATTTTCTCAAATGGTGATGTTGTCTATGGAAATTTTATTGATTCTTATACACAAAACCGCATACAAAAAGTACAAAATTATTGTGCTAGATTTATTTATGGACTTCGAAAATATGATGGAATATCTCATAAAATTTATGAACTTAAATGGTTAAAAATGAAAAATAAACGTCAATATAATTTTATTAATTTCTTGTATAATGTCATAAAAGAAAATAAATCAAAAACGAATATAGCCAATTTTCTCTTTTGCTCAAATATCTTGGATAAGGAACCCGATATTTTAATTAAAAAAAAAAAAGACAAATTCTTCAACTAATTTTGTATCTATAATGTTTAACGGAATTCCCATAGTGTTCATTTTGATTATCTCGACCCAGTATCTTATACATATTAGATGTGTTCAAATAAAAAAAAGTTTTTAATATATTTTCAAAGTTATATACTCACGTGCTAAAGCTGGACTATATGGGTTCTTCCTAAAGGCATCTTTCTGATTGTTGCTTCTTCTATATAAAAACATTCCAGCTGCATAAACCAGTACAGCAACAACTAGTTTCCATGATGCCAATTCTATATTATTCTCTGAAACGTATTTAATCGAAAGAGTATTTAAGAAGGGCGCCACAGAATAGGACATTGCTAATAGATATCCAAAACCTTCTTGTTGGTTGGTAAAAGATGTCAACCAAGATGATTCGAATATCAAGGAGTCCAGAAAATAGTAACAGTGTAGGAATGTGAAAACAAAGAGTGTAGTGTGAAGGGTTAAGAGTTTTGGTGTGATAGTAACTGTGGTTTCTGCATTTTGAATGGTAAATTGAGGGCTTAGGGATTTTGATAGGTAAGCAAAATCAATCAGGATCTGAAAATTGAAACATATTAATTATTAATAAATAACATTTTAAAATATTATTTATACTTACAGTTGCAATCAGAGATGCCCTGAAGAACATCAACTTCAAATCAACAATAGAAAACACCCTGGGGTTTAATTCTCTACCAATTAAAAAACTATATATCCCTCTTTTTCCTACCGCATATTTATTAAGAGCACTTACAGGTACATAAAAACTTCTTATATAAGCCCATATTGATACAACTATACCAAAAAATATTGAAGAAATTAAAATTTGGAATATATGATTAACTACATAGCTGGCAACATCAATTTTTTTGAACTGCAACCCAGCAAAAATAAAAAGAAGTACTATGAAGCTCAGTAATCCATTTAAAACATAATCGAATTTTCCATATTTATTTGGTGGACCGTTTACTTTTACACCACCCAATGGCACAGCTGTTAATATAGCCAAAAGTGTGTAGTATGCAGAGACACCAAGAGTGGATTTTGCATCAAAATAAGTCGAAAACAATTTAAAATTGCCCAAATTTGGTAAACCAGTAAATGTACACTTAGATTGAGTACAAAATGTATATAAAGTTAACACAGTCAAAGGTATTGCTGGTATCAATATTAAGGCACCGTATACATTAATAAATTCTACAAAATTTTTGTTACCAATATACTCTTTTAATTCATTTTGTTTTTTATCTAGGATATCATCTTCATCTGAGAATTCCCCAAGGCGTTTAGTTACTGTTAACGATTCAAAGTGTTTTAGATGAACAATTCTGTCTACATCTTTATTTTGTGATGATCGCGTAAATCTGCGCATAAGGCCAAAAGAGCCATCTACATCAGGTTTCTTGAGATCTTGCTAAAATGTTAATATTGAAATTTTAATATATTTTTTACTTCTATAAAATAAATGTAAATGAATATTAATCCTGTGCAGGTTATGTTAGCATAGACACAGAATATTAATAGGCTTACCACTTCCTCTTTGTCAATATCTGTGCGCCTTGTACGACCCCTGACTGTAGCTTTTGGTTTTTCCTTAATTTCTGGAACATTTTCAGGATTATCAGAGTCAGTGTCAGTATCAATGATAAGTTTTTGTTTTTTGGGACCAATATCTGTAAAAAATATTTCAATATTATCTTTTAATCTACCATATAGAGGCACCTTTACTAATTGATATTTTATTGTTTACATACATAGTGAGTAATTAAAGATTAGATTAAATTAAATATGAACATACCTCTTTCTTTATCAGATGAAGTTTCTTTTGTCGTTCTACCCGGAGATCGCCTAGGAGGACTCTTTTTTAAAGTTACTTGAAGAGGGGTTGATGTTTTAGGGATAGGTGATGCATTTTTCACCCTTGCCGGACTTCTAACTCTGCTTGTTCTCGTAGGTGTTGGAGGCCTACCTTTTGTAGTTTCCGATTTGGTCCTGGCTGGACTTGTTCTACTCGGACTCTTTGGCCTACCAGGGCTTTTCGATCTACCAGGACTTTTGGTGGGGCTTTTATTCCTACTAGGACTTTTCGGTCTACCTGGACTTTTCTTCAGGGCTTGTTCATTTGTTGTTCCAGATTTGGAGCTTGGTTTTCCTTTGCCTGCCATTTCTAAAACGAAATTAAAAGTTTTCCAAACACGTTTTGTGATGTAAACAAGCTATTCATAAGGTTATATCACTTTTCCAATACACTATTTTACATTTTATAAATTGCATATTTTTGCAAAAGGCATTAAATTAATTTTAAAATTTAACTCACTTTTTTCTACTATTTGTTGACAAATACAAACTGCAATAATTATTCCACTCTTTCCAAACTTCACCTTTCTTCTCTGAAGCGACGCCGTCTAAATGACGCTAAGATCAAAATAACGGCCGCGATTGGTTGATTACTACTACGTGTATCAAAATAAATGCCTAATTGGTTAATCTGGAATCTGAGTATTAATTATGTGAAATAATGTTTTATGTAATTTATATTATCAATAATTAAAATAATTAAATAAGTTAAAAATATAACCTACTTAATAATTAAAATTGCTATTTACATTTTCGGTCAAATCAAGTAATGTATATATTTTCAACCAATCTTGAACCTCTAACCGACAAACTTACTTTCTATTGGTTGTAATTGATAATGTGATATAAAAACTACAAAGATATTGGTGGAATAAAAGATTGGACAATTTTGGTAAATTAATTAAAAAGATAAAAAATATTTTATTTTTTAATGGGCTTTTACAAATTTTAGTGTCAACAATCATTAAATATAAAACTTATTAAATGTAGGTAGAAATAAATCAAAGCCGTTATGACAATGTTGCCAATTATCATAATATAATTTTAAAAAAATCTTATCTATCATTGTAAACAAAACATTGAGCGATTTGCATATAGGTACACATATATGAACTCTCTAATTAAGAAACTGAACTTTTTTTACACATGGTTACATTGGTTTCATTAATATTTTTTAATTTAAAAAATATGTTTGTTATGTTGTTGTTTTTAAATAACTTAAATTTCTTTTTAATAAATTTTATTAATAACACATCATGGATTTGTTAATTTTCGCACCTTTTCTCCAAATATTAGAATTTTAACATAATTTTGGTGAAAATATGATAATCCTCTGGCCATAGAAAAACTAAAAAGCCTCTGGCATCACTGCGTTATGACACCGCCCACCCCCACCTCCATGTTATGACTTTTGACATTTGACATTTAAAATATTTTTTATTTTGTAGTGTATGACAAGAGTACAAATCTTTTTATTTGAATAAATTGAAAATAGTTTAAAATGTCCTTAATATTCAGGTATGGAATATAGAATTCTTATGTTTCCAGATTAAAATAAATCCCTGATCAAAAATAAAAAATATTATGTAACATTTATAGGTTAGCTGGCCAAAGATGTAACAGTCAATTTTTAAAAAATAGCAATGGATTGATCAGTTGCATTCGACCAGTAACTTTAAAAGCAACAAATGTTTCACCCCCCAGCAAGGAAGGTCATGATGAACGTAATATGAAACTGAAAAGACCTCAGTCACCCCATTTAACAATTTATGCACCTCAACTTACTAGTCTTTTATCAATTAGTCACAGAGCTACAGGTAAACATTAAAAAATAGACTTGTACCTAAAACATCTCATTGCATTGCACTGAAATTCACAAAAATTTATTAAAACATTTTTCAGGTATAGTATTGTCGGGGTATGCTATTGGATTGGGTTTAGGTGCTATTGTTTTACCAGAATCTATTCCCCATTATATTGATTGCTTGCATGAAATGGGCCCAGCAGCTGTTAGTTTTGTAAAATTCAGTTTATCTTTTCCAATGGCCTATCATTTCTGGAATGGTATTCGCCATTTAATTTGGGATACTGGAAAAATGCTTACTATTCCACAAGTTTACACAACTGGATACATCATGTTAGCAGTTACCTTTGCAACAGCTGGATTTCTCACTGTAATGTAACTGGTTCCAGTATTCATATATTTAATGGTATTGATAAATATTTATTATAAATTATTTTGATTGTTATACCTATTATGTTATATTTCATACAATAAAGTTTTCTAAAAACATTTTTATGTATTGTCTAAATAAACAGGATTTTTGTGATATTTTTTAACAAATTAATGTAGCATCGACCCTTACTTGAAAGGTATGCTTTAAATGGTAAAGAGGGAGTAGGGAGTACACTTTATTCTATACTGTATTACAGACTATCACGAACTTAACCACTAAATCATTTGGCAATAAAAAAACTATTAAATAAGCTTCTGAGTAACTTAAGAGAGTTGTGCAACCAAAACAACTGAAATATAGGAAAAACATTTTTATAGAAAATGCCTTTTATGATGTAAATTCATTTCTTTATTTTAATGAGAATTATTATCACTTGTTTAAAATTAAAAAAAAATAGTATTCGCTCCGTGCGTGACAGCAGCGCCAATTAATTTTAGGTACTAATGGACTATTTCTGCCTATACTGACAAATAGAATTCGTAATTAAAAAGTATATATGTTAGTTTTAATAATAGTATATGGATTTGTAAAACATTATTTTTTTTATTATATATTTTTATCGCTTAAATTAAAAAAAATAAGTATAATCAATAAAATCAATAATAAAATCTAGGCAGGCAACAGTATTTACGGGAAAATGTATGAAAAGTTGTCTAAATCTGATAAGTTGTCTTTGAAGAATTAAACTATTCTGTTAAAATAAAAAAATACCTTTAAATAATAGCATAAAGTTAAAATTTATAAACAGAAGAATTGTTATTTATATTTTCATTTTTGTTCAAAAGAAAACAGAATGAATGATTAAAACTGGTTTTCTATCAGTGAAAATTGCATTCCAGCTACATACAATAACAAAGCACTGAAGTGTAACAAAGGTAGAAACTCGGGGACTGCCGCGGTAAAGCTATTGCCTAGCATTTTTTATAAACTTATGCAATTATAATTATTTATTTCATTTATGCAGTATTTTTTTCTTTGATATTAATTCAAGTTTTTTCTTCGAAATTAATTCAAGTTACACTTTTTGAGCGTGGTGACCGATAAGAAAACAATTTTTTTCTTTTAATGAGAAGTTAATATTGTTTAAAATATTTTTATTATCTTACAATACATGTATGTTATTCAGGAATTTTTATCATTGAAACTATAGGTTTATGGTAACTGAAATAAGAAACATAAGTTTGAGACTTGATATCCTCTAAATATCTGGAAAATACTGCGTCAATGGTAATCCCATATTTTGTTGTGGATTCTTGTGGATCATTATTCATTTTCAAATTCAATTTTTCCAAAATTGTGTCTAAAAGAGAGAATCAGAGCAATTAGCAGCTAGTCTACACGCATACGTCTAGTCGCACGCACACAAACACCGTGCCGAAGTCTACCGAACTGAAACGACGTTAGACGATGCACGGCTTTCAACGCCGCACCGCTGTGCCTGTCAGAGTGGAGAGTGTTAGGTTTATTTTCGTTACGGAATTTCTTTTTCGATTTTACGATTTTTTCCATTTTTCGATTTTTTCCATTTTTCGAGGGGTTAGGTTTATTTTCGTTACGGAATTTCTTGATTTGGATGAAATAGTTTACACTGATAAAATAAAAATTAATATTTTTTCTACACCCGTATTATAATAATGCACTTATATGCCCATAATCTGTTTCATAATGATACCCATTATGATACAAATTTTTAATCAATAGAAACCTACAATTTTTCAATCAAGCATGCTGTTTGACGTTTGTCCTAGGTTCCTATGTAATTGTTTTAGTTGTCAAAACATATTAAATTTTCGTAGATAGCTAAACTTCGATAATTATAATATTAAAATGTCTGATATCAGCGATATAGAAGACTCCTCCACACATATCGGAGAAAGCAGAAAATACAGTACAAAATATTTTGCCGCAAAAATCTAGGGAAATACCAATACCCGAAGTAATACCATTAATTACAATTTTGTAGAATTTTTTATAGAAATACCATATAGTATAATTACTGTTATTGTGTTCAATACCAATATAATTATAATATTTATAGGTCTTGATTATTTATCGGGTGTAGAAAGCGTATGCAACTCTCATGTAATGGTTATTACATGATCGTTGCACAGCCGGGAACATTTGTGATACCAATTTATTAGAAGCCAGAGAAAGCTCTTCTAGTTCTTGTATTGCATAAACCTTCCAGTCCGCAGACGTATATTTAACTCCGCTTCATACTAATACGAATAGGGTCGGATAAAACCTTCCAGGGCTTTCAAAACGCCGCACCGCTGTGCCGGTCGGAGTGGGGGAGTGCTAGGTTTATTTTCGTTACGAAATTTCTTGATTCGGTCGCTCAAAGCCCGAGATAAAAGCCATGCAATAGCTTAACAAAATAAATATATAAAAAATATAATAATAATATATATTTTAACCATTTACTTTCAATAATGATGTTTACAAAATTTATTGGGGTAATGTTGTAGTTGACGGGTCTAGAAATGCGCATATTCACACCACTCTGCACTGACCACATACCTAAATAGGTATACGGCGTAAAACCCTCTGCGCATCTTTACTGAGTGTTTAATAAAAGAAGATAGAAATGACCGCCATTTTTATATAAACAAACTGAAACTTATGCAACCAATTTATCTTTCCATCTGTCAAAAGTGTCAAATTTTAATGTGTTTGTGAATTTGGTTAAATTTTTTTGTGTTATTTTAGAATATTTTGATTGTGGATATTATTTTCTAAGTGTATAAACGTTTTATTTATTTTAACATTTGTGAATAGACTTTAATCCCAGTATAAGTTCTCTATACTGGGCTTTATTCAAGATGTCTTGTAAGATCTTGCAAGAACATAAGAAGACTGTTGCCAATAGATTCAAATGTTACATTCCACAAGTAAGTAATAAGATTTAGCAAAAATAAGGGATATGAAAGAAGTGTCTTTATATTATTTTAGGGTTCCAAAACAAGCAGATCGTTCCTTATTTTGGTTATCTGCCATATAGAGATTGGACAAAATTTCTTTTAAGTTGTTAGTACAATTCACTGCAGAATCAATAAGGACGACCCGTTCACTAAAAATTTGTAGCTGTTAGAAATTATACAAGAAGAAAGTAAATTGTTTAAAATAATACAAATATGCAACCATCAATTTAATTTTAAAGTATCCTGGAAATTTTAATATTTTTAACTTCCTCTACTGTACGTTTGTCATTTAAAATTAGTATTTAGGTATTTAATCTATTATTTGTCGGCCTATTATTTATCAGCCTAACATATATTTTTAAACATTAAAATATTTTTTTTGTTGTAGAATAAAAATTTAATTCAGATATAATATTGTATTATTTCTTTTAAAAAATCTGTACAAAATGATGTATTTAAAAGTGAAAAGACCTAGACATCTGCAACCAAGTTTTCATATTGCTGTATTTCTGGTCACCTATGTACTAGTAATCTTGTATAAAAATGGCCGCCCCTATGTTAAACAGGTCGGACGTCTCTCTTGCTCCGTATACCTATTATAAGTATGTGGCACTGACGTCTAGAATTTGAATTTGCTCAAGCCACGTTGCCAAATCTCCACTTTCATTTTAGCTTGCTTTATTTCATAGTTTATTATTTAGACAAATTGTATCCTCTGTAAATTAAAATGTATGATAAATAAATATAAAGATTTATATTATATTTTGAAATAACAATTCTGTTTTGTTTTATAAGACAGTTTTGATAGATTTTAAATTTAAATTTTGTAATTATCACTATTGAAAGGTATTATTGACATTAAAAATAACGGTCGTATTACTTGAAAATCTTTAGAATTTTTTTATTTTTATGGGATTTTTAATCGATGTAAAAATTGGTAAATAGATGATTAAAAGTAAAAGTTATTTCAATCTGCTTATTCGCTGGTTCCAAATAATTAAATATAACCTGGCAACTATGTAACGATTCCAACTGACAGAACTAGCCGGAACAGCAATGGTGCGGAGTGCGGACTGGCACATTTCCAGACCCTTCAACTACAACATTACCTTTATTGATTTATTTAATTTAAACTGTTTAACTTTTTTTATAATAAATTTTTGTCGTGATGAATGGTGTTAATAGTTACTGGTAAAGCATTATAAAATTTGAGCCCGAGATAGTCAAATGATCTCTTTGTGTGCCTTATATACGGTGCAGTGTTTTTAATGGTGAAAGTACTTGCAACGTTAAGTTGAACTAAATCACTTCAATAAAGAAGGAATAAAATAAGACCCAACACAGAAGTCTCGGGGACTTTCCAACTTATATCTAAAACTTGAAAGTCTTTAGAATCTTAGAACCTCTTACCATTAGCCTATACATTCTGAAAGATAAGATTTTATCCAACTCAGCGCTTCATAAAATCAAAGTTTTTGCAACTATACTGTATAATTGACACAATATAAAACGCCTGTCAAATCACAGCACACCTCTGCTACAGCTTCGTTAAAATTTATTTTAGATTTAAGCTAGTTCAAGATAAGAAAATATCTAACAACCAAAGATAATAACTATGATGTCTATTGTAACAACCAACAAGCTGGCGGGCGGGTCGGTCCAGTCCTGATAATTGATATATAGGCAACCAATAATGCATATATGTAATTTGTATCACATACCAAGAAAGCATACTAGCCATTGTACTATATAGCTCAGCTTTCGATTGAACCTGGCTTTTCTTGGGTGGTGGGTGTTTTGTGTTCTTTTATATTCGATTGACAAATGACATCCCGTGACAGATACTGTTCGTTTGTTTCAATGAACTGGAGTGGGGTAGAAAGCTAATGTGCATATTGTATCAATTGAACAAGATACGACTCGATGGGCGCAGCCATTTTCATTTCTCATCTCACTCGGGAGTATTTATAATAACCATTTTCTGTTTCACATTGTTATTGTTCAATCCACAGGCTGGTGGATCAGACAATAACAAAGTGAAATAGAAAATGGTCGTTATAAATACTCCCGAGTGAGATGAAAAATAACCTGTCTTCGCCCATAGAGTCGCATCTCAAGCCTATTGACAAGCATTCTACCCCACTCCAGTTCATTGGTTTGTTTTACAAAAATACATTTTCCTGCGTCAAAATGTGAATAGAATAATAATATAATAATAGAATGTAAATAAGTTTACTGTAGATTAGAGGCGTATAAATAGGAGTATCAAATTTTACAGCTAGTTTCCTCTAGGGAACAAATAAACTGAGGTTAGTAAATGAACATGAAAGAAGAATATACTTTCACAAAACATAAACATTCCAATTTTATACTGTTTATTTGAGGTTTATTTATGAATTCCACCTGTTTTAGCGATTTTATAACATGCAGGATGCCTTTTAAGTTGAAATTGAAGAAATCCCGTCATTATAGTGTGGTATCAAAATCACTATTTGTAATATCTGTTGAGATACTTGATGGCACTATTGTGGAATGTACATTGTCTTCAGAGAGTACTGGACAAGATTGTTTGGATGTTGTTTGCCAAAAACTAAGTCTAAATCAACCGAAATTCTTTGGGCTGCAGTACGTGAGCAGAAATACTGAGAATAGCTTGTGTTGGTTAGAATTAGATAAACCCATTAAGAGACAGTTGGATAAATATGCTAGGGGTTTATGTGTCTGTCTTAGAGTTACATACTATGTTATTTCTGGAGTTAGGCTGTTTAATGATGAGGTTACTAGGTATGTTTAATTATAAATAATGTGATTTTTGGTAAATGTCTAGTTTGAGCTCTTTCGATTACGGAAAAACTAAACATAATATGTACTTGTAAGTATTACTATTGTAATCTTGTGCAAATTAATAGTAAGGTCACAAATTATTTTTTAAATAAAAATTGCCATTTTTTCAATTAATATCAATTTTACGGGAAAGTAAGTGAATAGGGGTTCTGGGTAGGTAAAACAACGTTAGGGCAAGGAAAATTATTAGAAATGAATTGCTGGATTTTTGATAATAAATAATTGGATAGTAAACTTTGTGAGGCCAGGTAACAGTGAAAGACATAAAAGTAGTATCTCTGAGCTTTGATTTGAGACAATTTGTGAAATATATTTATTTAAAAAAAATTAATGGTGTCATTATTAATTTGCACAAGATATGGAACTAATATTTTTTGTTTACAATAGTGATACCTACTAGTATGTATGCTTAATTTTTTATAAAGAGTTCAAACTAGACAAAGACCTGATATTTTATTCACAATGTTTTACAAATAAATTTATAAATTGGTGAAAAATGAGGCTGGAATGCCATTTAAGTGTTTATATTGTATATATTATGATGTATCCTCTTATTGATTTATTGTTTCCAGATACCACTATTTTTTACAATTAAAGCAAGATGTTATTGAAGGCAGAATATCTTGCTCGCCTCAGCAAGCTGTGGAACTGGCAAGTTATTCAATGCAAGCAGAATTTGGTAATTTTGATGCTGAGAGACACACAGCACATTACCTTAAGGATTTCCAACTTTTTCCTAAGGTCAGTTATTTTAAGATTATGACAATATAATTTAGGGTAATTCTGGGTCCCCTCATAATGTACATGTTCACACCACTCTGCACTGACGTCTAGAATTTGAATTTGACACATGCCACATTGCAGTTTGTTATTGTCCTGGATATTTTCTTAGGTTATTTTTGTTCTTATAATAATTATTAAATATAATGTAGATAACATTTAATAATAATGTTATCTACATTATATTTAATAATTATTATAAAAACAAAAATAACCTAAGAAAATACACAACAACAAACCGCTAAAATAAAAGTGAAGATATGGCAAGTTGGTATGTGTCAAATTCAAATTCTAGTTGTCAGTGCAGAGTGCACATTACACTGGACCATCAACTACAAGATTACCCAATTTAGAAACTCAATTGTATGCTGACAATTAACTAATTCGACTTTGTCTTTATATTTAACATCTACACTAATTTATATAAAAGAAAGAAATATCATTAGTTATCTTTGTTATTAGAAGATAAATGAAACTATCTTTGTTTTAAAGACTTTTACAGAGCCTTCTCTTTTGGAAACACTAACTGAGGCAGCTAGTAGACAACATGCAGCTCTTCACAATTTGCCACAAGGTACTGCTGAAGAGTACTATATTTGTGCTTGTCAGCGTTTGGATGGCTATGGACAAGAAGTATATTCAGTTAAAGATCAAGAAGGTAGTGATACTCTAATAGGGATTTGTTTGACTGGAGTTTACATTGGATATCCTGGAGGAAAGGAGGGACGTCATTTTGGGTATATTATATTTTTTGTCTCATCTGGTAGAAAATAATTACAATATTAATAATGTTTATCTTAATTTTGATACCTATGTTTGTATTTTATTGGACTTACAATAATATTTAATTATTTTAGGTGGTCTGATATAAGTAATGTTATCAATCACAAACGAGATTTTACAATAGAATCTGTTGGTGGAACAGAAAAAGTCGAATTTCAATTTACTGACGTTGAGAGCGCTAAAAATGCATGGCGTTTTTGTGTGCTACAACACATTTTCTATCGACAATATGAAATGAATATTCTTGAAAATGAAAAAGCCTTACCCAAACCTCCCATTTTCCAACAAAATGAGGTAAGCACAATATCAAAATTATTTTCAAATAAAAAAAAATGAAATATTAAACTTAACTAAATATATTTCATAGATATAGAAGGAATGCAGATAGAACTGTTTACATAATTGCCTGCGCCAGCAATAAGTCATATTTTAAGTTGAGATGAAATTATGTTCTCTGGCACACTGTTGACATATCTATATAAAACTTTTTGTTCAAGTGTGTATAGAAGTCGTTAAAATAAATACCTTTTTCAAAAACCTCAAAAATAAGAAAGATACAGAATTAAAAATCTAAATCCAGGAGGACTGGATTTGTGTATGAAAAGTTATGCTAAATTAGAAGTCTGTTTATGTTTTTCTTTTTTACCTTTTCTTTTCGATTTTCTTATGAATCCAGTTATTGTGATTTCAGTAACGTGTTTATCTGAAGTAGTGAATTTAAATTGTTCAGTATGGTAAATTATGACCACAATGAACTTGCGGATTTGTTGTTTATTTATGGTGAGTATCTTCAAAGTGCAGTTGCCGCATCGGTGTTGTACAAGTGAACACTTTCCCGTGCAAGCCAATCAGAGTTCCAGAACTTTCATTACCCTGACTCAACAGGCTAGGGATATAGGTGATTTGTGGGAACATCTTGGAGGACATGTAGGAAGACCAAGAAATAGAAATAGAATTTATTCATCTTTGAGAATTATACACTATACAAAGACACTAGGTACATAATGTAAAATCCTATCAGACTAATCAAAAAAGTGTTAAGTAAATTACATTAAAAAATAAAATATATATAATAGACAATTCATGTTAAGATTAGTTTAAAAGTTCAAAAAATCTTCTATACTATAAAATATATTATTTACAAGAAAATCATTAAGATGTTTTCTTAAATCATTACGACTAATTTGATGATAACCTGTAGTATCTTCTAATATGTTATTGAACTTATTATAACACTTAATCCCAATTTATTTTGTTGAATGCTGGCTTATTTGTAGTCGTGAAAAAGGTTGATGGATGTTAAATTTTAATCTAGTATCATATGAGTGCAGGTCTTTATTTTTCTTAAATATATGCTCATTATCTTTTATGTATAAAATTAGTTGAAAAATAAAAAGGGAAGGTAGTGTTAAAATTTGCGTTTTCTTGAAAAGTTCTTTACATGATGTTGTTGGTGTCACCTTATACATGGCTCTCAGAACTTTCTTTTGAGATAGTGGATAATATTTATTGGCTCTTAGGTACCTCAAAAACATTTAGAGGGAAACTTGGTCTCATTTCTACCCCAACATAGAGGTTTAAAATATTTAATAGCAAAAATTGTATATTGTACATCTAATAGATTAAAAATTTGAATAAAATACTTTTAAAATTGATTTTTTATTTATTTTCCTCAATTTCTTTTTTAATGTATGCTCATGTTTATGCCATTTTCACTAACCTCATACCTCTGCCCTGACTCTTGCCTATGTTTAATGTTGGCATCCACAAAAATCAGATTTATGAATAACTTGTTGGAGGTGTGATATGTACTAGGGGACACCTAATCGTTTCCGAAATTCAAACAATCTGAAATACGTATTTTGAGGACAATTATTGCCGGCCTATGGTAAGGTTACAAAAAATAAAACCACAACAGCATTCCAACTATGTTCATTTTTGTACTGTCAAGGAATAGTACTAAATTAGCGCTTGTGCATTGGCAGTTTAGAAGACGGTACATATAAAAGTTGGAATAAACCTAATATTAATTTTAGGACAAGTTAAGACAAAGAGATAGTTACGAAGATGTTACAAATTCGAATCTACAGTGGGACAGACCTGTCTCGTCAACTCAAAGTTTGAGCCACAGGGCGCAGTCAACGTCTTGTTTGGATCTTAATCAGCATAGTGAACTAGACACTCTCAGAAGCCTTTTACCTTCTTACCGTCCAGCCCCGGATTATGAGACTGCCATACAGCAAAAGTATAGAAATTCTTCAGGTAACTCAAGATAATTTGTCGGTTTTGCTGCATTGACTGTTAAATATTCTCTTCAGGTGCCATATCGTCTCGAACCACTCATCCTATATTGTACAGTTCGCAACCAGAGATCCATCAAACAGACGCCTATCCGGCTCACTTACACTATCCAGATGTGACACACAACAATATTGAACAAAAAAACGTTGTGTATAACACGGCATTCCCGAGATCTCAGTTGATCGACAACATGGGAATGTTGCACGTCTATAAATCTCCTCCACCGTATCCTACGAATAAAATCAATTCGAATTCAACACCTGATTTAGCGGGCATGTCCCAGCAGCTCAAACCGCATCCCGGTTTTGTTAGTAACATCGTAAGCGGATCTAGTCCAGATCTCGTTTCAGGGGGAAATTTATATTTGAGGCACCTTTATTCAGGCCATCCCGTTCATCCTGTTCACAGGTAAGTACTTTGACAGGATTTAACCTGCAACAAGTAAGACTTCAAGTATTTTCAGGATCTCATTTAAAAATTTTCTAAAACTGTACAAGAAGTTATATTCCAGTCTTTATTAATTTGACAATATTAACGATTTATTCTGTTTATGGTCAATCTTTTCACCTCTGAGTAAAGTTACATGTAGGTTTACTTGACAGATTAACAAACAATAGCCCTATAGTTTAATCAGCAAGTGATTACTTCCAACTTTATTCAGAAGTAAAAAGACTGGCCCTTAGTGTAAGTTTATTACTTGTTTAAAGTAAATTTGTTAGTATTTATCATCTTTTTTTATATTCTAAGTAAGACTAGATGATATTGGTATCAGATTAGTATGAAGTTAGCAATAGTCATTGACATTTACCTACAATAACTAGGTATTTATTTTCATCAAAAATTCCCTAAATACTAGATAATAACATGACTATTGTAAAGAAACACGAAAAAATATGATATGTAATTTAACGTTTAGGTAGGCCGACAACACAACAAGTGGTTGAAATGAAATAATTATATAATTTTACAGGTAGTTATGCAACTAATAATGCAATGCAATAGGGATGGACGATATTTTATGTCACAGTGATTTTGTCACTGATATAATTACAATAGTAATTCATGACATTGAAGTCGTGACAAGACAAAATGTTATGCTGGAAACCAAACAAAAAAATCTAGTTAAATTATAAAGGGGATTAATGCCCTTATTCCCTTATGAAAATAGATGATGCTATTCGAGGTCATAAAAGAAAAACGAAAAAACCGCTTCGCAAATTGCAAATGTCACTTGTTATTTCAAACTGTCACCAATCGCTCCAAGTTGGAAAAATATGCAGTGTGTGCGATAAAGTTGGATCCATATTGGATTTTTTTAATATTACAATTAAAAAAAAAGTAGGGCAATCAAATACAACAATTTTCTGAACTATTTGATTGGCAGTACCTACAAAAGAATGATGGTGAATCATTTTTTAACCAAACATAATTTTATAAATAAGTTAAAATTAGAAAAATCTTGTATGTAAAACGTTACGAAATGCCGTTTTGTGTAACTCGTTCATTTTGCGGGACCTCGCTCCGCTCATCTTGCAAAAATTTACTTGTTACACAAAATAAGGCATTTCGTAACTGGTTACATAAATAGCTATTTTCTGATTAGAAAATGTTTTTTTAAATATTTAAAACTATACCGATAACATTATTTTTAAACGGTAACATCTAGCAAAGAATAGGTTTGTCTTTGACAAACAATTAATAACAAAATGTAAAACATATCCATATCTCGACTGTTCAGTTTTGGTATCAGTTAATTATTTCCGTTTTTTAATTGTTTTTGTGTTGCCTATTATTGACTAGAAATGCTATAAACAATTCTTAAATCGTCATTGATCTTACATATACATGGTACAATACAAGTAAATAATAATACATTTTTAACAATATTTATTATTTGATCGATATAAACAGTAGATTAAACTACTGTCTGTAATTAGGTTTTTTTTACTACTTATTATGAATATCAAGCAAATTCTTCGATGTATTAAAGGATTGAACGTTTGTACAACCTGCTATAAATTAGGTAATTCAATCATGTTCCTAGAAATGACACCTGTCTAGTTATTAGTATTAGCTTTTTGTAATCAATGGGTTTTGATAACATTAAATTAAATAAATAGTTTTTTTTTTATCAAAGATAACAACATTTAGTTTATTTTCTTCTAACAAATAAAAATAATCACTAATATCAAATTTGGTAGATTTTTTTCAGAAATTCACAATAACAAAACGCAAAAAAATATTTTTATTGATTCGGATATTATCTCTTATCCCATTCCAAATAAATAGCTCACCTTTGAATTATTTTACTTCGAATTTCGTGTTACGTTTATCATCAAGATAACAAGCAGCACATTTTGGGAAGTAGTTTAGATTAAACTATGTGTAATTTCTTATGTCACAAATTCTTTTCACAATCAATATTACATTCTGAACATATTTCAATACAAACGTTTTACTTGACAGATCGCATAGTTATTTGCCTCCTCAACACGGCACTTACGAGAATTTGGCGTCGATTTTTAATAACAATATGTTGGGCAGACCTCAAGCAGTTATTGTTGAAAACCCTAATATAACTAAACACATTAAGAAAGTGTATGATGAACATGGTAATATCATCTATTGCATGCCGGCTAATATGAAACAGATTTTGCAAGAGAATCAGTTGCCCAGTACTGGTAAGTTTATTTTATTTTTTTTTTCTTCTTTAAATATGGCGTGAAACTATTAATATGTATATAATTTTTTTCAAGGTTTTGTCGTAACTCGTAATCAAAATGCCATGGTAGCCCATGATCATCATTTGAATAATTCGACAGAACCGATTTATGAAAATATACCTTTACCGTGGCAAAATGAGGGGGAAATGAGAGGTCGAACGCAGAGCATTCATTCAGCCCCCGAGATTAGTCAGGTCGTGAATCATCCATTGGTCAATGCTGTGCAATCCCAGATGCAAAAACTCAACATGAATAACGGTCAGCAAGGTACACATTTCTACAAATAAAAATTATTGTGATATAGTTTATCTAATGTGAATTGAATAAATTTACATTAAAGTACAGGATTACATTATAAAATAAAAAGAAAACAAAATAATAATCAGTCTCCGAATTCAGTATGGAATAGAATTTCCCCTGCATAGAAACAAATCAGTATTTTTTTCGTATTCCAGCCAGAATGTATGATTGTAAAAACTAGTGACGCAATTGAGATTAGTAATGTTGTTTATAGTCTCGGATATTTTTTCATTTTGACGTTTGTGTGTTATTTGGAGAAGGTCTTCACCAAGTGAAAATGAAGGAGAAATACTGTGGGCAGATGTGGTAGTGTTTTCGATCTTTCATTATTTTCTTGCAAAAGCTAACATGAAAACTTATAGGAAATATTTAATAATAGAAAAATCTGTATGCCTATGCATATTAGATAGATGATGGATCTTTATTATTTAGGAATCCTAATATACATAACAATAGAATAAAATACTGGGTCTTCAACAATACCGAAATAAAAGTAAAAATCCCTAGATGTGAGCCAGTGCCGTAGATATTTTATTACAAAATAGAACTTTCTTTTTTATGGTCTGCAACTACGAGAACGCAATTCAGTTAGGTAACTCTTATAATTACAACACAAAATCATAATATTAATTAGAGATGCTTTACATTATTGTATTTTAATGTTAGAATTCGATATTTTAATTAGATTTAGTCAAATGCAATAATATAATTTTTAAAATTATGATATAATTAAAAACTGAGCTATTTATATCTAGTTTGTATTTAACGAAAAGAATAGTAAACTGAAATATGGTTCGTACTAGTTATTGCCACTAATACAAAAAAAAAACCTTTACCAGAACAGGGCGCAAGAAAGTTATAGACAAAAAATGGGTAGGTTTGACAAAATTAAGGTAAAATGATTGTTGCAGTACCACATATAAGATCAAAGCTTGAGTATGTGTCTGTCGTCTGGAGTCCCTTTTACCAACTTCACACGGATCGAATTGAATCACTTCAAAGGCGGTTTCAAAAATTACTGTGTTTAAAGGAGGATGGTGTTTATCCGCCAATCGAAGTACTACACCAAAATCTTCTTCAAAGATATCACTTTTTAAGCCTCATAAAAAGACGTGAATACCATTGTTATATGTTTCAAAATTGTTGACGGTTTGATTCTCCTTAATTGTTGAGAAAAATTGATATCTGTATTCCGAGAGTATCCTCTAGAAATTCTGACATATTTTACATATCTGTACCTCGCACAAATGTTCTGAAAAATTCTCAATTTCATACTATTAGTCGCGTTGTGAATAGTGTGAGTAGTGACATTGACATCTTCTCATGCAAAACTTAGGGAAATAAAATATCATTTCCTAACTTAAAAAAAAAATAGAATTGTATTGTATTTTACCTACTAGCTGATTACAAATTTTTGTATATTTTGTTCCACTTAGTCTATGTGTTCTTTTATTTCTGCTTTGTAATTGGAATTGCCTGTAGAGCATTGTAATAAATAAATAAATCTCACATATTATTTCCTCTTTATCTCCCCTAGGGTAAGAGTCATTACTGCTAACAGAATCTGCTACATTTTTTAAATGATTGATTTCTAGCTCCAAATTATCGATTTTCACGCGACCTTTAGGTATAAATTTAGGCAATCTCTTTAAGGTCCAAACCCATTAGTTCGCTGGCATTCAGCCCTGAACACACCCTATGAATCGATCTTTGGCAGCTATCACAATCTATGGTAGCATCTCCAGTTACATTTTTACAAAGAACACATTCCATTATAGAATTTTTTTTTTTGAGCAATTGAAAACAAATTAAAAGTATATCGGACGATAAGGTTGTTGTTAACACATTCAATTCATATTAGATAAATGTATTGATTTTGTTTTTCTGTTAATGCAGGTAGCAGAGAAAATCTCTATGTAAACATAGATCGTTTAAAATCCTCATCGAAAACGGACATAAATTCCCAAAATACCAGTACCCATAATCTCAGCGAAAGCAGTCGTTCCGTCCATGCTTTAGACACCACTCAAATGTCGAATGTCCCAAGCTTTCCAACAGACCGTTTTTTCGACAACAAAGCATCCTCGACATCGACTGTTGCCCCACCATCTTTTGTCGAAACAAGCAGCAGCAGCATGATAAATGAGAGCAGTTGTGACTCAACGTCTGCTTCAAATACTAGTTCAAAGTCCAAAAAGAAGAGGTGGGGTATATTGATGGGAAGAAGCAAGTCGGGGGAAAAGGTGAAAAGCGCGACATTAGGAAGGGAAAAAAAGAAGAAAGAGGACGATCAAAGTCAGGGGAATAACAGACACAGGTGGTCTACAGGGTTGCCAAGATTTAATCCCTTACCACCTTCGATTAGTAAAGAAACTATGGTACTTAATTGCGTTTTAGAAATATCAATAAGTTAAAGTAATAATCTTCGTAATTTTAGTGCCAACTTTTGGAAAATAAGCTAGCTGATAGTCAGTTGTTTTTTGAATTTGATAAAATTCCAAAGAAAAAACAAAATGCCGAATTTAAAACCGCTTTACTTCCTGAAAATGCGGGTTTTAACAAGTTCAAAGATGTGCTTCCATACGAAGATAATAGATTAAGACTTACACCTACCAAAAATAATAAATACGGATATATCAATGCTTCCCACATTACGGTAGGTATAGAACTTTTAATTACATTCAAGTTCTAGTAAAATCTTGTTTTTATTTATTACAATTTTATTTTATAACAAAAATGACTAAAAACTAAGAAATCACCAGTTTTATTATCCATTGTTTAGTCCATTTGCCGAGTTCGTTAGTGGGTTGTTGAAACCTTTGAATGGTCTCATCTTCATTTACCTTCGTTGACAATAGGTACAAGACAGGACCAAGACCGCCCCCTTGCGGTACTTCTGCTTTAGTTCATTGATATTAAATAGTGAAAAGTAGAGTGATAAGACTTTTTAATATTTTTTAGGCGACTGTTGGTAGCAAACAGAGATTTTACATAGCAGCTCAAGGCCCTTCAACTCAAACTTTACCGCACTTCTGGCAGTGCGTTTGGGAAGCTGAGGTCTATTTAATGGTGCAACTAACCGAGCCGACAGAAGACATTACTTACCTGCCCGATGCTGGAGAAAGATGTATTGATGTTGATCAGGTATTGTTTAAGCTATGAATACGATAGGGTAAACGAAAATCTATTGCATACCTTCTTACAGGATTACCAAATATGGTGGGAGTTTTCTCAAAAAACGGGCCACTGTGTTACCAGCAAAGTCAGATTGTGCCATGTCATATCAAGGAGATACCGTACAATATGGCATCTTCATTACACAGATTGGGGCGACCAGGGTTGTCCTAATTCCGTCTCACATTTTTTGGGCTTTCTCGAAGAAATGCAGTCCGTTCATCAGCATTCAATGGGCGAAATTCCTCCAGGCCATAATAAGAATCCGCCTATTTTGGTGCATTGTACCGCCGGCGTAGGACGGACAGGTCTTACCATTTTAAGTGATTTACTGCTGTATACTGTTGACCATAACCAGGTAAGTTGATTAATAAATAGTTCCTTTATTACACATAGTAGTCTGTGAAGAGTATTATAGGTTTAGTTTCAAGAATCCAAAATTTTTAATACTGATCCAAATTTAAAAATTTTTGTACCAAAATCCTTCGCATCAAATTTTAAACAACTATTAAAAATGTCCGTCCGAGGTCACGTTTTTTGTCCGCACTATAAGACAAAAACGAAAAATGATATCAACTTGAAAATTTTTAGCAAAAAACAAGCTCTATAAGGTGAAAAGGCCCTTTGATTTAAAAAAAAATCTGATTAAAAGTGACGGTTCAAGGGGGGTACAACTTAAAAAAAAATTAAAAAACTCCTAACTTAAAAACGAAAAATGATATCAGTTTAAAATTTTTAGCAAAAATCAAGCTCTATAAAGGGAATAAACGACTTGATTTTGAAAAAATCTGATTAAAAGTGACGGTTCAAGGGGGGTACAACTTAAAAAAAAATCAATTGAAAAACGAAAAGCGATATCAACATGACTTTTCCAACAAGAAACAATAATTCTCGCGACAAATAAAAAAAAAGTTCTAAGCGCATGTCGTTATAGCACAGGGGGATTTGGTTGCATTTTCGGAAAAATTAAGCCTGGCGAAAATTCATCGGTTAAATGATTATTATTTTTGAGAGGAATTTGGTTTAATACAGTTGATGTAGTGGCGGATACGAAAGTAGCGTTATCTCGTGATCGACTGATTAGTGAATTAAAGTTTCCACTGATTGCCGAAGTAGCGGAGGGTTTAGTGACTCTGGGGAACCTTGGATGTTGAGAAATTAGATCGGCAAAGTAAGGTTGCGATACCACTTGAATTACTTTGCTTGCGTAACTTCAAAACTCACAAATGGAGCCACGGAGCCTTAGTGGCTCCATTTCAATTTATTTGATCAGATTTCGTTATTACAAGTCAGTTGGGAACATAATGGTATTCCAAATCTTTCATATTTTGCGGGTTACCACCCTCAACAATCGAAGGGTGTAGGGTTGTAAACAATTTTACTTCAGGTAAACATATATACTAATGGTATCGAATTACCGACCCATTTGATACAAATTTATACTACAAATCAGTAGTTTTGCGTTTGCTTGAGCTTTTTTTCAGTCATTTTTGAACCCTCCCCGGTACGTACGAGGTGTGGCAGAAAAGTAATGAGACTGATTTTTACTTTACAAAGTTTTTATTTCTTTGAAACATCAATGTTATCCCCTTCAAAGTAGTTCCCTTGGGCAGCTACACATCGATGGAGACATTGTTCCCACTGTTCGGAGCAACGCTGGAAGTTTTTAACCGTAATAGTTTTTAGCATGTCCGTTACGGTCTTTTGGATGATTTTCAAAGTCCCAAAATGATGGCCTTTGAGGACATTTTTCAGTTTAGAAAAAAGGAAGAAGTCACAGGGACTGAGGTCAGGGGAATAAGGGGATGGGGAACAACAGGAATACTTTTTGAGGTCAAAAATTCTGTTATGGGGAGGGCATTGTGACATGGAGCGTTTCTCTACGAAGTCTGGTCTCACGCGAATGACCCTTTTTCTCAGCCTTTCAAGGACGGCTTTATACGAGTATTAATAATAACGTCTTTATTGCTTTAAATAAATTTACATTAAATTAAAAAAAAAAAAAAAAAAAAAAAAAAAATCAAGCCAGAAACATAGTCACTGAATTGTTCTACCACTTAACCCTTAAGAAAATATCCCTATGACACGAAAATAAAAATATTTAAAAGTACATAAATTAACAGAATTGAAAATAAATCAACAAAACTAATAAAAAAGCAGCAAACCATTAAAAAAAAGACAAAAATTATTGGCGAGTGTTAAGTTTTACTCTGAAGGAATTATAACTAATAATTTTATACTCTTGTGGGATGACATTATAGACGAGACAAATTTGATATCTAAAACATCTTTTAAAATATTCTGTACGAAATATAGGTGGAGTAAGTGTTCCCTTATACCTAATATTAATATTATGCACATCCATTTGAAATATTATTTTTCTGTGCAGATAAGATGGTCTTTTGCTTGAGATTATTTTAAAATAAAGATTTGCAGAGTGAGATAACCTTCTATTTTCCATATTAAGCCATCCTGCTTCTCTCAATTTATAGGATATTCTTTGGCGTCTTCTTATTCCATAAATTAATCTTAAACATGAATTATGAACTTTTTGAATTTTGGATTGATAGTAGTTAATTAAATTTGGACCATAAACTGTATCTGAATAATTAAATTTAGATAACACAAGTGTCTCACAAAGAAGTAATTTAATTTTTTGTAAAATAAAATGTAATAGATCATCCTGTATACGATGTCTTATAGCGGTATCCAAGGAAATAGATTAGATAGACGTGTGATGAGAATTGTCATTGTATTAAACTTGATCTAATAAAAATATTTATTCTGAGTATTATTTAGAAGATTTCTAAACAATTCCTTACAATATGGCGCAGTCAGAGCAAAACAAACCAATTATCCAGATCAACTATGAAAAAGGAGATGAAGGTACCCAAGACAACATTATTTTTGGAAAAAATGAGTTGGATCAGCTAATGACAAAATGGATGACGTTTGCCACTTAACTAAAGCAGATCCCATAAAAATTTCTCAATACGACGGTCAAGGTGAAAATCCTTCTTCTTGGCTCAGTTCGTATGAATATATCTGTTCATATAATAAATGGATTACTGATAATGAGAAAATTTTTAATTTGAGAAATCAGTTAAAAGGCATTGCATTAAAATGGTACGAAGATAAAATCCAAGATAGTATACTAAATCAATATACATGGGAAAATTGGAAACTTAGTTTTATCAAGATATTTGATGAAAATGTTGTTTTAAAATGGGAGAAAGCTTTGAATTATAAATATTATAATAGTAATATCCTGGAATACTTTTACGAAAAACAGAAATTAATTAAATGGGCAGATAATAACATTTCTGAACTTTCATTAGTGGCAATGATAATTCTGGGTCTGCCAGTTAATGTTCAGAAACAGTTAAGAGGAAAAATCATCAACTCCAAAGAAGAACTTCTTCAGCTGCTAAAATCCTTAATGATTGGTGAATATCCTGATAAACAGTGGCCAAGAAGAGATTTTCAAATGCAAGGTCAGCCAATAAGTACCAATAAAAAAGACATTAAATGTGAAACTAAAAATGTGTTTAATTCTAGTACTGTTGAATTTGAAGATCAAATAAATAATATTGAGATGTATTCTAGTTATTCACTAACAAGTGGAGATAATTTTGAGTATTTATTTTTAAATGGCCAAAAAGTGAAAGTACTGTTTGATACTGGATCAGATATTAATCTGATAGATGAGGAATTAGTTAATAAAAACAAATTTCCTATTCATGAAGTAAATATTTGCATAAGGAGCTTAGCTGGAATAACCAAATGTTTTTTTAGTGCTGAAGTAACTATTGAAATCAATAAACTGCCCACAACTTTTATGGCCGCAGTAGTGAAAGATTTGAATTTTGACATACTTCTAGGACGCCATTTACTAAATAAATTGAAAATATATAAACTGAATTTGAACTTAGAAAAAGAAATTGAATTTACAGAAGATAATATATCCAAAAGATTTCCGAATTTGCTAAAATATAATGATGCGAAACCATCAATCTTTGAGATAGATTTTAATTTAAAAGAAAATGCAAAAATTATTAAGCTGAAACCTTATCGATATTCAGAAAACAAAAGAACATGGATAAAAAATAAGGTTAATGAGTTGCTTAAAAACAAAATAATTACAAAGTCAATATCTCCTTTTGCTTCTCCATGTGTTTTGAACACAAAATCTAATGGGGATTTTCGCCTGTGTATTGATTATAGGAAAATTAATGAGGAAACTGAATTAGATCCATTCCCATTTCCAATCGGTGATGAAATCATTCAAAAATTCGGTGGATGTAAATTTTTCTCAAAATTTGATCTGAAGGATGGTTTTTGGAATATAAGTATATCTAAATTAACGCAGAAGTATACGGCGTTTGTAACAGAAGATGGGCATTATGAATTCACAAGGCTTCCTTTTGGATGGAAAAACTCAAGTGCACATTTTCAAAGAATAATGCAGGAAGCTTTAGGTGAACTACTCGATAAGAATGTAGTAGTCTTCATCGATGACATAATGTGTGGAGGTTTCACTTATGACGAGTGTGCTAAGCTTTCGACAGAAGTTATGGAAAAACTTAATAGATACAACTTTAAAATAAATCTAACGAAATGTAAATTTTGTGTTCCCAAAATTGTGTTTCTTGGTAGGGAAATTGATGGTGATATCAAGAAGATGAAAAATGAATCTATTGAAAAGGTAAAAAATATGAAAAAACCCTATGATTTAAAATCTTTGCAGTGTTTTATTGGATTAACAAACCATTTTAGGCATTTTATAAAAGACTATGCGAAAATTGTACGACCACTTGACAGATTAAAATGTAAAAATACGAAATTTATTTGGACTGATGAATGTGAAAAATCTTTTATAACATTGATAGAATTGATAACATCAGAACCAATTCTAAGAATACCAGATCCTAGGTTAAAATTTGAGCTTAGTACTGATAGTTCTTATTTTGGTTGTGGGGCTATTCTATACCAAAGAGATGAGGAACAGATAAAAAATAAACAACTTAGAGTAATTTCCTACTATTCCTACACCTTTAATAAACATGAACAAAATTATTCTGTTACAGAAAAAGAATGTCTTGCGGTTGTAAAAGCAGTAAAACATTTTAGAACTTTGTTGGAATCAAGAAAATTTGTAGTACATACTGATCATCGAGCATTAAAATATATTTTGTCAACAGGTGCTTTAAGAGATAGGTTAGCCCGATGGCAAATATTTTTAAGCAGTTTCGATATGATAGTGAACCACAAACCCTGCAAAGAACTAGAAGACAGTGATGCAATTTCCAGATTGTGCGTGGATTTTCCTGAAAAGGTGAAGGAAACATTTTGGTGTAATTTGAATATACACGATTTGGAAAAACAAGAGGATGGAAGGTTTTTTGTAAAGAATGCAGATATAAAGACAGACATTTTACAATCTTACCACGATGATCCTGATTCTGGAGGCCATGATGGATATTACAAAACATACTATAAGATAAGTAAGCGGTTTGTTTGGAAAGGATTAAGTAAGGATATTAAATACTACATAAAAACTTGTGAAATATGTCAAAAAGTAAAATTTAAATATTATCCCAAACCAAATTATACACATCTAACATCCTGTTCGCAGAATCCCTATGAAAAGGTTCATATTGACTTTGCGGAGATAGAAAAAAAATCAGATTTAAACAGAACTACAAAATCATTTATTATTCTGATAGATGAAGCCACTAGACATGTAAGTGCCAAGGCAATAAAAGAAAGTGGTGATGCTTTGAAAAGCTATTTTAGTAAACTTTCTTTCCTAAATGATATGAAAACAGTCGTCACAGACTGTGCACCTGCTCTAACATCTGGAACATTTAAAGAATGGGCTGTATTGAAGGGGATAGAACTAGTCCATACTTCTCCTTACCATCCGGCTGGAAACGGATTAGCGGAACGAACTGTTAGAGAAATAAAAACATACATGCATTGTTATAAGGATTTTAGGGGTGGTTGGAAAAAATGCCTTGAAGCCGCCGTGCGACACCACAATTATTCCCATAATGAATTCCTGGGATGTTCACCTAATTACAAATTGTTTGGAAAGAGTACAATCCTAAATGCTGATAAAAAATTTAATATAAATGGACCCCTAAAAGAATTTCCTAGATCTTTAGAAGAACAATTAAAATATAAAAAAAACATTCAGAAACAAGCAAATAAAAATAAGAAAATCCTTCCCCCGAACGTGAAAGTGAATGATTTTATTTTAGTAAGAAGTCAAAAAATAGGGAAAAATTTTGTCGTAAAGGGACCCTTTAAAGTCATAGGTACAAAGTACATGGAAGGAGTTTTAACTTATGTCCACTACGTAAATGACCAAAAGGAAGAAGTTGCCCATGCATCAAACCTAAGAGTATATCATCACAGGAGTGATGAATTTTTGAAGGAGGGGGCGTGTTGTAATAGATCATCCTGTATACGATGTCTTATAGCGGTATCCAAGGAAATAGATTAGATAGACGTGTGATGAGAATTGTCATTGTATTAAACTTGATCTAATAAAAATATTTATTCTGAGTATTATTTAGAAGATTTCTAAACAATTCCTTACATAAAATGTCTAACTCCATAGATCATTTTCAAAGAAGAATAAGCCCGTCGAATTAGGTTATTCACATGTTTTTCAAATCTTAGAATCGAATCTAATATTACTCCCAAGCTTTTAGCTTCTTCGTTTATTTGAATAAGTTGATCATTCACTACGATACTAATATCTTCAGCAACTATATCTCTCTTTAGTTTAGGACCAAAAATCAGTACATTTGATTTACATGAATTAATAAGAAGAAGACAATGATCTCTTGCATCATTTATAAAACAGTTTAGATCATTATTAATGATGTTAGAAGCATTTTGCACCTCATTTGGATGAAGACTATAATATATTTGGGTATCATCAGCATAAAAATGAGCCTTACAATTTTTTAAATTTTTTACTAAACTTGATGTATATATTGCAAATAGTGTAGGACTCAAAATTGATCATTGAGGTAATAGAAACTTTCTGGTTACGATTCGAAAAATATTTACGAAATAACGTAACTGCTGAAGGTGATAAGCCAATATGATGCAAAATACTTAGTATAGTATCAAAAGCCCTACTAAAATCTAACAAAACTAAAGCTGTACACTGACCGAAATCAGTAGCTCCAATTATATTATCCAGCACATGAAGTAATGCCGTTGTACAACTATACCCTTTCCTAAATCCAGATTGAACATCAGGTAATATTTTTATATATTCTATAGCCCGCTCAAAAACCTTGGATAAAACTGGTAAAATACTTATAGGACGTAGATCTTTATACTCAACTGGATTTGACTTTTTTGGCAACACTTTCACAACGGCACTACCCCATGAGGTTGGAAAAGCATTATTTGTTAACAATGATTAAAAATATGAGTACTGGTCTAGTAAACGTTGAGGTGGTAAACTAGCAGGTATTGAATTAATAAAGAAATCGTTTAATTGATTAACATCGCCTAAGTTCTCTGGAATATTATAATTTTTTCCAGGAATAACCTTATTTTGTTTTAACATCTGCCACATTTGCTTTGAGTCACAATCTTGAAGTTTAAAGTTAAAATAAGCTTTTTTTTCTCGCTTAATTGCTGCATTTATATAGTTTCTCATATCTTTATAAAAACACAAATCAACCTGAAGATTAGTTCTTCTATATTTTTGAAAAGCTTTATCTTTTGTGTAAAAAAATATATTCAAACTGACGGCTTATTGCAATATTCTGGAATGCACCAAGATGAAAAAACTATTTGAACATAAGCAACACTATCACCACAACAAAGTACAGAATTTTCCTGACCTCAAGTCCCTGTGACTTCTTCCTTTTTCCTAAACTGAAAAATGTCCTCAAAGGCTGTCATTTCTGGACTTTATCATCCAAAAGACTGTAACGGTTGAAGACTTCCAGCGCTGCTACGAACAGTGGGAACAACGTCTTCATCGGTGTGTAGCTGCCCAATGGAACTACTTTAAAGGGGATAACATTGATGTTTGAAAGAAATAAAAACTTTGTAAAGTAAAAAATCAGTCTCAATACTTTTCTGCCACTTTTCGTAAGTCACTGCATTCAGCAGGATTTATTTTTTGTAATAATTAAAACTAAAAATGTCTGTCATATTAACTATTGATTTTTTACAGGAGGTGTGTATACCGAGGGTGGTAGGTTTGCTTCGACAACAACGTGCCTACATGATACAAACGATAGCGCAATACAGATTCGTTTATTCATTACTAATACATTATCTCAAACAAACTAGGCTAATATAGCACTTTGTCCTGTTTTTTTTTTATCACTGTGTGCAATTTTCTTGATATTTTATTGACTTTTACAAGATTATTTTTTAGATGTAGAGTATTATTTGATATGTGATATATTTACTAATGTTTGCTCTAAAAATGTTGATGTAGTGGGTTTGAAAAAATTATCAAGATTTCAAAAAATATACATTTATAATAAATTGAGTGCCTTCCAAGTGTTTAGGTAGATATTAAAAAAGACCTAAACCCGCTAAATATAATTTAAAACCATATAAAAAAGAGATTATTTACTACATCTAAAATTAGAATCTTTATAGATTTAATTTTATTAATTTCAATTCTATGTCAAATGAAATCAAATAAAAAAAATGTAAGTTAAGTTTAAGAGCAGCTATATTTCTTATGCATTATTTTTACTTTAGTTTTAGTATTATTTTTCTCTTTCTTTCTTTACGTCCTGTGCAAAATGTGGAAATAAGGAAAAATTTGGTTACACATAAATGTTATTAAATTATTAAAAAAAAAGCTATTAATTTGGCTTCTCATTTACTTCCGAGGCATATTTCGAATGTTTGACGATTTCCTCAAATTGCACGTTTTGTACTTAATTTGTGGCAATTTTTCCAACTGGCTTTAATTTATGTAAAGTAAATTTATACAATTGAGAGTCTGATTTTTTTGTGCATACGGTGCATTTTGTTTATGTACAACTTTTAAGTTTAATGTTTTTATTACTATCAAAATAATGTTTCTCTCGTATTTTTAGCTTTTAAGTATTTACCATTATATTTTCGATTTTAATCAAAGTTTTTATTGTGTTCTAGGATTGTTGAAGGATTTTTTTTTTCGAATGAAAAACAAAAAAAATGAGATTTTATTACCTTAGGTTTTTAACAATAGTATTCACAAATTTAGTCCAGCTAAAAATTGTGATTTTTTACATTTGAAAATGTATAAGACATTTTGATGTATTTAATTAAGTATTTTCATAGCAATAACATGACGTCTAACGTTTGAATTTTTTTTGTGACAATTTGCCAAAACGTTGTGGTGTCATAATAACCTTTTTTTAAATTATTTCTTCATTTTCTAAAATGCAGAATGATCCACTTAGATTAAATTACATTAAACAGATTCATCAAAAAATAGTATTAAGGAAAAGTTTTTGCAGATTTTCAGTATCAATTTTTGGAAATTTTTGGGACATACATAAATAATTAAATTTATCAAAGTGGAATATTTTGTATTTTTTAATTTTGTTATCTACTTTATATGACAACTTTTATTAAACTAATATGAACCATAAAGGCTGTGTAAATAATATTGTTTGTGACGCTAGATTTGACATGTTTTTGTTCATTGTAATTATATATATCATTTTTATTGTGATTTTCGAATCAGTGCCTTATTTATATTATACCATTATTTTATGTTTTTGCAGTGATTTCAGTAACAATGCGAATTGTATTAAAAAAATAATAAACTGCCATTATAAAACTGTTTTAATTTTTTTACCATAAACCTTGGTTCTACGCCAATGGATAGACGTAATTTTTGTGGATTTAGATCTGCCATAACGGAAAGGTATTACATTTTAGCAAAATAAAAATTACTAACTTACCATTTTTTAACAACCTGTATATTTTTGATTAAATAACCAATAATATCGCAAAAATGGCATTAAGGAATAAAAAAACTCATTTTTACAAAAAGTCTATAATAATACAAAAATTTTTTACAACAGCATTAAAAATAATTTTTACACGAATGAACAATAATTGAACACTTAAAGAGTCGAAGGATAAATCGTAATTCTACAGTAAGAAAGTGTGAACACAGGAACATACTGTATATTAGAAATCACTTGAAATTTCAAAAAAAAGTTTTTTTTATATTTTAAAGAGTTCATTTAAATTTGAAAATATCCAGTTTTGAATTAATTTTACTTTAGTATTTTTTTTTATCTATAATATATACATATATATTATGTTGGAGGAGGATAGTATGGCCTGTGGGGAGGTGGCTGATTGGGTGGTGGGGCGTTGGAAGGGAAAAAAGGCGGCCCTCCAGACGATACCACAGGTATCAACGGAGGAGGATGGCTCACATAAGGGAACACACTTGGCGGCGGGGCACTAATATGAGGCGGTGGTCCAGGTGGTGGCCCCGCCAAATGGGGCGCATGAGATGTTGGAATTCCGGGAGGGGGAGCAGCAGCAAAAGGCGTCGTTGGAACTTGATAAGTAGCAATGGGAGGTGGCGCGCCTGTAAATGTTTGGTAAGGAAATTGTGGAATTTCAGAAGGTGGGGGTATTTTGGTATTGACTGGGGGAGGTTGGTCTGGAGAAGATGGTTGTTTTTCTTGTCCATTAGAAGGTCTTGTAGCTATTAAAGACGGCGCTGCTAATTTATGTTGAGATAAGGGCGGGCTATCTGGTAAGTTTGTGTTATCACTTTGAGAGTACAAGTCCAGCACCTAATAAATTGAAAACAAAAATATAAGTTAATACAAATAAAACATTTTATTTATAGTAAAAAAAGGCTATATGAAAACTTTACCAAACAAAAGATTTTTTGTGAATGCATGACCTTACCAATGCTATAAAAACGAGCTTAGGTGTTTGAAAAAAGTATATTTCTCAATCTTGCAAAAGCTTTTGACATTGTGCCTCATGGAAAACTTGAATGTTCTTGAACATTATGGAGTTAGAGATCTATTTTTAAGTTATCTCTTTAAGAAAATAAATCCTCAAAATTAGAAACATATACTCAAGCTATTCAAATGAAGATACCACAAGGCATAGTTTTAGGACTACTATTGTTTATCACTTACATTAACTCTCTTTTAAAACCCAAAATAGAAGGTTTCTTGTCTATTACTCAGATGACACAGTAATATTTAATAATAACCCATACAAATGAATATTTATTTTCATATGAATATTATATCGATGGCAAGAGTGCAAAACGTCGTGACCCCAAAAAGTACATTTTACAGGGGAATAAAAAACCAAATAGACTTTAGATGTAATTTCGAAGAGCAACTTTTTGCTTTGGCGCATAAAATTAATTTCATTTTATACTGTTGCTTATGATAGTTTTTCACAAGACGCAGCTAAAACATACGACTCCAATGACTCGAAAAGCGATTTTTTGAAATTTTGTGGGTTACGACGTTTTGCACTTAAGCCATCGATATAGAAAAACAAGTTAAAGTACATGATTATATATAAATAAAATGAGCGACAAGTATAATAATAGTAATAAAATAGAAACAAATGTAAATAATAATTACATGATTAGCAACAGTTATAATAATGATAATAGTAGTAAAATAAAAACAAATATAAATAATAATAATAATAATTAAGATTAGACTTGGTGAAATCATACAAACTCTTCAATTAACATAATTTATGTATTTTTTTAGTTTCTTTTTAAAATTGTTAATATTACATAATTTCGAATTAAATTATGCAACATGCATCCATTAAAAAAAGTACTGACCCGAGGTTTGTCAAAAAATATGAATTTTGCTCAAGAGTAAAGTAGATTTATTTTTGACACAATCGAAAATTTTCATTCAGAAAAGTTGATTAGGATTGAAAATTACATTCAATTATGCAATTACACCGATCTATCTGAAAAACAGATTTTCTTATTTTTTTATAAACTTTTCTACACATTGATTGTTAGCTTTTGAAACATTCTCTCTCTTCTCTACTATAAACATGATACGCTTTCCTTTTCTTGATGTTTGTGAAGAATTTAGCAATTTTCTTAATACAAATTTTCGATTTTGATCAAAAATAAACATACTTTATTCTTGAGCAAAATTCATATTTTTAGACAAACCTCGTATACGGCTTGAAATATTCGATATCTGATGACTGTATTTTAAGTTTTGGGTCATGCAGGACTTTTTATCACGAATAACTTTTTTCCTAAAATCAATAATACAAATTTTTTCCATATGGTTCCAACTTAAGTAGACACACTGTATATTAATGAGTTATTTTCTTTAGATACATGTAGTACTATAATTGGATTTGCGGATGATACGGGAAAAACACTATATTTTTCATAAGTTGAAAGCCATCTTAGGTATGCCATCGTTATCTTGGGTGCAGTGTTGAATACCCATATACATTCCTTAGAAGTCACTAAAAAACGCTTTTTAAAGCTAGTCTACGCTAAAAATGCCAGATATTCCTCCGATTTCTTTTATAAAGACACACAGATTCTTGATTTAAGACAACTCTATTTTTTCTGTAGCACAACAAAATATGTAAACAAACAGTAATCCCATCTTCCAAGCCATGACTATGATACACGTCAAAAACATCATTTCGGGTCCCTGCTGATGCTCAAAACAGTTACACAGAGGTCATATTTATATTTGGCACCCAAATTTTACAATATGATACCAGAACACATTAAAGACATATAAAATACAACCCATTTTAAAGCCAAATTGAAAGAGTTTACTCTTGAAAATGCTCGAAGCCTGATTCAAAATCACTTCATAAATTAGGAGTTTGAAATATTTGTTTTTACTAATAATAAAAAACTAATTTTAATTAACTTTATAAATAAGTTTATTTTCAATTCAAATGTTCTTTCTGTAATTTTAATTTAGTTTTAAGTTAAGCATGTCTTTCTAGTTATTGTTTTATTTTGAAACAAGCATTCACTCACTTATCAAGTATTTTATTTATACAATTAAAAAATGCACCTTTCTGATAATATAAAGTAGTAGTATGTTCATTAGCATGTAATGAAGTTTTATATCAAGTATAGTATGAATGATCTACATTGTTTAAAGTGAAAGTGGAAAAATTGTGTTCAACTTAACATAAAATCTTACACATCTAAACTCTGATGGCAGGTAAAATATTAAATCTTTGAATGCACTTCTACAGGTTTCTCCAGCTTTAAGGTTAGCTAAAATGCGTATAGCATATTTTTGGATGATAAAAATTCTATTGAAATCCCTACAAAGGCTCCAGTGTTTAATACCATACCTCAGATGGCTATGAAAATTATCAAAATATAGAGTTATTGTTATATGACTACTACATTGTTTAGCCATGGCACTAAGTGTGAAATAAGATGATAATCTTTTGCTGAGCTGTTCAACATATTCATTCCAAGTTCAGTGGCAATCCAGATAAATAGGAAGTAATCTCATATTACTGGCATATTCTAAAAAATTTGCATTTATTTATGCATTTTTAAATTAAAGTAAAATACAGGCAATTTTCTCATTATTTACAGTTAACTTATTGTGATACATCCAAACTTGTAGATGCAAATATATTAAATTCAGGTGTGCTTGGAGATTAGAAACATCTTTGAATTTTAGAATATTTGTGCCATCAGCATAACAAGCAAGTAAATTAATTGCATGGCCTAGAGTACATTTTAAATTGTTAGCGTAAATTATGAAAAGGAGGGAAACAAGGACTGAGCCCTGCGGTACTCCTAAAGAAAACATTTTGAGTGTAACTTTCTAAATAAGAATTGAACCATTCATTTACTATACCATGTATTCTCTAATGCTTGAAGTTTATGAAAAGTAGAGAGTGATTGACACAGTCAAAGGCTTTTGTAAAGTTTATGTACAAGCATATAGCTCTTTAAAAGAGTGTCCTGTCAATACGCCAAATTAGTGATAATGTAATTTTGGTTCCAACAACAATTCAAGTGACACTAGACTTTTTAAGAGCTTTTTGTTTATTTTGTTTACCTAAATTATATAACTTTTATTAATATATTATATTTTTAAGGTGAGTAGATAACATGCATTAAATATATAATCGTTTAGTTACTCATTCCATACATACATTTAAACTACTTTTTATGACCTGCAAACCATATTTAGAAAAATACTACAACAGTAAAACATATGTAACATTTGTTTTTGTTTAAAATTAACTGTCAGTGGAACCAAAATTAAGTCACACTAATATAGTATATAGTAAGCCCATATTGTGAATCAGGTATATTCCGGATGAGATAGTAACTTAAATTATGATAAATGATTTTTTAATAAATTTTTGAAAATGTAGAAAGAAGGATAATTGGTCTATAGTTGCAGATGTCATTATGATTATCTTTTTTAAATAGGGGTAATATGATAGTTTGCCATAATTAATTGGGAAAATTGTAAAATAGAAACAAGTTTACCTGATGGCAGATATCTTCTAGTAGGTCCATAGTTACATCTTCAACAAACATATCCCACCATCTGCAGTGTTTTGCATTTCTACCTATCCAATCAACTACTTCAAATTTACTCAATTTTCCAGCTAGATACATGAGAGCTACAGCAATTATTTCAGGTTCCCATTGGAGTGCAAGTGTTGTACATAAACTATCATTCACAAACGTCCAAGCCATTTGAACCATTTTTTGTAGCTTTCCCTTATCACCTTTAAGGCATTTCGCATATTTTAACAGATATTGGTATGGGTGCTCCACTTGTAAATCAAATTTAATGGTTTGAAGTAAAATTCTTTCCAGTGTCATTACCTACATAACAAAAATTAATAACAAACTATTTTTTAATTTATTACATGTACATTACTCTAAATAAATATTACAGTTGGGAACTTACTTCTTCCTTGGGATCTTCACCAAATGTAGTAAATTTGTGATCAGTTAGCAAACTTCTAGCTGTTTTAATGATGTCTTTGCATTTCTTAGGAGTTTCTTCTACTTTTCCAGCCAAGAATAAGCAACAGCAAGCAGTTACATATCGTGGAAATTGCTTGAAGGAATGGAACATATAAAACCTGTGATAGTAAACTACCCCTGTTGCCATTGTATTGTATCCCAAATCCATTTTAGATCCCGTATTAATAATCAGTCTGGCTCCTACACAATTAATTTAATAATAATAGTAATAATAATAAAGTTATTAAACAATTAAAAAATCTTTTACCTTCTTTGCGATAACGCATTTCAGTCTTATAATCAATTCCATCTTGAGCAGACGGTGTGTTTCTTAGTTCCTTTTTATTAAAATACCAACCAGGCATTCCAGTACAAGATTTTGTAGAGCTGTTTACCTATTTTTTTTTATTTATTGCATTATAAAATGCAATAAAAAATATCGTAACCTCACTTTTTGTTACTACCTCTCTGACAACTGACAGTACTCATGTCAACAGAAGCAGCGTTCGGGAATTCAAGTTCTATTAGTGGGATAGCCGTTCAGTCATTTTATAAAAGAACGAATTACTATTTACAGGTTAAAGTACTTAACTTTTACTACGCCCTCCCTCACCATTCATTAAATATAAAAGAGGAATAAGCTAATAGCACTTTTATAAAATTCAAACACAATGGCACGTATCGAGTCCCTATTTTAGAATTATAGAGACATTTTTATATTTAAAAAAGTTCCTCAATAATAAGTTTTTAAAGAAAAACGTTATACCTACCCATGGAAAATTTTTTTACATACTGAAACCAGTTTAATTTACTATTTAACTTGTTCTACATTTGTTTGCCATTTTACACTGAAAAAACTAAAGTTAGCAAACTTTTCAAGAGTTAGAATAGAGTTGGGCATAGTGGCACAGGAATAGTAGTTTGTGCAACAAGAGTGGATATGATAGCCATACTGCACGAAGACGAAGTCTGAGTCTGAATGCGTCTGAATGCGTCTGAATGCGTCTGAGTGCGATATGGACTCGAGTTGTATAGTATATTTTTTCTAGGACCTACTAACGAAAATAAACAAATTTAAAAAAATATTTTAGGTTAAAAGATAAAATAACTGATTTTAAAATATTTAATGAATTTTACTGGTTTTTAAAATAAAATAAACATGAATAAAAATAGATTTCATTTAATTAGTCCCCAGCTGAGACTGGATACTGGTATTTGCGTGGAAGGCAAGCGCTCTGTCCTTGCATCTATGACCACTTTTAAAATTATGGTTTTAATACTTCAAATTAAAATAGCTTCATATAGTTTGATAAAAGTTATTTTTTTTTAAATATAGACCATTTAAAAATAAAAATGCTATTATTTATCGATTTTACACAAAAATAACTCATTTTAATGTATATGTAATCTCAATAACTAAAAAATATACTGACAATTAATTTGACAGGGTTGTACGTATTTAAAAATTTTTAAAATAAAAGTAGTTGGGTGTCCAATAGTAGTTTGTGCAACAAGAGTGGATATGATGGCCATATCCTCTAATAAAAAAAAAAAAAAAAAAAAAAATGGCCTTGAACAAATTTCGCTTGTGTTTGATTTTATAGGTTTTATCGTGTTTTTTTCGTGGTTTTTAGTAGCATTGCTGCATTTGGTTGTTGTCAAGTCAACTAGTGTCAAAGTCATAATAAAAACATCTTTTAATTCACTTGTCTCATTTACACAGAATATTTCATTTCTGTACTAATTTCACGTAATAATACGTCAATGCGCGTGCGCCTATAGTTAATTTAGTACTAAAAATTGGTATCATTGCAAAAGGAAAAAAATATTTTTAGTTCTAAATTTAGTACTAAATTAATAACTTAATTTAGGGCTAAATTTTAGTACTTAATTTAGTATTGTGACATACAGCCATTACGCCTTGTAAAGACGTAAAATCCAGGGGGGCAACTGCCCCCTTGCCCCCCAAACGACGCCCATGGTTAAAAATATTTTTTATCTAAAACAATTTTAAAAATCAGTAAAATGTTCAAGGAAAAACACATTTCATTAAGTTTTTATCCATTTTAAATACTAGGTAGTACATTTGTTAGCATTGTTGTTATATTATAATATTATTTGCAACAGTATTTTTTTTTTAATTTAATGAACTTCAACAAAATTTAATAATAAAAATTTTTACTCACGCTTTTTTAATTTTTATTTTACCCGCTTATTTTTAAGATGGGTGAAAAAATACTTGCTGAAATAATATCCTCGAGATGATGGAACAAAACATTTATTTGCTGTTGATATGATCAGCAGCTCTTTTGCAATTTTACACTTTAGATTTATATTACCTATATTTATATCACAATATGTTAAACTTTTTTCCCGGTGTATTAAAATCAAATCATATCAATTAATTAACAAGGAAATAAACTAAAATGGCATAATTTCCATGTGCATAAATAATTAATTTCATTAATGCACCAGTGAAAGCTCATAACAGAAATAGATGCCTTATTTCATTGAAACATATCGCTCAATAAACAACGTAGTAAAAAAATAACCAGAGTTCAGTGTAGGCTTTATCTCAGTATTTTTTTGGTACTTTTCGAAAAAATTGCTGTTGCGATATGATATAATAAAATAATGTTTCTTAAAACCTCTATTTAATCTTCGAACGCATTAAATATTTATTCTACAATCGAAACAAAAGCTAATTTTATCTTGAGTTTCAAGATAATTTCAATTCCGGACATTTACAATAGTGTAATAAAATATGATATAGGGTACGCACCTACTTGTTTTTTTGATCCAAAGTGCGTGTAAGTGCTTCGGTAAATCGATAAACAAAATCGAGATATTATCTAATATGGTGTCTGAAAATAGGATCGAAGATATTTCGAATGAACAAAGTATTTTGCTGAAGGAAGTAGGTAAGAGATACCTAATTCAATATTATTTATTATTGAATAAAAATTATTTTTTTGTAAGTTCTGTCGCCTAATCTGTGTATATTGATATAGATGATGTTTCTTTTATCATGTGTCAATAGTGCTATACACGGACTGCAACATTCTTGGATAATGAGCTTTTTCTTGGTCATTCATTTAAAATTAGTTAGTGGAGACCTGTAATAAATAAAACCTAAATATATCCAAACCTTTATTTAAAAATTAGCGTTATATTTAGCGCAGCTAAACTGAGAAAAAATACCTTCCTTATAATAGTATTGTTTTGGGCCGCACATAGAAGCTTGGCGGGCCGCAGGTTGTATATAGCTTTTTTAAACCGTAACAGATACTACGAGGACGAATAAGAGCCAGGCCGGGCCCAAGGACAATTCTCTAGATCGGGCCCCTTGACAAAAAAAAGCTCTTCAAACAATTCAAACAAAAACTTTTCCTCTGCTTGAATTGCTTTTTCTAAAAAAAACAGCTCACCAACCACCAAACACTTCCCCCTCTCGTCTTGTGTCGTTCTCATAAAACACAAAAAAATCCAGTTGCCAGGCCCCCATTTGAGTCCGGGCCCCAGGACTTAGTCCCGGCTACCCCACCCTCTAGTCGGCCCTGATCTTGCCATTCTCGAGTTGTAGAGTGAAACTAAACATACCATAATAATATTTGTTTTTGCGAACAAACCAGTGACGGATTTAGGAATTGTCCTAGGGAGGAGATAAATATACAATTTATGCGACTTTAATTTGAAATTAATTTTAAAACTACAGGTAGTTTTTCTGTTATAATAATTATTCAGCACAAAACAAATTTTTTAAACAAATAATTTTTAGATAATTTACTTTAATTATATCTTAAATACGCTATTTAAAAGACAAATTTTTGTCTAAAATGATAAAAGCAAATCTCTTCTTAGGTCAAAAAGGTTTCCAATAATAAATTGAATAAATGTAGGCATGGGCGTCGTTACACAATTCTATAGGGAGGGGCAAAATTTTGAAAAAATTTAAAATGTTTAATTGTCGGAAAACAAAGAAAATGAAAAATAAAAGATAATTTTTTTATGATGGATTTAATTATTCTGTGACTTCATGGCTTACTTCCGGTTTTTCCAGAAATAACAGAAAATCGCAATTTATTTTTTATTTTTAAATGAAAACCCTTTTTCTTATTGAAAATTTGAATTTCTGGGACATTTTTGTATACAAAGCGTGTATTGAAAATTTTCTGTCAGTAACATATTAAAAAAAATATTTTCCAATATGATGGTCATTTTGACAGCTGACAGAAAATGTTCAACACATGATTCTTATTCATAAATGTCCCTAAAATTCAAATTTTCAATAAAAACGGGGTTTCTATTTAATAATTAAAAATAAATTGAGATTTTCTGTTATTTCCGATAAAACAGAAGTAAGCCATGAAGCTACAAACAAATTGAATCCAGTATATGAGAGTATTTGTCCCAAGCTTTTAAACAAATAAGTTTTCATTCCAATATCTGAATTAACAACGAAGATAAAAGTGGATGGAATTATTAAACGGTTTGCTAATAATAAAAATACTCCACTGGTATACGGTAAATGGGTCTCAATGGGAATTTTGAGGCCTAAAAAGATTTTATAAAGTTCGTACATTCCTATATGTTTTTCCATAAACGAATTAATAGTAACATATTTAGAAAAAATATTATCCAATATGGCGGCCATTTTGACAGCTGACAGAAAATTGTCAATACACGATTATTATACAAAAATGTCCCAGAAATTTAAATTTACAATAAAAAAGAGGGTTTTAAAATTAAAAAAATTCGATTTTCTGTTATTTCCGAAAAAAACCGGAAGTAAGCCATGACGTCACAGAACAATTGAATCCATCATAAGAAAGTATTTGTTCTAGTCTTTCAAACAGAACAAAATTATTCCGATATCTCACTGAATAGCGAAGATAAGAGGGGGGGGGGGGGTGGAACTTTAGTAGTAACCCTAACAATGTCACTGACCTATTTGAGATAACTGATACTTAAGTTGTCATAACAAGTCTCTAATAAATAAAATAATCCAACAAAAAAGACAAAAACTATAATAAAGAAAAAAGAAGACACTTAAAACACATTTTAAAAAAAACAGAAGGTGTGATATAAAAGAAAGATATGAACAAGAAGATACAGCCATACATAATAATATAAAAAATAAAAATTTATAAAAAAACAAAAACCTAAAAAAACTCATTCAAACACGACGAAGAACATAAAAAAAAACACTAGGAAAACGCAAATTTTAAATTTCTTTTTTCTCTACTAAAAACATCGATAACAGAAAACATAATTTATTTTTCAGTCAGCCTATTTTCATTCATTATTCGCTCCGTGCGTGACTGCAACGCCAACTATTTTATGAACTAACGGGCGATATTTACACGTATATTGACAATACAATTTTTAATAGAGTTCGTAATTAAAAAATATATATTTTAATTTTAATAAAATTATATGGATTTATAAAACAAGTGAAACATTATTATTATATATTTTTATTACTTCAGCTAAAAAAAGTAGTATAATCAATAAAAATCAATAATAAAACAGGCAGGTATTTACGAGAAAATGTATGAGATCTTGCCTAAGCCTAATAAGTTGTCATTGAAGAATAGGTTAAATAATGTCAAAATAAAAACATTACCATTATATAATAACGTAGAATTAAAACGTATTAACAAAAATAATTGGTATATTTGTAATTGTAATTTATATTTTCTTTATTTTTAATTCGAAAGAACCCATAGAAATTAATGAATAAAACTGGTTTCCTATCAATAAGTCACAAGATTGCATTTCAGCCATATACAATAATCAAAGGCAGAAATCTAATCATTTGGTAAACATTTGAGATTTAAGGGATGTTGAACAATATCATAAAATAATAATTTATTGTTTATTTAAAATCTTTTCTTATATCTATTATTTCCAGTATTACTGTTATTATTACAAAAATAAAGGTTTCCTCTTTCTTACTACTTATTATACAGGTGTCCATATATTTCTTTGATTTAATTTCGATTTTGCTACTGAAAATTTATATAATTTACAGTTTTTGCTAGTATACGAGGTAAGCGCCAATAATTCCCGGCCTGACATAGTTGCAGATATTTTATCAGGATAAAAGTTTAACATTTTATAACTATAAACCTTAGTAGGCTATGCTAACAAAATAAGCGACTTACGTCAAATAGTTTTTAATTGTTAGCATTTTGAACTAAAGTATCTTCGAAAATGTCTCAGGTGACGAAAATTGAGTACAGAGCGGTTATTAAATTTTTAACAAAAGAAGGGCTTACACCTAAAATTATTAAAGAAAGACTCGATGGCGTATATGGCCAAAGTTCCCCTTCCTATTCGGTAGTGAAGGAATGGGCAAAACGTTTTCGCATGGGTCAGGTATCCCTTGAAGATAACGAAAGACCTGGACGGCCAGTGGAGGTGATAACGGAGGACAAAGTGGCCCTTGTGGAAAACCTGGTGCTAAGTGACCGACGTTTGAAGGTCAAGGAAATGGCAGAAATGACCAAGCTTTCTGATACCACTGTTCGCCGAATCCTCCATGATCATTTGGGTATGAATAAGGTTAGTGCAAGATGGGTGCCCAAACACCTTTCGACGATTCAGAAGCAACGTCGTGTCGAGTGTGCTCGATCGTTTTTGGAACTGTGTGGAGATGATCCGAACCCCGTGTTGGAAACAATAGTCACTGGAGATGAAACTATGGTTCTTTATTATGATCCTCTGTCGAAAAGGGGATCAATGGAGTGGCGCCGTAAGGGTGAAGCACCGCCATGAAAATTTAGAGTCTGTCAATCAACGAAAAAGGTGATGGCTACGATCTTTTGGGATTGTGAAGGAATCCTTCTGATTGATTTTAAAGAGACAAATACCACCGTTAATGGCACATATTATGCCGCATTACTTCATAAGTTGTGGGAATGTATTCGGGAAAAACGTTGAGGAAAATTAACCAGAGGCGTGCGGTTGTTGCAAGACAATGCGCCCGTTCATACTGCTGGCGTTACACAAGCTGCCATCCTAGATTGCGGGTTTCAAAATATAGATCACCCTCCTTATAGTCCAGATATGGCTCCCAGCGATTATTATTTGTTTAGTTATTTGAAAAAGGACCTTCGCGGGCGACGTTTTCGGGACGATTTTGAGTTACAAGAAGCTGTTTTGGCCCGTTTTGAAGATAAACCGAAAGAATATTTTTTTAAAGGGATTGATTTGTTAATTAAACGTTGTAAGAAGTGCATTGAGGTTAAGGGAGATTACATTGAAGGCCGGGAATTATTGGCGCTTACCTCGTAATTTGCAACATAACAACTCCGGTTGCTCATTTTATTGTTTTTAACCTATGTTTTAGTAAAAAGTAAAATGTATACGTGTATTTGATAAGCCAAAATTATAAAATATCGCCCTAAAATACTCGAATTATCCGCAGCTTGCGCTAGTATCGCTTTTGCTTCCCCTACCATGACTTTTCGCACTGATCGAATAGACCGCAGCCATGTTTTAACATGCCTTAGCTTAGCGTGCTAAAAGTATTTTTCTACGAACTCTTACAAAAAGACATCTTTCGCCACAGGATACTTTCAGCGAAAACTTGATTTCCGTCACTAGTGAGAAAAAATCCCATAACGTTTACTTTCGTCTCTAGTGACGAAAGTAAGTTGTTACATATTTTCATATATCAGTCGCCTCGTATAATATTTTGGCAGCTTATAATTATTAATAATGAAATAAAAAGATGCTCATTAAATTCTATATGCGTTTTTACCTAAACTTTAATGAATTAAAGATAAAATAAAAATGTATAAAAATAGTGCAAATTAAACCAATCTACATCTAGTTTCCTGGTTTTCATTTGTTTATTTGAAGTTTTATCACTTTTGAGAACTGTCAATTTCAGTTCGTCCTAAATTTAACACAT